TGACATATGACAGAATGACTGTGCTCACCGTACAAATATTCTACGAGCGGTCGATGCGCCGTCATGGACACCTGTCATACATGATGTGGCGAGGGACCGCGTTGCATCTGGCCCAGGTAAGTATGACATATGACAGAATGACTGTGCTCACCGTACGAATATTCTACGAGCGGTCGATGCGCCGTCATGGACACCTGTCATACATGATGTGGCGAGGGACCGCGTTGCATCTGGCCCAGGTAAGTATGACATATGACAGAATGACTGCGCTCACCGTACGAATATTCTACGAGCGGGCGATGTGCCGGGATGGACACTGTCATACATGATGTGGCGAGGGACCGCGTTGCATCTGGCCCAGGTAAGTATGACATATGACAGAATGACTGCGCTCACCGTACGAATATTCTACGAGCGGGCGATGTGCCGGGATGGACACTGTCATACATGATGTGGCGAGGGACCGCGTTGCATCTAGCCCAGGTAGGTATGACATATGACGGAATGACAGCACTCACAGTATGAATATCCCGCGCTACGACGACTGTGCGCCAGAAGTGATACTTGTCATACATAAGCCGGCGAGTAGCCACACGCAGGGCAACGAATGATTAGGCAGGTCATACTTGTCATACATAAGCCGGCGAGTAGCCACGCGCAGGGCAGACACAACGAATGATTAGGCAGATCATACTTGTCATACATAAGCCGGCGAGTAGCCACGCGCAGGGCAGATCCAACGAATGATCAGAGTTGTCGTGCTTTATGCACCGGCTCCGCGCGACATTTGCCGCTCTAGTCATACGAATCTGATCACCAGGGCTGGAGTTGAAGGCAAGCATCATCAAAAATGCTCTCGGGGCTCTGGTCTGCGATGATCAGCCAGTTAGTGGCTATGAGGCCGAGGTTCTGGGGGATGTTAACATGTACAACTGGCGGTTACATCAGGCAAAATACTAACATCGTTGTTTATGAAATCGACGACAAAGTCAATGACATCTCCCACATCACTAGGTCGGTCGAGCATCTTTCGCTCCGCGGTAGCATAACTGGCTGGCATGTAACACTTCTTGGGAAAAATATCAAAGTATTGGGACACGTTGAAAACGTCGCCATCGAGGTCGCCGCCTCCCAGTTCGCTGAGAAGGGGTCGTTAACGCCGATATAACATGTACGGGTCATGAGGCTATACCTTGCTGTGGGTCTGCTTCCTGCGGGGTGTCTTTCAATGAAAAATGACGAGGATATGTCAAGACGTAATTTCGTACCTTTGATGGAGAATATAACGGTATTCGGGATGGGCTCAAGATCGTAGATGCTCCCGGCCGGCGGACGTCCCACAGCTCTAAGCATCTGGACATCGCCTGGATGGATCTGAGATCACCGTGAGGAAGGCGTGGTTGAGAGCTGTATCTGCAAGAGGCTTGGCAACTTACGACGGGAGATCTTGTGATCATGACTGGTCCTTGCAAGTAGATCTTCTCCCCGCCATGTGACGGCTGTATGCAAGCGAACACTTCGCCCTCTTTGAGAACACCGTGAATGTCCGCGATACCAACAAGCGTCCAGCTTGAGGGCACTGGAATCCTTGCGTGGTGTTTGAGCTCTCGCAGCACGTGGTTGATGGCGTACGCTATGGCTCGATGGATGAACTCGTCTTCCAGGCGAAACCGATTACCTCGTCGCGTTAGGTCAACTCCAAGACGTTCGAGACCCAGGAACACCTGAGCCCGAAACAGTCAGTAGAAGACCGGGCACTTCTCGACAAACGCACTGATGTTAGCCGGAAAGCAGTACCGAGTCCGTGAGTCTCCAAAATTTGAGCCGCCTTCGTGAGTGATCGACTTGCCGCCTTGGTGTCTTCAACGGCGGCGTTCTGCAGCTTCATGAACTCATCCGCGGGAACACCCAACCCCTCCAAGAGCATGACCAACGGTCTGTTAAGCAGGAACTTCCCCGGTTTGTCAAACGTCTTCGCAATTTCTATGTCCAGTGAGTTAGGGGACTCAAACTTGATCATGGACGGGCGCAGGCAGAGCACGCGTCCATGCAGCTTGTGGTTGACGCTAACCATCCCCTTTGAACCAGCGATACGAATTTGGAATGCACGGGGTCTGAAGTATCTGCCCTTCTTGCGCCGCGATCTGGCCACGAGAGCAGTGGTGATCTCCTGGGCGAGTTCCGGAGATATGGTTCCGACGCCTAGTAAAGTAGGCGTAAAGAGGGCATTTCGGCGTGAGTGAGGAGGGAGGACACTGACCGTCGGTGAACTGCCATGTTCGGCCGGTGGAATCCCTTCTCTCGATATCTGGTATCCGGACGATTTCTTCTGCCGTAATGGTCACGGATGGGTCGGTGGCGGTAAATGCTTGAGACATCCGCGCTCCATACAGGCTCGGGCAGTAAATGACCTTGTCGAAGGAGCCCAGGCTCTCGCGAATAGTGTTCCCCGTAATCCATTGATTGTCGATTTTGAAGCGGCGAACAAACCACACAGCATGGTCCTATACCATGATGAGAACATGCCAGTGATCAACAATACATAGCCGACATTACCTTCAACGCCGACTGGGAATAAGCCAAGAATTCGAAGGTCCTTCCGCCGACCTGAAAGCCGTTTCGCAGAACGCCACCTATCCTCGTCTTGACGAAGTGCTCTCCGTCCACGTCGCGGTCGAATCGGAGCTGATGATAATCCTCTTCGGTGAACTGCACTCGTACGAAGTGCTGTTGATGGTCGGGGAAAGATCGTATTACTCGATTCGAACGATCGGGGTATTGTTCTGGTGAAGCATCAGTTTGATCTGCAGCACCGTGAAGCCTCATGAACAGACCCTGAGGGACGATGGAAGAGGGTGTCACTATGACGTGGAGGCAGTCGAATAGACCGTCCGCAGTGTCCGTGAGCCACGTTGCGTTGTTGTACTTGAACTCTTTAGCTGCCATCTGGAATGCCTTCTTGGCCGTCATAGGTCGCTGATTCACGGAGCGATCGTGCCTAGTGCAAAAACGCGAAAATGAATATACGCAAAGTAGTCTCGCCGTGTGTTTCACCCCAGTTCCCTAGCCCGACCTTATCAATCAAGGTGAGATTGAAATGTGCTCTACCAGAGGTCGAGAAGACATACCGTTCGCGAAATGACGAAGTAGCTGACTCGTGTACTTGACCCCCCTGAGTCGAAATATGCGATCCACGTCTTTACGAAGCTGCAATATTTCTGTAGGATCCAACAGAAGTTTCCGATGTATAGCCTCTATATGGAAAGCAACCATCCAGCGGAGTGTCTTAAGCCACTCCGCCAGCTCTCGGAGGATTGCCTCCGAGAATAGGTTACGCCGTTCAACGGCGATGGTGTAATCATGGGTGCGGAGGCCTGCGACGCCCGCCATATGCCGAAACTGCTGTAGAGCTCCGGACGAACCCAGTTTCAGGCGCATAGCGAGCGACACGTAGGACGCTACCCGCTCGTGATCGCCACCGAAGTGGCTCACGCGCCTCAGGTAGCCTTGAGGCTTCCGAGTCTGCGAGGCAACAGGGTTTTTCTGGTAGTGATACGAAGCGGTGAACGTATCCGTATCTTCGTAGTACGTCACGTCCCTTTCGAAAGCAGGCGGCGCGCCAAGCGTGAAGTAGAGCGACTCGTCGCTCTCGCTGATGCCGAGATAGAGGATGTGGGCGTATCGAACGACATAGTGTTGCGGGCTGGAACTAATCGTCCCGAGATAGAGCTGGTCTACGGGCGCGCGACGGCCCGTGATGCGGAGCCGTCGAGTATCGTCGTCGAATCGAAGAGTGCACGAGGCATAGGTCCTCTCCCATTCAAGAGAGAACGCTCCGTCTCTGCATTCCCATCCGAATTGCACGGCTTCGATATCGACGACGTCGGATAACTCTGCCCGCCTCTGTTGCTGCTCCGCCTTTTGTCGCGGATCCTGGTACGGCATGCGCCGACAGTACTCGATGATGTCCTGACGCAAAGCCTTTTTGCTCTGTTGGAACGTGATATAACGTCCATGTGCCTGTACAACGCGGAGCGGGAATTTACCACCAAATTCCGCCAGGAACTGCAGAGCTACTTCGCGGGAGGGTATGGTGAGTATACCCGCTCCGCCATGCGCGTATGCCCTCCTCTGGTCGGGAAAGAGGTTGACTTGAAAGTTCAGGAGGATTCCACCGTCAGAGAAACGGGCGTATCTCTTGGAGTGGAGGATCGATGCGAGAGTTTGCGTGAGCGTATCCGCCGACGCGGCGTAGGCGATACCAGACATGTAGATGTCCATCTTCAAGCTTCAAGAGCAACAGATCATATTAAGGAATGTCATCTCAGTCAATGAAGCGCTCACCAGGACGGGCCGTCCGAAGCACGGACGCGAGGTCTGTTTTGCTAGCGAAGAGCGCGTCGCAGTTGCCAATGACCGGAGAGGCTTGTGCGACGATGAGTTTGTGATATGAATGGCAATTTGGGCTACATATATCCCAGCGGGTGCTATGTAGATAGAATGTAGTGTAGGGTGTGGTAATATCCTGGAGGAACGAGGAGGTTGTCGCAGGCAATGTAAGACAGGGGCTCGTCGGCGCAGATAGGCACGACGACGTGAGATGGCACGTTCGCAAGACAAACATAACTCCGCCCCGGACTTCCTCCTCACTCGAAATAGGTTCCCTTTGAGCATCATTCCTCTTCGGCACGATGAGTATAGGGAAAACCGAGGAAGTGTCCAGACCGTCCAGTCCACGGCAAATCATCCGATCGACTGAGTCGTCCAGCGTCCCTGCTTCTTCGGCCATCCTCCAGCACATAAAGCTACAAGCACATAAAGCTATAAGCACATAAAGCTATAGCAAGCTGTGTACACGAGTTAGCGCTTGTCGTCCACCGAGGTCCACTGGCACGGTGTATGGAACACGCGTATGACGTGGGGCGTGACGTGAAAACATGTACAGCAGTGCGTTGGGTCTCCGCAATGCCATCGTTCCACTGCTCAAACCTAACCAGCATATCTCCAGGAATATGCGAGACAGAAGGTGTTGCCATGCGGCAAGAAGCTCGTCTGCATAGCTGCGGCGTGCGGTGCATCGACATGCCTGGGTCACCTTCGACCACGTTTACTCTCATGTCACCGTTCTGGTCAGTGCAAAATCAATTGGTACACATGGGATCGTGTTGTCGTCTTAATTCAATGTCATGAAGCCGCCTTCACGCCAACATTACTCGTCTCCGCGCTCGCGTCAACATCAGGCCGTACTTTCACCTGCGCCACGCCAAAGACGACGTCCGGCACCCCCTCGCCGTCACCATCCACCGAACTGCTCGCATCGACCGAAGCCCTTTGCTTCCCTAGTGCACATGACGCATCAGACGTCGTCGTCGACGATCCGGGCATAAAAACACGCACCTTTCTCTCGGTCGATGCTGTCCGTGCTGTTCGTTCGTTGATGTCCGGTGTCGCGTTGGGCGGAGACAGCGGGCGAGGGCATGGCGATCAGAACAGTCAAGTTCAGCCCCGAGCTCGCGCTCGCAGCACTGAATCCACCCTCAGTCGCGGTCTTGGGACCAGGCGTCGGCATAGGTTCGAGCGGTATAGGACCTGGCGCTGGCATCCCCGGACGCGGTTGCAAAGGGGTCGTGGCGGGCAAGTCTGTCTGGACGGTTTGAGGGGTGACGCCACCATTCTCCGCATCTCGTTGACGATGCCGGGAACGCCATGGCAAATCGGGTGATATATGCGGCAACCATCTTGAGCGTTCTCGAGGTGCCGGAGACACGACTGGCGGTATCGGTGAAACACCTGCATGGGCCAGCACAGCAGGGGCTGGGGGCGATATGACAGCGGCCGATATCGGCTAGCAAATGTATCGTCAACGAGACGATCCGGGAAGTTGAATCTCCATAGTCCACGTACGTTGATACTTCGCCAGCTATCCTCCTTGCCCTCATCTGCCTCCACAGACTTCCGCTCGGGCCCGGGCGCGACGTATTGCGCGTACCCCATCGGCTGGCCGAGGTGCACCTCCATCATCCCGGGCTTCTCGAGCGGCGTCGGCACCGTACCGCTCGTGCGCAGCCGCCATCGATCGCGCGCGTCCAGCGAGGGGTTGAGCATCCCCGGATGGAACGTCCCGTTCCGGATCGCCTCCTCGACCATACGCCGGTGTCGGCGTCGGAGGCATAGCGAGCGCAGTACGATCGCGAGCGAGACGCCGAGGAGGAGGACGAGCGTCGCCAGGAAGGTGTACACTGTCCGCTGGGCGTCAGTCCGGCTGGTCATCGTTCAGGTCAAGGCGAAAGGGGGAAAGGGAAGACGATTGGCACATGGAGCGGCGGGTAAAAGGGAGGCGAGTAACGCGCAAAACGGGAACGGAAGCGGAGCAGAGTGTGAAGCTCGTCCCCTCTGGTCCTGATCGCGCCGATACGACCGACGACGTTGGGGGCGCGGGCTGGAGAAGAAGCCGGCCGGGTGACGGCGTCATTAGATGCCGGACCGGAGCGGCCTCCCGATCCCGGCGCGATCGAGTTGTATATGTCAATGCATTGGCCGCAAAGATTGCACAGACGCAAAGTAGAAAGGCAATTCGAGCATTGAGAAATCTGATCTTCATAGATCCAAGAAAAGAAGTACGTGCATCGCCGTAACAGGCAGCGACACAAGACCATTGCCGATGAAGTCATGTAAACAAACGAATGCGCTCATCCGGAATCAAGCCACGAGAACCGACAAGTCACCGGTCAAGGGGCACGGGGTGTATACCGCGAGCGAAGTGCAAGCGACATTGAGGAGATGAATAGCGACTCACAATACAACGTACTGCTTGTTCCGAACGCGGGGTTGCCACTGTTGTTGCTGGCTACGGACATGCTTTTAGGTTAGAATTCTGTTGCACAGTACATAGATGGACAGGAGTGCATACCAGCCGTGGCAGCAGGGCTGAAGTCGGATGACGGTATCGGCGCTGGCGTGAACGGGGGAAAGGTGGTCGTCGGACTCGAAGTCACCGTGCCCGATTGCGCCGAGGATGCTAACGAGCTCGAGGACGACGCTGCGGTAAACGTGGAGGAGTCCGAGCCAGACTGCGACGTGGTCGTTGAGGAAGACATTACGTTTGGCCGGGTATTGTCGCGGATCGCGTTCAATATAGATTACAGAGGTCGGGTATAATCAGAGGATCGATATCGTGCCAATTGTCATCCGGTAGCCTTTGGTATGGGGAGAGGTCGTGCTGCTCGATGTCGACGACGAGGATAAAGAGGACGACAGAGGAGACACGCCGACAAGCCCGCAGCTACCTCTGTCTCGGCGACGGAAGTAGACGAGGTCGTGGGCGATGCGCAGTACCGTGAGATGTTACTTTCCCCGTATATGGGCTATCGTACCCAAAGAGTACTGCCTTCCCCGACTGCGGTGAGATTATGCCAGTAGGAAATAGCTCTGGAGTGGGTGAGGATAACGCGCGGTGGACGCGCCGTTTCCGTCTGCTCGTGATCGGCGGGGACGGGGGGAAACGATGCCGCCGAGGTGAAGCCGACGCGGGGAAGTCCGGTAATCGTCATCGTAGCCGTGGGAAGAGCAAGCGTTTCCGTCTGATCGCCGAGCGGAACGGCCTCTCGGACCGGTCCGAGGTTGTCCCGGTATTGCCGGAACAACTCGCAACCGCAGTCGCTCTGCGATAGAGTGTAACGGAGATTTTTATGAGACAAATTCAACAGGAGATCCTTGTTCAAGGAGACTGTTGCTGGATACAAGTGAGTGATTCTAAAGGTGGCTATCTATATAAGTTATGCGATGCGAATGGTATTGGACTTGGCTCATGCAGCCTACATGAAGATGGAGTGAGTTGCTGCGGCTCGTTGGTCGGGTAAACGTCAAGTGTATGGCGATTAACTCGCGCCGTGGAGGAAGATGTGCGCACGGTCCATGCCGTTATCAAGCGCCCCGATCTCCTGCATCGCCCACTTTGCCCATTCATGCGTCACACCCGGCCCTGCTAGATGGAGACAATCGTTGCCAACTATCCTGTGCGCGCTGAAGAAAGGGGAGACGCGTTAGAAGTGTGGTCCAGCCTGAACAGTTGGATAAAGAAACGTACTCTGGTCGCAGCAAACTGCGGGTATACACCGGAAGGTAGCCCGGGGGCTTCGGCCCCATAGACGGCGCGTCGCGGTCCTCGGATATATGAGGACCGGTGATACCTCCGCGAAGGACGTTGACCCAGAGTTCGTTGAAGGATGGGAATAGCGTCCAACCCCAGTCACCGTCGAAGGTGAGCGGTACGAGCTCATCTGGGCTCGAGACGGGCCCAAGAAACGACGCGCACGACGCATGGCCAGGGATGGTGGGTCGGTAGAGCAACGTCGTCGCGGGCAAGGCGGACAATGTAGACACCACTTCGTGAACCTACAACTCGAGGTCAGTCCGCAACCTCCGACGAGGAAAGATGAGAGCACGGACCATCGCCGAATACGTCTGCCAAAGGCTTTCCTCCCCGAGGTCATGGAAGCAGCCTGGGCTCCAGTGCGCTCCGCTGTTCAGTAGGACCACATTCTTCCTATCACCGCTCCAGTCGCGGCCTGTCCCCTGAGTGCGTATGGGCAGGCTGTTCGCAGCGAGGACGTCGGTCCAGTTGCCGAAGACAACGTTGTTGAGTCGATGCTGGCCGTCCACTTCTCCCATGACCTCGCCAACCAGCTCGCTGGCGCTCTCGATTGTCAAAAGCAGATCTTCCCTGACAAACGTGATGACAGGTCGGGAGAGCCGCTCCAAGGGCGCGTTCGCCGCCCGTAACAGGTCCAGGACGACTGACGAATCCGACGACGACAGAAACACGGCGTAGCTACCGTCGACCATGTGCGGTTCGTCTAAGGGAACTCGATAATGAACTTCGGACTGTGACTTTACAGTTTCGTGCGGGACCGTGCGAGGGATGCATTTGACGAGGTGCTCGAAGAGTTGTAACTGGATGCTGTCTGAAATCGGCCAAGTCAGGGTTGAGGCTGTAGCGGAGGTGAGAACCGTACCTCCGACAAGGATGATGCCGCCTGGACTCCTCAAGGCGCGAACCAGCATCCACTCCGCGTCCAGATCTGCCACCGCGCCGGGGCCTGCCCACTCCCAACTCGCGAGGCGTTCCGCACGCTCCCTCCTAGCCGTCTGCAACGCCTCGCCCTCCAGGCCCTCTCCTTCTTGGCCTGCGCTCTCGACCCACGTGTAGTCCCCGTTCCAAAAGTGCTCGAGGTCCAGCGGTGGATCGCGCTTCGTCCATGTCCCGGCTTCAAGATCGTTCAGCGTAGGTCCGAGTATCACTGGTTTATGAAAGCCAAAGGGACGTGGCAATGCCGAGATGGCATGCAGTGGCAAGTCCGAGTGAGCGTGTATGAAGAACAGGGTGCTAAGGGCCCCGACGGAGAAATAGGCCCATTTCCATCGCGTCGAGGGAGCGAGCTGGCGCATACGATGCTTCATCGGGGAAGATGGTGATTGTGGTGGGGGTATCAGAAACGAATTCTGTGAGATGAAACCGAATCCATGTACTTGTGGGGGATGTGTTGCACTTAGGGGCAGGCGGCGCTTCCTTCAAAGGAGAAGCCGCACTCCATTTCCGACCATGAGGCCGCTTCGGATGTCCATTACAGGTTAAGTAATGCCGTGTTTGCGGGTTGGCTGTGAGTCGAACATGGCTGGAGACGCGAGCAACCTGGACGCGCGGAGCAACTTGTCACATATACAAGCGCCCGAACGCACGTCCGCGATTTGTTGCTCTGCATCCGCTCCATGCATGACCTGCTGTCGTCCCCTCAGCCACTTATCACACATGGAAATGGACACTTATATACGGGCGTCCACAACTCTTAGCGCTCGACACGAAACAGCGGGTCCGTCCAGTGACCACGGTTTCTGGCATTTCCCGAATGGGACAGTAATATGGGACTACCTCTTGCTCTGGAGTCGTCCGCCTTGAAACCAATCATCACATGCATCACATCGTGTACCCAGCCACACGCTCCACGAACTGTGCTTCGTACACAGCCAGGCTTGAAACCGTGGAACCTTAGGCTGGAAGCCAAATGACGTTCATGTGCGTTGGCTCAATACGATGCATCAAGCTGCAATTGCAAGACTGTTGCTTGTCGTCCTCCTGAGAATGCTATACTTATTGCAACATCTGGCTTTTTCCATGCTACCAAAAGCTTACTACCGCCACATTCAAGCCATCAAACCTTGTGCGCCTGCCTTCAACGGCTCTATTAACCCTCCAGGTCTTCTCCCGCTGTTGTATTGCGGTCGGCGTATTCCTGGTATACATGAGGCCTGTATCTCATCCTAACCTGCCTATCAGACGCTGGGGGGCTGAACCTTATTCTGACAGCTCCCTCGTGCGGGATGCCCTTAGGCCTGATCACATTCGTGATAAAAGACCCAGCCCCGTCTGCGTTCTTGAGTACCAACCGCTTCTGCAACGATGTCTATCACGGATGTGAGCGCTCTTCTCTCTTTGCAGATTCATTGTTTGATGTTTCGTCAGCTCGCGGTAGAGATGGCCAATGCGATGGAGGACCCCGACACAGAGCCGGAGGAAGATGTAAGATTCCGAACATCTGTATGTTACGCGGACCATAATAGTGTTTAGGAGCCTTCCGACGGTCAAGCACGTCCGCATTTCAGTGGATGGCATACAATCCATTCCCGCCTCAAGAAATTCGACAAAGCTACGATAGACGGGCACAAGGCTGACATCGATAATCTTCTTCTGTTTGTAAGTCGTATATTACTCGAATTACCGCTGTCGGTTCTCATTCGTGCGATAGGCTAGCTTGTTCTCCGCGGTCTTAACATCCTTCGTCGTGGAAACATACACACAACTTCGGCCGGACAATTCTCAGCAACTATCGACCGCCATACTTCTTGACATCCTCAAGCAGCTACAGAACCCGTCGATCGAATCTTCCACGTCCTCTATTTCGCTGCAACCACCTCCAGCTTCATTCGCGATCGTGGCGGTCAACACCCTATGGTTCATGAGCCTCATACTTTCACTTTCCTCCGTTCTCCTCGGCATTTCGGTCAAAGAATGGCTCGAAGAGTACCTGAATTGGATTACGGTCCATCCCGTCGAACACGCGGTCCAGATCCGACAACTCAGATACGAAGCCCTGCTACGGTGGCGAGTTCCTGCTATCGCGACGATCCTTCCCGGGCTCCTTCAACTGGCGCTTGTCCTCTTTTTTGGAGGACTTGTCGCGCTGCTATGGTCCCTCAACGTGTTCGTGAGCATATGCGTCATAAGCCTAGTGGCGGTCACATTAGTCTGCTACATCCTCACCGTCGGCATTTCGCTCATACACGAGGATTGTCCATACAAGACTCCCATAGCGTGGCTTTTACACAGCGTTATACTGTGGTCCGTCACATCCGTTGCCTCCATCGGTCGCTCAGGTATCCTACGCCACAGCAAATCGAGACTCCCAGACGAAGAGGGGTTCAGAGGATCTCGTCAACCCGAGGGTCGCATCGAGAGACTTCGCCACTTGTTTGAAACCTTCTACAGTGCCTTGGAAGATCGCATGAGGGAATCGTATGGGACGTGGGTGCGCAGAGACTTGGCAGTTCATGCTGCTCGCAAAGGCCCTGCGTATGTCACATCCTGGATGTGCCGCTGCCTCCTCTGGGCATGTGCGCATGAGAACCTCGACGACGATCTCATACGGAGGTGCACCAAACACCTCAGCGTCACACCAAGATGGATGTCGACCGTCAAGCGTTCAGAAGATGAAAGGGGCGCTTGTACACTTGCCAACTGGCCGGATAACCCGCATAAACGCCTTTGTGGAATCTGGTTTGCAATATCTGACACGCTACATGATCACGCGCACCCAACATTCCGATCGAAGACTGCATACGATCATCTTCGCGAGAAATATGAAGCCACCTCGCTTCATTCCAACGCCGCTCGACGTTACTTCAACAACATCACTGGCTTCTTCCAAGACGAAATGCAGGCATTGAGCATCGCGCAGAAGCATGCGATGTTCTGGATGCTCCATTCATCCCTTACCACAATTCTCAACAGCGGAGCGCCGTGTTATTTCCAGGATACCTATCCGCTCCGTCCGGGGGATTTGGAATACCTTGCTCTAAACTCCTTGGCCTTCATGCTCATGTTATCTCAGAGTGAGGAAGTACTTTCTCAAGAACTGGCCAGACTCATAGATGAGATACGACCATGTTGTGATCTCTTTGCATGGCCAACATCGGGGATGGGAAAGGGACAATTCCTCGAAAATATACAGATATATAGGCGTGCGCCTCAGGTAGGATGTTATGCAGTCACCGCCGATACCACGACTGAAGGATTATATAAACAGGATACTCCATGTCAAGCGCTGTAGGACTCGACCATCTCCATTTTCTCCTGATACTCGAGCCATAGTACATTATCCTCATATGGCCCGGCGTATTATGCCTTACCTTCATGTCTTTGTATTATATCGTGACCAGACTATATCGACTACTCCTATGTATTCCCCAGGACAATTCCGGTATTAGCTCGACAAGGATCCTGATATGAGAATTATCGAACTTGACGAAGTCTACCGAGTTCACTCGTGCGCATTTCTTATTATTTCCATCGGCTGAAACCCACGAATCCTCTCAATGGTTGGGCACCTACCTGTGATTCAGCATGTGATATCAGTCTTGGCCAGCCACTGCCAGTGCCACTACTGTGCCAGTGCCAGGCCCAGTTTGCTCGAAGCTTCGCTCCTACGTGCGTTATGTAGTCTCTCCTTTATCGTCCTTGCCAATACCGTGATATGCCTGAAGCGACGCGCCATGTGGTTGCACACATGCAAGCAACCCGTAACCCGATGCTCGTCGCGCTTCTATTCTCTTCCGCGAGTTCCCATTGCAGCCCATGACGCGGTTTTTCCATTCCGATCACCGAGTAGGGTCTAACAAATCACTGTTGAAAGAATCCGTTCGGTATGTATTTGTGTCACTGGAGCGAGTATTCTTCCGCCAATGCTGAAGCTGCCGTCGTCCGCCCATCGCTTCCGCGTAGTCACGCGATTTTCTCCATGCCAATGCAGAACCGTCCACCGGCCCGCCTCGGTTCCTTACCTATATTATATATGGGATACAAGGAAGAGCCTTGATTGCGCTCCGGCACGCAGTCGAGCATGTTGTCCCCTCTCATCCCATTAACATTAACAGTGGCAATCGCCACGCTCTCGCATGCGGATACTGTAGTGATTCCCACCTCCTCGTTTGATAGCTACGCCGATTTAGAGACATACTGGAACTATTTGTATCCATGGGGGAGCGACCACAACGGATGTAAGTCCGTACCGTCTCTCACTGGCTCGTATTCCGTGCTGAAGGTGTTCCACAGCGGCCCGAATGGTCGGAAACTCCACGGATCATTCACATATCTCCGTTGCCAACGGCGTCCTGACGCTCACTGCCACCCCGACTTCGGGACAGGGAACAAGTAGCGAGAGTCCGCACCTCACCATCGATTACTTCAGCGGTATGTCATCCGAGACCTCTAAATTCTACTCCAGCCTCAACTTCCTGTGGGCAGGGACGATCTACGCTAAAGATGACATCACTGTCGATGGAACCGATGTTGTCGGATATGTCGTAGAAGGAGAGTTCATTGCTCCGACTGCTGTAGGCACCTGGCCTGCGTTCTGGCTCACAGCAGTGAATTCCTGGCCTCCCGAGGCTGACATTGGAGAGTGGAAAGGTGAGCGAGCATTCCTCCCCTCGCCGACCTGTGACTAATGCTCAATAAATACAGGCACCCAGCAAACCTGGTTCAATACATTCAAGTGAGTGCTCAATCCATGCCAGTTGCGGATTGGATTTTGATGGGAACTATGTCAGCACGAGCTCGGAAGTCAAGAGCACAATTGTGGCTTGGCCTGACGACGGAGAATTCCATTCTGTGAAGGCAGTGCTGTCGTCCATCGAAGGCGACTCAAGCGACGTCACCATCGACTATTACCTCGACAATGTCTTGCAGGCGACACACGTTGGCGCGGACTTCTTGGGTGCACCACTTTACCTGTACGTTAGTTCGCGCAGCCTGGTAGCAAGACTGAAGATGCATCCACACAGGATCATCGATCTTCAGATGGAGGGAAGCTCCGGCTCTCCGGGACCGACTGGGACTACCACATACCAGATTCGTAACGTCCAAGTGACCAAGGTCACGTCATGAGACTGTTCGAATTCCATATCCATATGATCGTGGGGTCGTATGCATTGACACTTCTTAATACAACAATTTCCTACACGAATATCGAAGCCACCAACGTCCCGGGTCCCATTGGAGGGGATATAAAACATGATACACGTCTGAATCCGAACGCATGTGCTTCACGGCGTGGCCGTGGCCGTGGCGGTATGAATGAAGCTGCTCCACGAGTTGATCGTCGCCGTTGGGAAGACGTATGACGACTGCGTGCTCAAACTGCCGTAAAAGATGGCTTCGTTGCCAGGAAGGATATCGCCCGACAGCTCGGAAGCGTTTTCGCCTCCGATGACCTTGGAACCGACGACAAGGCCGGTCTGGTTGTTGCCGAATATCCAGTTCCGTGCCATCGTGAATGCCTAGTGGTATTCGTGAATGACCGTGAATTAACGCAGGGTCCAAGGCTCACAGAAATAGGGTTGGTGTAGGGGACTACGTGCCCTGCGTTGTTGATTAAAACATAGGTCCAATTGCGTTCCTTAAAGCGAAGAATCAGCAGGATGATTGATCCGTCACGGGCAATCAAACCTGATGGACAATCCCTCCGAAAGTGCCGTTGTCCAGTGTCCACGGCGTCGACGGTCGACGTGTGAACCCTCTGATACCGCCGAAAGTGGTGTTCTACGTTGATCAGAGTATGAGGTTCGTCAATTGCTTAAAACATGCTTTGTAGCCATACCTGGATCACAACTGCGAGAAGAACCGGTGAGCGCTGGTGGGATGATTTGGCGTAATGCTCACCTTCAGTACCCCTGTGCGGTACTAACGAGTCGTCGTTCCCAGAATAGAAGACGATGCTGACGTGATGCAACGAAGCATTGGTAGCGAGCTCGGAGAAAAACGCAGGTTCGGGTCTGTCGAGGACAGTCAGGCGCTGCGCAAAGCGGTGAGTCTGAGGGCTTACGATGGGCTAGGATCTTCGGGGTCTACGAAATCTAGACAGGACATCGGCTCAGGATCTCCCGAATTATCGAATCGCGTAGCTCACTTCCGCCAAAGGGATACCCGACATTGCCGGAGAAGAAGAAGGTCCATTCCTTGCTTGTGGGAGCGTGCAGCGCAGCTACGGTCTTAGGATCTGCGCGCATCGTGGTCAGCCCATGGATGCCTCGAGATATGAACGGCCGTTCTACCTACCATTGAAGAAGACCGATGGATCCATGGGTACCTGCAATTGCGGTCGTCAGCAGTGTTAGTAGCGCAAAGCTCATGGAAGCACACCTCCGGATTGAGAGCGTCAGGTATATCGTAGACCTGAGTAATATGTGAGAGTATTATGGAAGGGCGACGGGCGCGACCTACATCGAAGCCCTGAGTAAGGTTCCAAGGGAAAGTGAAGTTAAGAGCGTAGTCTGGAACTCCATGAGGATTTCAAAAATGGGAACTGGCGTAAACCTACCCATAACCTCGTCGTAAATGTCGCATCTATCGCCGATCGTCAGCGTTATCCACCCCAAGCAAAGAAATCCTCACCCATAAAAAGGATCAAGAGGGCTATGAGGGTCAAACGACCGTAAGCTATTCGCACTCGCGTCATCGCGCTTCCTGAGGGCATGCCCGTCGGCCAGTCGCTTAGCCAGATCGAACCGTGTTGGCTTCTTCGAGAGGAACTTCAAGTGCTGTTTGCTCCCATCGTCCGACGGCGAGCCCGCGAACGACACCGGCGGTAGGGGTTTGGTTTGGGGGTACGTCAAATTCAAGTCATATCCGCATAGATGCTCCCTGATAAATTGCGGCGAGCGCCTTTCGACCGATGAAAATACTAGGCAAAAACAGCATACTCACTGCTCGCGGAAGTATTCGAACACGGTAGAATTGTAGCCAATAATCTGAGGGTATGTCTCGATTATTTGCACCTTCATGAATGGGATCTGAATGGGATCATAAATTCGAGGACGTGAACGACTCACCACCGGGAGCAACGTGACAATCGACTGGTCTGCATACGATCCGTCCCCCATGGCTATCCTGGCAAGCCTTACCGGAGGATTCTTCAACCCGAAGTAATGCTTCGTGATGTATGGCTAATGGAGGTGCGTGAGGTCGTGCACTTGGGTAACTGATCGATACTCACTATGTAAGTACCAGCATAACTCTCGCCGGTGAGATATAATGGACGTGTCCTTAAGCTAGGGAAGACCTGGATGTGATGACCGAGGTTAACCTTATCCGCAACAAGTTTCAGGGAGGATGAACTGACCTTCACCAGGTTCTCGAGAAAACCGAACTGCGCTCGATGTTCAGATGGCGCAAATAATCGGTCACGCGGATACACTTACGAAGTCAGTAGCCATTTGGTCTTCATCCGTGACTGCCGGAGGATGTTAGTGATGGATCAATCCTATCAGCCTTGCGTATCACATACCATAGCTTTCGGCATCCGAGGTGGAAAACCCGACGCCACTAATTACATAATTTTGATTGATTGAGATGCGGCCACAACAGTTCTGATAAAGTAAACTTACACAGGCTGATCTATCCAGAAATAATCCGCGAAAGCAGTCCATGCATAAGGATTATGAGTGACCGAGTAATCCGGGTTGATGTGGATCGGGCCATTCTCGAGGGTCAAGCCTGGCATGCTCGATGATCCCGGACCTTACCAATAAAATTAAGTTTTGCGAACGGTTGTTGCTACGGAGACGCACCCCCGTTCAGCCAGATAGCCCAAGGAGCATGGGCATTCTGACCAGATCCTGCTGTCAAAGAGCCGTGTGAATGCTCAAAGCCCCAGTAGAACTATTCGATGTCGTGAGTCTTGCTCGGGACCCTTCTCTGTGTGAACCGACTTACGAGTGTGTCGTTAGGATGATGGGGTCGATTGACCCGAATGTTTCCTGCAAAGCTGCGGGCAACGGGGAACGTAACGTTCGGCAATGGTTTCGTCACTTCGAAGTCTACAATGCGCTTCTCAGTGATAATCGAAGGTGCATGTCGTCATGGTAACTCACATTTCTGCCATCGAGGACTGTAATCTCCCTCCGGTTGTCCAGGGTAGGCATGAGGGAAGGATCCGTTGATCCCGGCCTGGGCTTCTGCTAGTACAGCGCCGGCCGCGAGGATGAATATCGTCGAAAGCATGGGGCGAAAGATGCTGGGCTGCTCCCGCTCAGCACCCCCTTCCTTTTATGCCCCCCCCCCACAACGCTACTACCCGGAAGGTTATTTTTTCCGCCGCATAACCCTGAGTCCGACCACAAGTTAGCTCTTACCCGTACGTACCCAAACGGGAAGCCATGGAAAGAGAGGGGGCAAGGCAGTACGGTTCCCTTTCTGAAGCCATCGCCACAGCAAGATGCATTTCAGCCCAACACTCGGTGACTCAAGAAATCGCCCTCTCCGGCGGCACGCAGTCGCCAAAACTGGTATAAGGATCTCTCCGACGAGGCCGCGAATGACAGAAAGCATGTCGATATTCCCGCGCTATCCTGAGTCGTTATAATGGCGCTCACTCGGAAGGTGAATATTATAATGTCTCCGCGACCGGATCGGGGTAGGCACCGTGCCTACCCGCCTTGCCTCTGCGCTTCGATGTAAGTTGAAGCAGTACGCCCGTAGCTGGACGAGGCGAGTCCCGCTTCTGGGCATGACCATATGCGGCCACGCATGATAGTGCGGCCGATGCGAGGAGAGCACGATGGCCGCACGCCAGCGCCTTCGATAGAATTACCTGTCGATGCCATACGGTAGAGAACCTCGAAGGTGCCCGAAGAAGGGCTCGTGTGGAGGTGCGCTTTGTTCGCTATATGGGCCATCGTACCGTCGGCCCGAGGACATGCACCCCAGAGTCCATGGAATTGGCGGAAGACGTGGGTACGATGGCGGCAACGCCGACGGTCCGTGGATGGACGAGGCACAGCGCCGCAGCTGGAGCTGCATGGTCGCAAAGGAGAGAAACATGATGTGAAACCGCTTCTCCATTGTGTCTTGGCAGATTGTCCGCGCTTATTCCGAGCAGGATGACGGAGAGGGGCTCGGGCAGTCGCAACGGAGTCAGACATCGACATCTTGGAGCGCATATATGCGCGAGCTATCGCTTAGCTGCTGCTTTCCAACCGCATGTGAGCTGCTCTGAGCGAGTCGTCAAGCGGAGTGACGTCCGAGTCAGAGCAACCAGAGCGCATCATGCGGGCGATGCTGCATCGATCGGACGACTGAATCTAGACATCGTGTCCCAAAACCACCGGAATACGTAGAGTGCAGGATGGGATGAATGCAAGGGTAAGAAAAGAGCGAAGCTAGTCTGCGGTACTGCCACTATAGACCCCGCGACGCCGCGGGTCTCGACGGCGGCGGTAAGCTATCAGGCAGGACACATATATGGTCATTTCACGCTAGATGCTAGACATGCATTCTTGGGGTGCGGGCATGACGGGACGGGTTCGGATGCAAGTAGGTCAGGATATAGATTATATTTCTGAACTCGCTGTTGCTTCGATATCGATCTCCTCAAAGCGTTCACAAGGAGTATGGCAGAAACGGTGGCCAGCTTCTGGAAGCAAACGTGGTTTGCAAATGCAATGAGTGATCGCCGGCTGCCATATGAAGATGCTGTAATACTAACAGGCGGACGAGAGGTAGACAAACCGAGCTCTTGAGACCGAGTGCGTCCGAGATGGATATCCATGGCATAGAAAGAGCAAGTGAACACGGCACAATTACAATGCTATGTGTGGTGGTAATAAGTAGAAGGCGAATGAGGGAATGAATGTGTGGATCGTCGCATGAATCGTGATGAAATGCACGGAGCCTCATCAGGCCTGCTATCGCCCCCCTCCTCCACGTCTAACAACAGCCAGCCATACACCCTGGCATCATCGTCTCGAACATCGTCGTCATCACCGACGTGCCACTCGCTTCCGCTCCCTGCCCTCCTCTTCGACGTCCATCGCCTCTCCTGACTGATTCGTGTTCTGATCGTGTAACGCCCGGGAAGGCGGAAGTCCCCGTGTGCTCCTCGTGCGTCTCCTTGTGCCTGGTCCGGAGGTGCTGATCGTCGAGTTGGTCGGGCCACTGCCGCCGAGCGCGGAGGAGACAGACAGTGCACCGAGTGGTGACGCCGAAGCGGGAGAGTCGAGCATCATCATTAGTCCGTGCCGCCGCTTCGAGCCTGCGCTGATTTCCGTCACGGGTGTCTCTGCCGGTGCAGAGCGTGCGAGGAAAGCGAAGGGGACGTCCGCGGAGGGAGAGGCGTCGCGTGTGGCCACGGCGGCGGGAAAGGTAGAGGCGGAGGCGACCGGGAAGTCCTTCTCCTTGTTGTTGTGTTTCGAGCGGGAGAGACGGACAAGGGTTTGAAGTGGGAGACTGGTCGGCCTCGGCGGCGAGGATGCTGTCGCAGACGAAGGCTGGGCCACGGGCGCCGGTGACCGGGTGGTGGTCGCTGGTTCGGTACCGTGGTCCTTGGGTTTGCTGATGACCGATACCGGCGGAGATCCTGAGCGATTGTGCGGCTTGGTGGGCGCCGAGGCGCGTTCGGTGCGAGCATGTTCGCGCTCCTTCTCTCGCTCTTCGTCCTCGTCTTCTTCTTCCTCTCTGGCCTTGATCGCGTCCAATCTCGCTTCAATCCTGCATACAGAGAAGCCACCGCATTCAGTACGCAGAAAACACGCATAGGTTGTGTAAAACTTACCAATCCATCACTTTCCCAACCGTCATCCCGTGCGCGTCGGAGTGCCCTTCGTCACTGCCCGTGCCGATTCCACCGTCCGACACTCCCTGTTGGATCATCATGAGGAGGTCCTGACATGCTGATGCGTAGCCGGCATTGAACGCTCGCTTGGACGTGTGTCGCGAAGAGCGGTAGAGAGTGGTGATACTCAAGGCGGCCGCTACGGGAAGGAGAGACCAGCGTGAGATCAACGACAAGACAGAGATAGCAACGCGAAGGTTGTAAGCGCTGTACGTACCCTTGAAATTGTTGAGCAGCTCCTTTTCGGCGGCGATGAGGCTGGGTGGCGAGTTGGTCGTTAGTGAGTTGGCGAGGGTGTTGAGGGATTCCATGGGGCGGAGTCGGTGGGGACGGCGGAGAGAGGCAAAGATAGACGGGCTGAAACTTACCGAACCGGATGTGAAGGTGTCGCGTTGATGTGACTGGATAACACGTCACAGCTAACTTGATTTCGCTTTGTTCTATGTTATCATCTGATAGCTTTGAATGGGCCAAGCCACCGGGTGACTTATCTTCATGGGCTTCGGCCCCTCGTCCCGTCTCTGTTTTCGCCAATGACTCAAACGCTCATTCCATGACATGCCGGCGTCGATACGAACGAATTTCGGATTGATAAGTAAATACGCGATGTCCAATCAGCTCATCCACCAGGACTTTCGTAGGCGTATTTCCCCCGCTTATCTATTATTACCAACGGCTGTGGATGATGAAGGCACTCGCCATGTGCTCCCGCGTGAGCGCAGTCCTTTGCCACTCCTGTCTTTTGCCCGGCACCAACACCGTCGACGAAGATGACCGTCGCCGCCGTTTGCAGCGGGACGCGTCTCCTCGACTTCGGGTCGGCCTGCGTACGCGATTTCTGGACGGCCCTCGTCCCTGCTGTGCTGGTGGCACTGCTGTGCATCGCGTCTATTCCTCTGCCTTCGCGCACGAAAGGCGTTATCGACTTCGTGAAGGCGCCTTTCAGGACGTATTTGACCTTGGAAGAGGCCGAAGCCATCGACGCGGAAGTATCAGGCGAGAACGGAACAAGCGCCGAGACGCAGAAGCCGCGGACGCCGTTGTGGAGGACCCTGCTGCTGTCATGGACAGCGCTGCTGCTGGCGCTCGCATGGCTCGGTGTGGGATCGTTCAGGCTGTTCACCCAGGGATCCCAAAACGCACTGCATGGGGTTGTTGCCGTAGTTGTGGCCCTATCTTGGATATACGCGGCGGCCAAACCCGCGCTCAACCCAAAGCCGACGCCTCATTACGGCTTGTTCGCGCTTTACATCGTATTCTTTATCTCCACCGTATTCGTCCTCGGCGGCTACGTCTACGATGACAAGGTGGAAGGCGTCCCTCTCCCCGTGACGTCGGTTGTGGTCGAGTCTATCAACCTCGCACTCATCCTCCTCCTCCTCATCGTGCAACTCAAGACCCCGCTCGCGATCCCCAGCTCCCGTGTCAAGCCGGAAGACATTGGCCTCTCCGTCTCCGCGGAGGATTACACCACCCTACTCGGCTGGATCACCTTCCACTGGGTCTCGCCCCTCATCAAACGCGGCACCTACAACACGCTCAACGAGTCTGACATCCCCCGCCTCAGCCCGACGATGCAAGCCCGCCCCGTGTTCACCAAGTTCAGCCGCATCCAGCGCAGCTCGCTCCTCCGGCGCCTCTGGGCCGCCAACTCCCTCGACCTCATCCTCGACTTCGTCCTCACCTTCACCTCCGTCGTCTTCAACTACGCCGGGCCGTTCTTCCTCAAGCGCATCCTCGAGTCGATCGACCACCCGGAGGACCCGCGAAGCCGCGCGAACGCGTACATCTTCGCGTTCCTTGCCTTCGTCGCGACGCTCTGCAAGGCCGAGGCGGATGTGCAGCACTTGTGGTACGGCCGGCGAGCGGCGGTCCGCGTCCGGTCCGAGCTGATGACCTCAATCTACGACAAGGCTTTGAAGCGCAAAGACTTCTCCGGCATCGTGGACAAGGACAAGGGCAAAGCGGCCGCTAGCCCGGAGGAGGCGAAGAAGAGGGCGAAAGCCATGGGCAAGGGCAAGGACACCTCGGACGACCCGAAGGCCGGTGCCGACATCGGGAAGATCGTCAATCTCATGTACGTCTGCTGCTGAGTCTCGTTCCGCGTCTTCTGATACCTTTCTTTTGTTTAGGGCTGGTGATGCGAACCGCTGCGCCAATTTGGTCAGCGGCGCCTACTTCATCTACGGCGCCCCCTTCGAAATCATCATCGCCAGTATATTCCTCTACCAAATCCTTGGTTGGTCCGCCTTCGCCGGTTTCACAGTGCTTGTCGCCGGCTGGCCTTTGAACTCGTACATCGCGCGGCGCCGCATTCGTATCCACAAGGGCGTGCTCAACGCACAAGACAAGCGCATGGGCGTTCTCAACGAGCTTATCACGTCCATCAAGCTCATCAAGTTCATGGCATGGCAAGACCGCTGGATCAAACGAGTGATGGACGCTCGCGAGGTCGAGATGCAGTGGATGATCAAAAGCCGGATCAACTCCATCTTCTTCAGCTTGCTGTGGACGCTCGCGCCGATATTGGTGTCGGTCGTGTCGTTCGCGACTTACATCTACACCGGGCACGAACTGACGGTGCCGGTCGCGTTCACCGCGATCGCGTTGTTCTCGATGATCAGGCAGCCGTTGAACGTCATCCCGACGTGGATCGTGCAGGTATTGCAAACACTCGTGGCGGTTAACCGTATCGCGACCTACCTCGGCGAGGACGAAGTCAGCGAGCAGGTTTCATCGCTTAAGAAGAAGGCGGGTCCTCCGGATGACACGGAGGAAAAAGGCTTGGGCATCCAGCACGGCTCGTTCCGATGGAACCAGGTGGAGGAACAGAAGGAAGACAAGCCAGCGTCTCCTACGGATGAAACGGATACTGCCGTAGATAGCGCCTCTGTCAATGGGCAGAACGGCGATCATCGTTTCGAGTTGAAGGATATCGACGTTATGTTCCCCGACGGCGCGCTCAGCGTTATCACCGGACCCACTGCCAGCGGGAAGACAGCGCTGCTGGTGAGTCTCCACGCCAGGCGTTGTGTGCGATTGTCGAGTAACATGTACGCAGATGGCGCTCCTGGGAGAAATGACGCAGTTCGAGGGGAAGCTCGTAATGTCCAAGGATGCATCGAGGGTCGACGAGCATGGTAACATGCGCATCATCTCGTACGCCGCACAATCTCCCTGGTTGAGGCACCAGGTAAGCTTTCCGGACACAACGAAGATCTTCGCTGATGGATGTTATCAGTCCATACGCGACAACATCCTTTTCGGTTACCCGTATGACGAAGAGCGCTACAACGAGGTCATCGAAAGCTGTGCGCTCACTACTGACCTCGACATCTTGGAAGATGGTGATGCTACGGAGATCGGTGCCAGGTACGTCGATTGAGCATCGCACGGCGTTCATGACTCAAGTTCCTATGAAGAGGCGTGTCTCTGAGTGGCGGACAGAAGGCGAGGTATGCGGCAATCATCAGAATACCTGGCTTCGTTACTCATATAATTCTAGAGTGGCGCTCGCGCGTGCAGTTTATGCCAGGACAAGGTCGGTCGTTTCGCTTCACGCCTCGATGTTTTACAGTTTTTCTGAGGACCATGTCTAGATACGTGTTGCTGGATGATCCTCTCAGTGCAGTCGTATGTCGCTGGTATTGTGCTGCTGTCCTCCGAATTATTACATTGACACTCGTAACAGGACAGTCATACAGCCCGCGTGCTGTTCGACAAGCTGCTGTGTGGCCCTTTGCTTGCAAACCGTACGGTCGTACGTAGCTTATACCTCTTGGGAATAAGACACGCCCATAACGACCACCTAGATCCTCGTTACCCATCACGTGGAACTCGTTCTCCCGGGCGCACAGTATCTGGTTCGGATGCTTGACGGACGTATAGACACCCAGGGCTTCATCAAAGACCTTCGCGCCCAAGGAGTGCTAGAAGAAATAACTCACGATGCCAGTGCGGATATCAAGGAGGGAGAAAAGGAAGCCGCTGAGGAGGCAGCTGTGGAAGCCATCGAAGGAGAGGCTGCACCAGCAACGAAGCTGGATGATAAGGCCAAAAAGCCCAGAAAGCTTGTCAAGGACGAGGCCAGAGAGACAGGCAGCGTGAAATGGTGATTTGTTTTCATGATCCCCAAATGTGCCCATCCACTCACTGTTGCTTACAGGCACATTTACAATACCTACCTGAAGGCTTCGTACGTTTCTCAATCTTGGGCGAAGGGGTCTATACTCACAGGAGACGTAGTTCGTATTGGACCTGGGGGATCATCTTCTTCCTGATCATCTGCAGTCAGGTAAGTGCGGCCAGAGATCCGCAGAAAAATGCGGCTAACGTAGCTCGCATAGTGCATGACTATCGTGGAGAAGTTGTGGATCATGGTAAGTCCTTGCCTACTTGCAGACAGATGACCAAAGGTTAACTGGAGTAGACCTGGGGTGATGCCTATGGCCGCTCCGACGCATCGTCGTTTTTCGCGTTCACTTCCTTCGCGACACCGGAGCATGAGATGCCGATGGAAGGGTCTCTTTCTACTCAACATCTGCACAATTTCAACCGCGTGCCTACAGCCTCGGGTATACAGGATAGGCTTCCAGATGCGCGCGAGCATCCGTTCTTCTACGTCGCCGTCTATGCGTGCATCGGTTTGACATCCGCCACGATCAGCATTTTGTCGTCGGTAACGAACTTTACTGGTGCGTTGAGGGCATCTCGTCGACTCTTCAGTCAATTGTTAGTTAGCGTTGTATGCGCGACCATGCGATGGTAAGTGTCCGTCCTTTCCTCCCATGACTCCAGCTCATTCCTTTACCTCGTCCGTAGGCATGATGTGACGCCCGCTGGAAGGATGCTGAACCGGTTTAGCAAGGTAAAACTACGCGACGATGTCCGCCCGAGATATGCTCACCGTTCGCGCAGGACATCGACACCGTGGATTCCTCTCTTGCGGGATCCCTTCAGGCCGTGAACTCGTCACTTGCAACTTTCTTGGCATCCGTGATTGCTGTTACCGTGGTTTTCCCTACGTTCCTCATCCCAGCGGTGCTCATCGGCCTTGTGTACCGTCACCTCGCGATAGGATATCTCAACACGGGACGAGACCTGAGACGTATGGAGTCAAACAGCCGTTCCCCCATCTTCTCTGGTTTCGGTGAACTGTTGGAGGGTATTGTCACTGTTCGTGCTTTCTCTGCCGAGAGCAAGTTCTTGAACGACCTTTTCGGAAAGGTGGACATGACAACGAAGGTAAGATCGTTTTATATGTCGGTATAATCGAAGTGCTTACCCACGCTTCTGAAGATGTGGTACAATTTCTGGGTACGCTATTTCGATGCCTCATAAAACGAAGATCTCGTTCTTATTGGTGCCTATAGATGACGAACCGCTGGCTATTGCTTCACTTTGATGCCCTCGGCGCTCTTGGTGTATTGATTACGACGCTCTTCGCTCTATCTGGATTGGTTTCAGCCGGCTTAGCAGGTCTTTGCATCACCTCAGCGATGTCGTTCACCACCAGCGTATACTGGGCATGTCGCTTTTGGACAGCCCTTGAACTTGACCTGAAGTGAGGTTCAATCTTGAGCTTATACCAGAAAATATCATTAACGAGACTTTTGCAGCTCTGTGGAGCGAGTTGTCGAGTATTTGAATCTTCCTCAAGAACCTCCAGCAATCATTGAATCACATCGCCCGCCTGGTACCACATTATATATTGTGCAGTGCATTCCCTGAGCTCACGCCCCAATAGCCTATTGGCCTTCGAGTACCACTCAGAATCCGCTCATCAGCGTGCAAGATCTCGTGGTACGATATGCGCCCGAGCTTCCACCGGTGCTGCACGGAGTATCATTCGACCTGAAACCGAGAGAACGGATCGGTCTCCTGGGACGTACTGGTACGATCCTGTCGCTTTAACTGCAGGACCTTCGTCGGGCTCACTCTATGTTCTATACAGGGAGCGGAAAGAGTACGCTCGCAATGTCGATTCTCCGTTTTGTGAGCATATATCCCTCGATTGAGGAGAATGGCACTAAGCATGCTGCAGGTCGATCCGGCCAGCGGCAAGATCGTAATCGACGGGATCGATATCTCCACGATTGGCCTTCATGACCTCCGTTCAAGACTTGTGAGTTGCCTTCATCCTGATGCTTTGAGTTTTCTCAAATAAACTCTGGTAGACTTTCATCCCTCAGGTAGATGATGGTTACCCGCAAATCCGATAGTTTCGCTGACTGTTCACAGGACGCGACGTTGTTCTCAGGGACGCTCAGAGTACGGAGTGAAGTTCTCTCTCGATTCCTCGTGCTCACCGACACGCGTATCGCAGGAAAACCTGGATCCGTTCATCGAACACACGGACGAGGAATGTCTCGATGTCCTGTTTAGGGTGCAGATGATTACAGAAAGCGCATACCAATCCCAGCGCACATCGAGGGAGGCATCCCGCGCTCCGTCCATCCACGAACGTGAGAGTACCAGCGACAGCGGATCTACCTCCCCGACCATGAGCACTACGGTTACCGAGGTGGATGCGAAGACGTCCATCAACCTGGATACGCAGGTATCTCCAGGGGGTACTAACTTTTCTCAGGGGCAGAGGCAGGTCACTCCTACATATCGCGCTGTTACGAATGTTCATCTGTTTGGGTAGGCAACTGATCGCTCTGGCCCGCGCTCTCCTACGCCGGAGCTCCATTATTATCCTGGATGAAGCTACTTCGAGTATCGACTTCGCTACCGACGCCAAAATCCAGCAGACAATACGGGAGGAGTTCGGTGATTCGTTGTTGTTGACGGGTGAGTGTATGCCCGAACTTCTGTACTTCTTCGTGCTTAACTTGCTCCTTGAAGTGGCCCATCGTCTGCGCACGGTCATTGATTACGACCGCCTGATCGTCCTCGATAAGGGTACGATCGCCGAGTTCGATACCCCCTACAACCTCCTACAAAATCCAGATGGAATTTTCCGCAACATGTGTTTGAAGAGCGGGTCGTACTCGGAGTTGGAGGGTGCCGCAAAGGCTAAGGCCGGGCTTTGAAGATGAAATGATTTGATATTGGTTAGAAACATACGGTGATACGAACGCAATCAATGGCTTGGACCTTCGGTTGGCATTATGGTCTGCACTCAGGATCATTGCATGATAATGTGTTAGGCTGGCAGCACGCCATTTGCTCCATGAGACTACAATGGTTGCATGGTACATGTAGCGTTCATAATCCCATTCGTCCTGAATCCATATACCCTCCCCTTCTAACTGAGTGATAAGATATGTTGGTAGTGTACAACAGTTGGTTAATGCGAAAGTGTTGATGCGGAGAAATCGAAGGTGTTGGCTGCACGCATGCGCATCGCTGATTGCAACGGCTCGATGCATAAGTGTTGTCGCGACTCGTGCCAGCTGCCTGACAGGCAGTGTGATCTGCAGAACAGGTTGTGAGCGTTCGAGCAAGGCGCACTGAGCACGAAAAATATGTACCTGTCATCAGGCGATCACGCAGTAGCTCTGTACACTGGTGTTCCGGTCCTCCTCGGCTGGGATCTGAGGGCCGTTCGAAGACGAGTCGGCGGAGTTGGGGAGGAGCGAGGTGAAGGAGGTGAAGGCGTCCATTGGTAGCACAGCAGTAATGGGTTGGCTGGTGCGTCTGCCTCTGGGTCGGTAGCTCGAGATGATTCGAAAGACCGATGAGTCTCGAGTAACGTGTGCGTCCCTTACTTATAGCCTTGACGTTAACAGATGCTGTCTTTGCATCCGCGAGGACAATAGAGCGCTCGGGGACCGGGGTGCCTTGCAGGTCTATATCGGCAACGCGCCCAGTGCCTCTTCGGTGACCGTGAGCACACAGAGGACGTTGAGTATATTACGGACAGCACATCCGCGCCGAATATGTTGCGCCCAGCTTTTTGTCTAGCATCCGTCGTGGCCGAGGGCCCCAATTGTCTAGCACACCGGTGTACCCGCCGGGTTGAGTCTTACGGGCCGATTCACATGGTTCTGAGCAAAGACGGCGCAGAGCAAGTTCTTCGGGCTCATGTCCGCAGCTTTTGCTGATGTTCTTGCTCTTTGCGGTCCTCCTTATTGTGAATCAGTCGTTGGAGCAAAGGGAGGCAAAGCCAAATGACAATAAGGAGGAGTCACGTGTGCGCATCTTGGGAGATGCTTCGCGAGTGCTTTGCGCGCCGGGTCGCACCTACACGGCCGCGTCTAATTGTTTCCGTCTATCCGCTGCCGTCCACGTTTTCGGAATATCGCCAGGAGATCCGGATCGGTCATCAAAGATTCCACCTCATCTATCAAACAACTGACCAGGAATGTTGCGCTGGCTGACGGAATGAATTGCCAGTGTCTGGCGGTAGTAATTCTGCATAGTACTGTAGTTTCTCGACCATTAGTTCGTCCCCTGTCTCCACCTACCTGCGAACCAAACCTATTCGCCCATTTGTCCCTTGTCCCCTTCCGGTTTTTTCGCCCAATTACTGACCGTGGGAGAATCATGGTCTGACCGTGTGAGTATTTAAACTGACCGAGGATCACTTCGCGAACTTCCCACGAGTCCGAACTTGGAGGGTGTCCCCTGTCCCCAGGGGGTCTGGCCGAACTTACGGTCGAAAAACTACAGTACACTAAGTTTTACATCGCATTCGAACGGTCTCCTACGGAGCTCTATATAATTCGGCGGGGATAATGGAATGCATAAGTATACAAGTGCGATGATGCGGGCGAACGGGAACGAAATAGTCCGGTCTAATGGATACAATGTGGACGCTGAGATGAACAGCGCGACGGGAGGGCCGCCAAACTGGGTGTGGTGTGAAGGCGAAGATGGTGATGCGTCGATGGGGATGCCGTCTGAGGCGAGCAAAGTCGGCGCTCGAGCCCGTAGGCGACACAGACGTCTATCGAAGCGAGTTAGAGCATGGCCATGTATGTAGCAGTGGGATTGCAATTACCATTGGCGTGGACCTTCAGGCGACGATGCACGAGCCCGAGCTGCCGCCCGAATCATAGTTGATGGGAGCGTCCTGGTTGGACTCCTTGGAGGATCCGCTCGTGAAGTAGGAGGTGATGGTGGTGAAGGAGTCCATTGTTAGCGGTGATGTATGAACGAGATGGCGCTGAGGATAGCTGATGGGTCCGCTGAGCGCTAATAGCACGGATGCGCGCATATTTATACCTTACTGTAGGCGGAGGGCCACCATAGGCAAAGCCTTGAAAATCGCACATGAATTTTTGGGGGAGCGGTCAAGACAATAAGGGACGGCCCCGGAGCCAAAGGGTCCGCCGATGGTTTCTATTGTTTTGTGGAGGCGTAATGGAATCATCGTCCATTAAAGTTGACTTAGACTTCGCGATTCGCGAAGCTAGATCTGTGTGACCGGTCAAGCATGCGGCCAAGCCCTGGTGCATTGCGAATATGAGTAAACCCGGGGATTCATGCCATATTCTTCTACGCACTCCACCGACGGCAGAGCGCAGCACAACACATTTGCTCGACGAAAGCCTGTTGGTGTCTCAGAAGTCGCTACCATGGATAGTGCGCAGACCATCAGCAGACCGGACGTTGCCGACATAGCTTGGCAGACCGATCATGGCTTTAATCAGCGGTACGGAAAGACAAAAAGATTGAGTGGAGGAAGCCATGGTCGTCATAGACGGATTGTCTGAGGCCCACACGGATGAGCGAGCCAGTTCCGAGTAGCATGAGAGGATCAGCGACGCGGTGAGATGAACGGATACGAAAGTGGCATCGTCCGGGCGCGGTCGTTCCGGCGTTGTCGTATTGATACCATCCAAGGCGCAGTCATAGAAGAGCGGAGCAATGGGAGAGGTTTCCATAAGACAAAAGACATTGCACGCAACGCGGTCAAATAGAAGCCATCGCCATCCTTCTAGGGCTTTTCCAGCATGATGCATTTCAGCCACCAGTCCAGCTTGTGGATAGTTGATATCGGTCTGAGCAAAGACTATGAAACCTCACTCGTCCATCCTCGCATGGCGGTCGACGACTAGGGAGTGCAGAAACGGTAGATTAGCTTGAAAGTTCAAGATCAACTTGCACCATGCCGAGTCGCCGTAGGCGTGACTATTCAGTGCTTGCGCCCCGATCCTGTCGTTTTCATCCAAAAACCATCCTGACTCCGTGCAACGACATCGCTATGCAGACAGTATACAGTACCGACAGGACCACGATCTCTGATGCTAGGGCGTCTCTAGAAGCCATGAAATCCTCCGTCAGGACTCTTCTGGCCACTGCGTCGAGCTCGCCCTGCTCCACCGCCGCACAGACATTCATGGCGCTGGTCCCGGAAATGGCACGTTTTCAGATCTCACTTGATGTCCTGCTCCCCGCTCTAAGTGACCGGTCAAAGGTGCATCCCAATACCCGTTGCATTCAGCCTGAGATCGTCAGTTGAGATCCAAGCTAGACGGCCGAGGAACGCGTCTTGGTCGCATACGTGCTTTACGCGCTCTACGCGGCGTACCCGCTCGAACTCAACCCGTTCAAGAGCACGCTGGAGGAGACCCTCGAGAAGGAGCGTAATTCGGTTAACGAGGATGTGAACGAGCGGGTCATCTGGGTTCTCTCAAAGGTCTTGCAAGGGGAAGGAAACTATGTGAGTACGTCCAGGCTGCTCTTGCTGCATTCAATCTGACCACGTATCTTAGCTTGGTTCATATTCCCCGAGAATGCTGGCTCATCACGGCGTTGCCGAGGAACTACGAGAAGGTCATCCTACTTTGCCTAATATCGGGCAATCGGGAGCGTCTCGATTACACCAAGAAAATCAAGCCAGTCCAGGTTTGGGTATGGATGCCGTTCGCGCCCTGAGCTTGCTCCAGTCCGGTGCTACTCGAGTGCTGACCCTCTCCGAGCAAAGGGTGAGTAGCAATACGCGATTAAATAAGCTATCGTTGACTAGGCTTGTATCTCAGCTCGTTCTCCCTCTCATCCCAAGCTTGCCACTGTCAGCAGCGCTGATCGACATACCCTCATTTGTCTCTCACAACGCTGCGCTTGCTCACCCTCTCTTCGTCGCTCTCTTGACTTCCTCGTCCGATCCGGCGCCCTACCTCGCCACGCTCTCCTTGCTACCCCCTTCGCTCCCCACCTACGACCTTCTCGGGCGGTTACTCCAGGACACCTCCCCCATCTCAGTTCAGACCGGCTCTGGGACAAGCGGCGCAAAGACCACGGTTGCGGACCTCATCCGCGCCGAAGTGCTGGGCCAGTTCATCCACGAAGCGATCGAATGGCTCGAGCGCGCTCAGAGGGAAGAGCAGGAGGGTATGATTAGCGACGACCGCTTCGCTGTAGGCGTCAGAAACGTGCGAACGTCTGTTTTTCATATGCGAAACGTGTGGGCTAACTGGAACACGCGCAGCTGTGCAGGTTCTACCATTCGCTGATCAAACTTGGGATCGTCGACCCCACATCGGATATCGAGACAGCCGAGATGGCGCATTTCGCGCTCAGCAACTCACGGTTTGAGGAGGCGAACTCGCTATATCGAATCTTTGCCAACGCTGCGGCTGGATTCGGATACTGAGAGTGACATTTCGGCCATGGTAGAGTCGCAATTGGGTCTTGTTAGCTAGTGTGGATGATCACCCAACTTTGACAAGCGCATCGGTTCATCCGAACATAGTAAAAACGAAAAATAAGGTGTATTGTGTGTACAAATATCCGATTAGAGGCGGATCGAAGGTAGGTGTACGAAGAAGAGGTGTGTCGCCTAAGGTGTAGACCGGGGTTTATGTGAGCTTTCTATGCTACCCTCCTGGGAAAATACAATGTCGGTGTGATGTCGGCCAAAGAATACAATGTTCTTGATAAATCAGGTGGTGTAAACAATGAGTGTGTTGCGCTCTGTTGCGGGCGTCCGTCGATAACGAATACAGATCTGCGGAGGATCGATGTCAGCGGCATTAAGCGGGGAGAGACTAGAGGGGGTGCGTACAAATAGCTGAAGTATGGCTCAGCACGAGCAAGGGAAATGCATATGGTTCAGAAGTCGGCGAGCGCCTGCATGCCAGGAACATCCTCAATAAGGCGATGGTTCGTCACAGGAAATAGAATACATACCATTCAGGCGATCACGCAGGAGCCGGACGAGCCCTTCGAGTCGTAGTCGATGGGTAGTTGGTCCTGAGGCTCATATTCAGAGCAGGAGGTTTCGGTCGCGGATGCGACGGGGATCATCTCGAGGGAGGCAAACGAGTCCATTGCGCAGTATGTCAAGCAAAGTCGCTGAATTGGCGTGCGGTTGCTTGAGCGGCGGGGTGACTGCTCGGGGAGTGGCAAGGTACGATTGCTCTGAACGGTGTGGGTCCCACCTCTAGCTTTTATGTCTTTGCGCCTTGTCGTGCTATTGTATCGGGCAATGCAGCGTCCGCTGCCGTAGTCCATGCGTCCGGCATGTCCGGGCCAGACAATGAGGGCGTGAGGGCGGTCGTGCGAGGGCGCTGCCGCTACCTGTTGCGCGCCTAATTGTCCGTATCCATAGATACGACCTGGGTCAGGAACGGCGAGCGCACGTAGAGAATAGAGGTGAGTACGGAGGCACGATGGATGAAGGTAAGTAAGGCGCGCGCATCCACGTGCGGGGATGCGTCTTTTGTCTTTGACCACCATCGCGTGGGCATCCTCCGGCAGCATTTAGCAACTTGCTGACTCCGTTCGGGACGAAAACGCGCTCTTGATAACATGGATTGACTGCAAAGCTCAAGGGATACGCAGGGATTCGTCAAGGCATCTGTGCAGTGGTCGCGCTATCAATGACTATGCATACGATGACCGTCTTGAACTACCAAACCAGAACTTGCATTCTAGTCCTTCGCAAGCTAGGCGGGCACGAATATCTGGACCGCATTCATGAAATATCTTCTAGCAGGCGCGGTCGCTTTCCGATAGCATCCATTCCACCCGTTGCGGCATGCCCATGCATCTGGTCGGCTTTACCGCCGAGTTCGGTCCGCAACAATAAGCGTACCAGCCGATCCTGTCTCCCAATTGTCGTCCGGAGAACATATATCTGGGCTACCTTGCCTCGTGCACAATGCTGCCTCCCATCACGTCTATTCGGTCCATCTCGTCCCAGCTAGAAGGGCTGTCGTTCCATCTGACTTTCCATGATGCAGCGGCTCGAGTTTCGTGTCCCTCCGTCTTGCACCGTGACTCTCGCCCCCAGGCCTCCATTGAATGGCGCTGATCTCATCATGCATTTTCGGGACCGTACCTGTTTTTGTGTCCAGGCGTGGGATTCGTCGCATTCCGCCGGTCTCGCCGCTTTGGTCTTTCTATTGTCATCACCCTTCAAATAGCCCGCCATTGCTTCGTCCACACGCCAGTTCGCCTTGTTGTCTCTCAGACAATAACGATGATCCCGACTAGCGAGGAAAATATATCCTCCTCCGTGTACATGTCCCTCTCGTCGTCTCCGTCGGCCTCCATATACTTCCCGCAACCGCAACGGGACGCCCCCAGCGAGCCACCTCGAGACGACGGCCCTCCCGACTGGGACTTCAGTGCCTCTAGCGGCGGCAACGTCGCCTTCTGGTGCTAATCATCGGCCGCGTAAGTCGACCCGACATGGGCAGCACCTGCCTAGCCACTCAGCTGACCGCTACAGCAGCACGATGCTCTACGACTCGCTCACTTCGACCTTCTATCACCTTGTGTTAATACTTATCGAACAAGATTTGCGAAAGCACCTTTCGCCTCCACCTTCGCTGCGTCCGTAATAGTGTATCTAGCATTTCGCCAAAAACCGTACAATTCCTACAATTCCATTTGACATAAGCCGGAAAAAAAATAAAAGGACAACGAGTAAAGAGGAGAGAAGGAAGGAACACAGGCCAAAGCCGCGACAGTTCATAGACGCAAAGCAGTCGCGTCGAGGCATGCAGGCATGAGTCAGTAACGGAAATTCGTATACGGCATAAAGCGCGAGGAGGAGATAACCCTGAGATGACAGGGTCCCAAGATCGACCTGAAACACCAGAACAGGACGTATTGCACCCACGGGATACACGCGGTTCAGACGAACAGGTGGTGCTATCAATGTGGTGCACTCATTGCCCTTGCTTTTGCTTCGCACGGAGTAGCGGCGCGAGGCCCGACAGCGCGCACGCCTTCTTCAAGAACTCGTGCTGGAAAACGCATCATTCAGTCATACGGTTTCGGGCATATCAGCGATTGCACTCACGTCCAGCAGCTCCGCCGCCGTCGCTCGGCTTTTCACGTCGACGCACAAACAGACGCTTAGGAAGCTCTTCAGCTCCCTGCTCAGGTCTTCAGGCTTCTTGAGCGTGGGCGTTCCGTTGGTCGCGATGAGGTAAAGCGCCTTCAGCGGCTCCTCGTCCAGATACGGCGGCTCGTTCTCGATCATCTCGATAGCCATGATGCCCAGCGACCAGATATCGACCTTAGCGCCGTATTCCTTCTGCTTGACAACCTCGGGCGCCATCCAGTACGGAGTGCCAACCATCGTCGCACGCTTGGACTTTTGATCCGTAAGCTTGGCACAGAACCCGAAGTCAGCTGTATGAGTGGTGAGTTTTTCAGGGTTTTTACGGAAGCACGACAAACGTACTGATTTTCACTCGTCCATGCGCATCGAGGAGAACGTTGTCCGACTTAATATCACGATGAATGATGTGTTGGCTATGTAAGTGTCCAAGACCCTTGCACGTCTGCGCATGATCAACACTTCAGTAGATGATCAGTTATCAACAGAGATACAGCGTACCTCCAAGCAGATGCACGAAATCTGGTCCTCCTCCAACGTGTTGTTCTCGATGATGTCCGTCAAAGCGCCGCCCTCCATGTACTCCATCACTACCCACAAGTCCTGCTTGACAAGGTACGACTCCAAGAAGTTGACAATGTTCGGGTGCTGTGATTCCTTCATGACCAAGATCTCGTTGACGATAAGTTCCTTCCGCGGCTGATGCGACAAGTCCATCTCCTTGATCGCGACCTTCTTTCCGGTTGCGAGCGTCTTCGCGACGTACACATGCCCAGATGCACTTTCGTCACATCTCAGCATTCAATGGCCCCAACTCAACAAGGAAAGCTAAACTCACCCCTGCCCGACCTTCTTGATCTTCGAGTATAGCGTCTTCGGGTCGTCAGCGCTTACGACGCTCCGTAGCTTATCCATAATCTGCGCCTCCGACATCGTACTGATCCGCTTCTCCTTCTCCTTCGGCTTCTCCAACGCCGCAGCGGCAGCGGCCACGCCGGACTTGCCCTCGTCGTCCTGGCTCGGCGTCACCGTCACCGCCGGCGCCTTCTTCGGCTGCAGCGGCTTCACAGGCGGCGGGCCCGCAGTGGCTCCCGCAGGACCGTGCGCCGGTGCATTCGCGGGGGTGTCGTTGGCCGGAGCCGACTTGGACGGGACGATCGGCGGACGTTGGATGTACTCCTCCTCGTCGTAGTTGCGCTCGCGTTCCCTCTCCCTCTCCCTCTCGCGTTCACGCTCCCGTTCGCGTTCCCTTATCCGGTCGACGTCCCGTTGGCGTTGCCGCTGCTCCTCTGCGAGCGAGTCCTTGCGCGCCGGGAGCTGCGCGCCCTCGGCCGCGGGTGGGCCTTGCGCCCGTGCCCGTGCGCGGAGATCCGCGGAGCTGGGGGTGTGGTCCGGCACGGGCGGCTTCTGTCCAGGAGACGGGGCCGGTCGCGTCCCTGTGAGCAGCGGGCGCGGCGGTGCGGGGCGCGACGGCTGGAGCGCACCCACACCGGCACCGAGAGGCCGAATCTGTCCGTTCGCGGCGGAGATCGTGCCAGCGTACGTGCCGTTGACCTGCTCGGCCGCGGCGCGGGCGGCGGAGGAGAGCGGGGTGCCGACGGAGGGCGGGGCGCTGTCCTGGCGCGAGATGGACGGCCGGCCGTCCTTGGAGATGCCGCCGAGCCCGGTGCCGGCATTGAAGCGCGCGGGCGGGTCGGGACTGAGGGTACTGGTGGACGATGAGTAAGCGGAGCCGGGGGCGAGAGTGGACGAGGCCGAGGAGCCCGCGCGGAGGGGTATGGACGATTGGGGGATGCCGACCATCTCCTCCATCTCGCGCTTCTGGTGGTCGGTGTAGAACTCGAGCACGTCGAGGACGGCTTGGGGGTCCTTGGCGTAGTCTTCGCGGGTGATCGCCGACTTGGTGAGGAGCTTGGACCACTGCTCGGGCATGCCGGTGAACGCGCCCGAGACGGGGTCGAAGCCGACGTGGACCTTGTGCATGAAGTTGGTCGGGTTGGACACGCCCATGAGGGGCGAGCGGGAGTAGATGTCGTCTTGCCAGCCATAAAGTTCGTCGTCGGACTTGAGGGCGAGCCAGATGCGCTTGTCTTTCGCCTCGATGAGGAGGCAGTACGGCTTGAGGTCGGTGCGCTCGACGTTGGAAATGTCGTGCAGGCGGATCGCGGACTGCGTGCCTGCGTTCTGCGACGCTTATTAAGGGGGGTTGTTCCGTCGTCGACGAGCAGAGAGGACGTACTTGATTCTTGCAGATCTCCAGCTGCTGCTCCGTGAGGACCAACCACTTCGGTCTCCACCCCAACAAGCTCGCGAGGCCGCCTTCCTCCTTGACGCTGACGGTCCCGCTCCGGACCTCGAACCCGTTCATGCTGTCGCCGCCGTGGTTGCCCTGCTGCTGTTGCTGCGCTAAGCTGATGCGATTGGGCGATCCGCCGATGCCCGAGTAGTTGGCCGCGTACGGCGACGAGGAGGAGAGGTAGTTGCTGGGCGAGTTCGCGTACGGCGACGCGGGCGCGAGGTTGAGGTTGTAGCCGGCAGAGTTGAGCGTCGACTGCTCGGTGGCTCGTCTTTGGGGTGCGGGCGGCGCGGGCCGAGACGGGGTGAGGGCTTGGCTGTACGCCATGATCTAGACGACGTAAAATATACTATGTAGCTAAGCACGACGGAGGGGGCACCGCCAACGCAATCCTGGAATCAACCTATGTAACAAACGCGGGGGCACCGAGGGCCGGAGGAGGTGAGACAGAGGCGGCGGGTTGCTGACTGAGAACGTCTGATGAAGCCGGACGATGTGCTCGGCGATGGCGCCAGCGTCGAGGACGAGAGAGACAAGGAGAGATTACAAGGCCACAGCGGTGCTTGCAACTGCACCTGCGAGGCGATGCTCAGATCATTTGGATCCCGCGTTGGCCACTGCGCATCACCCCCGCCTGATTGCCACGGCAACGCCTTATGATCCACGATCTCAGCTGCTGGCACTCACATCCCCGATCAGAAGGAGTAAAGCAAGGAGGTTAATCTCAGCGCTCCTCCGGTGCGTCGAAGCCCGGGGATAATAGGGCGCATTTCGAATCTCTCAACTGAAATGAGATTCGGAAGAAGACGACGGACGCTCTCGACGCTCACACAGGCACGGAACGGACGGAATACCGTGCCTTGTCTCCTATAGCTGAGCTGAGTGAGCGAGTGACATGGTGGGGACAATAAGCATAGCCTACCTGGCTGCAAGAAACTGCCGAGAGCGCCGGCCATCGTTAGCCAATGACCCGAGGCGGAGGTAGGCAGTAAGAAGCAGTGAGCAGCATCTCAATGCCCACGATCGCAGGCCAGAGATTGATATGTGGCGCATCTGCGCGTATATGCGTCGTCTTGCGTATGATTACACGGATTTACCCATGAACATTGTATTCGATGCGGAAGAGGACGTTGGCAGACCCGATCAATGCACATGCCTTCTCTCCGGTCTCTACGTTGCTTCCACCACTCGCGTCGCGCTGCGGCGAGCTGTTGGTCGTGTGGAGGCCTGCCAGTCGTAGGGATCACTAGGTCACCCCCGCATCCCGGATGCGAATCCGAAGGGAACAAAGGATCTCTACTTGTTCCTCGTTTGCCTGAAGAAAAAGCGAATCAGCATGAGTACAGCGTGAAATTGGTGGAGTGATATGACTGGTAAAAATATGCTGCATAATGTACGCGACCGCACGGTCGCAAACGTATGAAATAGCCAGCGGGACTTACTTGTACGAGAACTTCTTCTTTGTATGCGCAAACTCGCCTAGCTTGTGCCCGACCATGTCCTGCGTAACCGTCACCGGCAGATACTGTTTGCCATTGTGGACCTGAAATCGGATTCTGTAACGTGTCGCGGTCAGTACGAGATGTTCCATGCGCCCCATGATACAGCAGGAACATGGTGGCAGGATGCATATACGGACCCAACGAAATTCGGCAGAATGGTACACGACCTGGCTTGCGTCTTAATGGTTGTGCCGTTCTCGAGTGCCTCGCGCAGATTCGGGAAGGCGACGAAGTACGGTCCTGTAGTAAAGGTCCGAGCCTACGCATGAGCGTGTAGAACGAGCATCCGAATGAGATACATACCTTTCCAGGCGGACCGGCCGGATAGAACAGCCAAAGTAGGCCTCATTCTCCTTCGGGTTATCGTCTCGCGAAAGCGAAAGCTTATGACCTGGACCACCGAACACGATACTGAGTGAGTGAACGCCGACACGAAGGGGTCGCCGGCGGAAGTTCTGGCTCCCGTCACGTGAACATTGACAGTCCCGGCATGGACCCGAAGTTGCAACGGCGCGAGCGCTCCTCTTGTCATTGATTCCAACCGCGCCTCCTTAAATCCAATGCATCGACATACGTTATACTGAAGTATCTACCGCCTCTCTGCTTGGTGATTGTTGGTGCTCTTATATACGTCATCATCCCATTGTTCGCGGTTGGTTCGGCGTGCGGCGCGGGCTGGAATAGTCGGCGTCTGTTACGAACCCGCGAAGTTTCCGGCCAGATTTATGTACCAACAACAACTTGCTGGTTCAAGAGGCAGGAAGCGAGGCAATGGTGTTACTAAGTATCGATTGAATCGTACCCGATCCACCTCGTCTTGGTAAGGATGAGCTTCCGATAGTGCTTGCTAATACCTGTCGACGGCATACAAGAAGGAGTGTTCCGCTGCGCCACGATGGTGTATCACTTCACCTCCTTAGCATAAATTTCTGCGGCCATGCAAACACCTCGGCTCTTCCAACCGGTCAACGTTGGTTCCCTTGCGCTTCAGCATCGCATCGTCTTGGCCCCGTTGACGAGATTTCGGAGCACTCCCGGGCCGGAGCGCTTGCTAATGGACATCTCCGCGGATATGTACGAACAACGTTCACGCTCACCCGGTCAGTCCGCTATATCACCCAATCCCCTTACTATCAAACTAACCTCGTACATAAATCACCAGGTACATTGCTCATATCTGAAGCGACTGTCGTCGCCCCTCAGGCTGTCGGATATTCTCACTCGCCCGGTATATGGAACGACGCCCAGATTGTGCAATGGAAGAAGGTGAGATTCTTCACAAACACGCGGTGTCTCACCGAATCTCAAATGTTCTACAATAGGTTACCAGTGCCGTCCATAAGAACGGCTCCTTTATATTTTGCCAGCTTTTTGCGCACGGTCGCGGGGGCGATCCTGCGGTTGTGGAAGCGGAGGGACCATTCGACTACGTTGGACCATCTCCCATCAAGCTTTCCGGCTACGAGCGGACGCCTAGAGAGCTGACCTTGCCCGAGATCAAACAGTATGTGGAACTCTTTGCGCAGGCTGCAAAGAATTCCATCGCTGCTGGGTTCGATGGCGTTGAAATTCATGGTTCGATTATGTGATTCACGCCGTCAACAATAGGCTAACTCACGCGTCTCCAAGGAGCGAATGGGTATCTTATCGATCAGTTCACTCAAACGAATGCCAACCAACGCACGGATGCTTACGGAGGTTCCATTGAGAATCGGTCTCGGTTCGCACTCGAGGTTGTCGACGCGGTAGCGCGAGCAATCGGCGCGGAGAAAGTCGGGTACCGGGTTAGTCCGTGGAGTCCGTTTCAGGGTAGGTGCTCCCTATATGCAAGCGCGTTGGTGATTGCTGATGCACGGGATAGATATGCGTATGCCGGATCCTATCCCGCAGTTCAGCCATCTTGTCTCCGCACTCCGCGCAGCCCATCCCAACCTCGCGTACTTGCACGTCGTCGAGCCGCGTATTACAGGCTCGGAAGACACAGCTCCTGCGCCGGATAGCAATCAAGTCGAGTCCAACGATTTCTTGAGAGAGATATGGGATGGTCTTCCTTTCATCAGCGCCGGTGGATATACGAGAGAAAGCGCGATCGAGCGCAGTGAACAGTCGGGAGAGCTGATCGCGTTTGGCAGACACTTCATCGCCAATGTGAGTCTACTATTATAAATGGGTTGCTTCGTAAAACTGTCGCTCTGACGGCACATCTCAGCCCGGCCTCGTGGAAAGATTACGAAGAAACATACCCCTCAATAAATATGATCGATCGGGGTTCTTTACTGTTATGAGCCCGGTAGGGTACGTGGATCAACCATTTGCTAGCTACGATTGAGCGTTCGTTGGGGTACTACATAGAGATGAGCGTTGAGAAATACATAGAAGTATAGGCATTGGCAAATAGTATCCGATTTCGAAGGCGATATCACTGTTCAGAGCCTCAGTGACAGCACCATGGGCAATTATGATTCGATCAGACCATTACGTGACATTGCACGCGCTGCACCTGTTGTTCTTTATATACCCATGTGCACGTACGTTGCCCACCGACTAAAGGGAACACCTTCATTCCTCAACTTCCTTGTGGCGGCATCGAGGGCATAGGGAATTCGATCGAAATCGAGAGAAGGGTAGCTCCTGAACAGCTCACTATAAATTTCGTCAGCAACTATAGGGCCATCCTGATCATCCATCGACCTGCAAAGCCATCAGCTTCGCTCGTGATGACTGAAGAGCAGATGCTCGCCATAATGTTCCTACTACGCTCTTTACGCCCATGAACAGCATGGCTGCACCTAGGTGTATCGCTTCATCGGGCTGCTCGCGATCCCCGGAAGCGCTCTCGCAGGCAGCGAGGAACGCGAAGTGGGTGTTGTGGAGTTTGAGTCGAATCACATCGGATATGGTTAACCGACCATCCCGTAGCACGAACCCGCTCGATAACGGCTCGTCGGGATCCTGACGTCCATGGCACGCGAGATGCACGATGGACGCATCTTCCATGTCTCGCAGGATATCCGTCAAACGCTGCCTCGCGAGAGGCTTTGGCTGTGATGACAAGGGCACGCCTTTCTCCCGAAGCTTATTGTAAATTATCTGGCGCTCGGCGATAGCATTTGGGAGAGGAACCTGACCCTCGACTTCCGGCTCTGCAACGATTAGAACCTTCTTCACCTCCAATGGCATGGAGTGCGCATAACTCCTTGCCTGGGTGAGACAACCGATTGTAGGGACGTAGGAGGAAAGAACGTAGTCTGAGAGGTATTCTGCGTTAACGCCTGCCCTTCCCGCGGCGTGGATGGGGAGTGATGCGAAGGGCCCAGCGCAACACCACCATATTCGTGGCCGAGTATCGTACGAGGGACATTTCTACAGAAAATATGCGTATTTCAGCATGATAGCATTACATGAAGTTCGTGAAGACGCTGCTTACCTTCAATCCAAGGCGGCGTATGATAGGCTCAGCAACCGTCGTCCACAGGCGTGTCATAATGTCTGGTTCCTCTTCAGGAACCAATCTGCGTTTGTCAAGCTTCAAGCGGAAGTGTCCCTCTCGTGCTTCACTGCGCCATTCCTCACGGACTCGCCGTACACTGTGTTGGAATGACCCCGCCATCTTTGTTAAGTCATCAAAATCAAGGGAAGGGAAGGGTATGTGCTCCGCAACAGAGGAATGGTGCCGGATAATTATCGCAAAGGAACCATAGTGTCGGCTGGAAAGCAACATGACCAAGGACCCTTTCTCCGCAGCTTTGACGAGCGAGTCGTTCCCAGGTGGTTGCAGGAACTCGTGATAACCTGGATAGGTGCGGACTTCTCTGACTAGCTGCTGAAAGGATTCGTGTTGCGCTCGCTGCTGAAGCAGCTTTTGCTCTCCGGATGCACTGGGGGATCGCTTCAAATCGGTATACTCCTCCATCTTCCTGGAGGATTCAAAAAGCCGGTCAGCGAGCTCCTGGGGCAGACCTTTGAACGATGATCGAAGCTGGAGCCGTTGCGACCAGAATGTAGCTCGGCCCTGTTCGAGCATGGTTGCTGCTCGGAGAGTATCTGCTAATGCCAGCGCGCACCCAGCTGCATCGCACGAGACGGACGCGAACTCGCGCTTGAGATTGTCCAGTTGTGACGAAAGGTCCAGCGCAGGGTAAATGCGATGAGGCGATATGTCAACGGCCATCTGATACGCCTTCATTGTGGCTTCCGTCGAGTTCGAGGACTGTGTTACGGTGATCCATTCCTTTGCTGCCTCGAATCGTTCCACGTAGTCGGAGTACGGATCTGCTGTCGCAGCCTCAAAGAGTTCCATACACCGACTCCAGTCACTGGGCTCTCCAGAACGTAGAAATCGAGCATGAAAGAGGCGAGCGGTGGTATTGAGTGGAGTAGATCTGCCTGTACGCGTGGGCTCGAACTCGTCTCGCAAGATCGCAGCGAAGAGGTCCACCATCTCGTCAATCGCTGAAATTGAGACAGATGGATGAAGTATGAGGCGTAGAGATAAGACCCCAGCGCTGTAATGATGGTCGGGATGGCCAGGTGGGCAAAGTTCGAGCGCTTCTCGACCCAGCTCGATTGCTCGCTGCAGATCGGCTACATCTTTGAACTTGTTATAGCGTATTTCAAGTGCATGTGCGAGATTGTGCACATGGATATACCGCGATGCGCTTGAGAGGGGATCTGCATGCATCGCTTTCTCATGCAACAGGATGCTGTAGTCCAGGTCCTCTCGATTTTGCGGGAAATATGAGAAACGGCATGACAATGCCACACCGAGCCGGCCGACGACGGCCGGATATATCAGGTGCGCGGGATCGAGCAAGGCCATAGCTTCGTGACACATTTGAAGGCCTTCATCAAGGTCGGCTCTACTCCCCCTCTTGGTGTCGTATGCTATGCACAGCAGATACGCTAGGGATGAGAGGCATGATACGCGACGCGGGTGGGTGGGAGACATCTCGTCGAGAGTTAGACGGTACAAGAAACGGCACTCTTCCGCGCCTGGGCCCCGGCTTTTGGCATCCTTCCGGCCGATAGCATTCGAAAGAGACATCAGGGCCTCAGGCCGATCGACATGGCCTGCGGGAAGAAGGTCAACTGCCTTCCTACAGACCGAGATCGCCTCATCCAGATCGCTCATCTGTCCCTCTGAGCATGAGTAGAACCGTTCAAGAGCACGGCCGAGCCTGGCGTTGAGAATCGCTGCCGTGTCATTGCAAATGGGAGAGATGGCCAAGGCTTCTCGGAGTAAGAAGATCGTTCGGCGAATGCGGAGCGGTTGAGCATCGGACAAATCCTGATATATGAGCGTCAAGGCAAGATTTCCTAACAGCAACGCCCTATCCTCGTCTGGTGTGACGTGCAAGTCCAAAGCTTCCTCGTGAAGAGATATGGCTCTCTGGATATCTTCCACCTGCGAGATCTGGTACCAGCGCTCTGCCAAAGCGATGGCTAGTGCGCCCAGGGATCCATAAGAGTGCGCATTTTGAACTGACGGGTGGTCCAACACGCGTTCCTGAAGAACTATGCTGTCCTGTAGATCGTGAAAAGACCCATGCTTCAGGTATCTGGTAAACGTCAATTGTGCGGCCTTCCTCAAAACATGGAAGTCCGGATTGTCATAGGGCGTCCACCTCAAATATAGGTCCCATTGTAGAATTTTCGTGTCAAGCTCTGTATCACTGGGGGAGGTAATTTAAAAATAAGACGGAAGACCTATGCAGTGTGACACACTTTATGACGGGAGTGCGGAACATCATATCCGTGGAAGGTGAATGGCGCACGATGTTGGGAATGTCACGGAGATCTATGGGGGGTTCGAAAGTCGTCTGAACGAGCTGCAAGCAGCAATCGGTACGAAAGCCATAAGTACTACGCGCAGTGAAGGAAAGATCACATGGCACAACCGATGAACGCTGCTTCTGTGCGCATGGAACAAGATGGAACAGCCAAGACAGCGGCAATAGATTACGAAGGTGAATTGAGATCCACTGAGCCACAGGAAGATAGCCTTCTTTGCGCCCGGCACGTAGTCGACTAGTCAAGATGCGCAGGGCGGTGACTACCGGCGCGGGTCTGAAGCAGCCCAGAGGATCTGTTTTAGCATGAGCACCTATACCATGAATGGGCGCGGATGACGAGAACTGACTACGCTTTCGCTTCTCAACCATGCATGATGGATTTGAACCAAATCTGTCCCGAGAACATGTAAACAGAGCCTCTCCAAGATTGGGACCGTCTACTTATACCTCGAGCGGGATGTAAGAAGCACTTCCATGAAGAAGTATCTCAGTTCAGCAGCGGGGGCATCCTCCCGTGAAACCATCATGCAGCGTTCTCCGCTGTATATCGGGTTCTCGAAACCTAATATCTTTAGCATAAGCACATGGACTCTCGCCCAAGGCAAAGTCAGATGATTGCGAACGACTCGAAACGCACTAGGCAGCAATGGTGATCCCACGCACATCAACGTACGGCCTTCCTGGGGTTCAGAGCCATCTCACATTCCAATTACAAGTTCAAATTTCGATAGACGAGATGTAAACACCAGGGTTTGACGTCCAGATGCAAGCAACAACGAGGAAAAATGCCCCACGTCACGCTCACGTCACGCTCACGTCACGCTCACGTCACGGTGACCCCATGGCCAGCTATCCCTACAGACCCCTCCTTGCCTCCTTGTATAATGCGATGATACTTGTATAACGCGCTTGTATGAACGTCAAACAGATCGAGTCACACGTACTGCGTTGCTGGATCAGGCTCGGTTAAGGCGCGGGGTCTTCGCCACTGTGCGGTCTTGGGAATTCACGAACTTTCCTCGTTCTGGTGGTGGAATATGAGCGTAGGTCCCTCAACAGGAACCGCACACGTCGCTCAAGACTTCGTGGCTTCAGTGGGTGCGTGGCTGACATTCCGATCTGCCCGGGGCGCGTATGTTTACGCGTACAAGTATGATTACGGAATTCAGGCGTGCTTACGCATCGCATCCTTCGGCCTTGTCGCAACAATCCTTCCGCACCATTGTGTCTCTCTCGCGGGAGTGATGCCATCTCTAAGATCCGACCTCGCAGGCCTCCGTGGATGACTGAGACCTTAGTAACGATGGGCCTGCCATCCCGGCCTTGATCGCAAGTGCTCATAAATCTCGACGATATGCAGGAGGGATCATACCTCTCCGCTGTCCCTCTGGCTTGACAAACCCTTTCCTTGAGAAAGAAGAGAAGGACCATGCCAGTAGACGCGAAAGAAACACCTAAACTCTTTCAGCCAGTCAGCGTCGGTGCTCTTACGCTTAGACATCGCATTGTCTTGGCGCCATTGACCAGATGCCGGAGTACGTCAGAGCGCGTTCCGCTGGACATCGTCGCCGAGATGTATGAGCAGCGTTCGCGTACAGCTGGTCAGTAAGCCCTGCCGTTGCCAACGGGAAACGCGGATGGATCATGCTGATGGTGTTGTTCTCCAGGTACACTGCTTATTTCCGAAGGAACCGTGGTTGCTGCTCAGGCAGTAGGATTTCCGCATACCCCGGGCGTGTGGAGCGCTGAGCAGATCTCTGGGTGGAAGAAAGTACGCGTTCGGTGACAACGTGCTGAATATTGCCCCTAAACCACGATCTTGTCTCACTTGTTAGGTAACGTCCGCTGTGCACAAGAACGGTTCATTCATATTCTGTCAATTGTTTGCGCATGGACGTGGAGGCGACCCGTCCGTTGTTGATGCCGAGGGACCGTTCGACTATGTTGCGCCGTCCGCTATCAAGCTCACCGAATGCGAAAGGACGCCTCGGGAGTTGACCTTGGCTGAAGTCGAGGAATATGTGCACCTATTTGTACAGGCTGCGAAGAATGCTATCGAAGCGGGTTTTGATGGTGTCGAGATTCACGGTGCGCCATGTTCTAGTACTTAGTCAAAGAATACCGTGGAACTTAACTCGTATGCCGTGCAGGAGCGAACGGATACCTCATTGATCAATTTACTCAGTCGAACTCCAATCAACGTACGGACGTATACGGCGGTTCTATTGAGAATCGGTCACGGTTTGCTCTCGAGATCGTAGACGGTGTGTCGAAGGCCATAGGTGCAGAGAAGGTCGGATTCAGGGTCAGTCCGTGGAGCCCATTCCAAGGTTCAGTCTCTCTGTATACCAGGCCATAACAGTCTCTGACGCGTCGTCCCGAAAAGATATGCGCATGCCGGATCCGATCCCGCAGTTCAGCCATCTCGTCTCCGCTCTACGCTCAGCCCATCCCAACCTCGCGTATCTGCATGTGGTCGAGCCAAGGATCTCCGGCTCGAACGATAAAGACCCTTCGACATACGACCCTACGGAGGAGTCGAACGATTTCTTGAGGAAAATATGGAAAGGAAAGCCAATTATCAGTGCCGGTGGATACACAAGGGAAAGCGCTCTGGAGCACAGTGAAAAGACTGGAGAACTCGTTGCGTTCGGAAGACATTTCATCGCGAATGTGAGTTGGCGTAGCCTTATACTGAACAACTTCACCGTGCTCACAGATACCACATAGCCGGATCTCGTGGAAAGGTTTACGAGGAATATTCCGTTGAACAAGTACGATCGATCGACATTCTACGCTGTCATGAGCCCGGTAGGATACGTGGATCAGCCTTTTGCTAGCTACGATTAAGCACCACCCGGGATGTATACGATGACTTCAATGGCATGATAATTCGTATGGGGCGCACACCGCATATCACGTCGAGTATATAATCTGTGTAAGTATCTCCACTTGGCTGGTAAGTATTGCTTGCCGTCCAGAATAGGGGCCAATGCCTACTGGGGCACCGCCACGCATGTGGTAATACGCCTCCGCGCCGGCAAGCGATTCTTGCTTGACGTTCGTCTCTGATCCTGTCTGTTCAGATGTTTATCAATACTTAATGCGGTGGACCTACTCTCGACGATTTGAAACTTTCTGTCTCAATCTTGTCCCCAACGAAGATATGATCGAGACGCATGAAACTGCGAAGACTCGGCTTTCTGGTGATGCCTGTAGGCTGAGCGCTGAGCCAGGGAGAACGTTGAGCATCGCAAGATCAGCGCTCAGCGCTCAGCACTTAAAAGTTACATGCCTTGCGGCACTGGGTATTGTAGTATGGACGTCCTTTGTCATGAATATACTTGTCAATGCCATTGGGACATGGTTCGCTCGAGGTGAGCATGACACCGGTTTCACCCTGACAGATCGAATTGACAGGTCGCAGGTGCAGGTTGCACCCAGCGCTGGCAGTGGCAACATTTCGACCGCCGGTCAAGTCCTCTTCACCTCCCTCGCGTCGCTTTACGCGGTTCACGCTCCCGTTCAGACACCGGGACAGACTATACGATCCATCTAACCCTCGACGACCCTCAAGCACACTAATCGCATCTTCTACGCGTTCACATATCTAGACAAAGGTCACTATGAAAGCGCCTCATCTCTCTCTGGTCCTCTCGGCCCTCACTGCAGGCGCGTTCGCCGCATCGGCCGCTGACTGGCAAAAACGCTCTATATACCAGGTGTGTCGTGCCCGGCTGTGCCATATACCCTTTACTAAACCATGCCTCCCCAGGTCGTCGTAGATCGCTTTGCTACCAGTGACGGCTCAAGTCCTCCGTGTTTCACTGGTGACCGTCGGTACTGCGGGGGCACCTGGGATGGACTGATTAACAAACTGGACTACATCGAAAACATGGGTTTTGACGCGGTATGGATATCCCCAATCGTTGCCAACGTGGCCGGGAACACATCGTACGGGGAAGCATATCATGGGTACGCTGTTTTGACCCACGCTGCAACGATTCTCTGATCGGGCCTTCGCAGATACTGGCCGAGCGACATCAACAACCTCAACCCGCATTTCGGTACCCCCGACGACCTCAAAAACCTCGTGACCGCTCTCCATGGACGTGGGATGTATCTCATGGTTGACGTCGTAGTCAATCATATGGTCGCCCTCCCAGATAATACCAGCGCTTCCACGGCGGGAGTACCAGCCCTCGATTATAGCACCATCACACCTTTTGGCACCTCAACGGATTATCATGCGCCGTGTTTCATACAAGATTACAATAACCAGACAGACGTGGAGCAGTGCTGGCTAGGCGACGTCAACCTTCCGCTCGCTGACCTCAACACCGAAAATCAGACGACGGTCGACATCATGTATCAATGGATCGGCGATCTAGTCAAGACATACGACATCGACGGCCTCAGGATCGATACAGCCAAACACATCAGGAAGGACTTTTGGCCCGGATTTGCGTCAGCCGCAGGAGTGTTCACCATAGCAGAGGTAAAGTCTGGGATTGTAATCCATGTGACCTTTGTATGTCTGACAAGTTGATACAGATTCTCGAGGGCAGCACAGATTATACAGCACCTTATACCCGTGAGCCTCTCTGAGCTGGACGCGAATGTGCATCTGATTCTTGATTTCGCGCAGAGGTCCTCGACAGCATCCTTGACTATCCGACCTATTTTGCCCTTACGGACGGCTTCAAATCCGCGAGCGGAAACCTCTCAAATATAGCCAACATCATCACCCAAGCCCAGAAGAGCTACAAAGGCGGCGCATTTAGCACAGGGGCCTTCCTCGACAACCATGACCAACCCAGATTCGCGTCGACCACTTCAGATCAATCGGTGAGTCTCGTGCGTTGTGATTAGCCTCCGATAACTTCCAACACCTATATAGCTGGTTCGGAACGCCATGGTCTTGCCCTATATCCATGACGGCATTCCAATTGTCTATTATGGTACGTGTACGCACACTATCACCAGAGGCCTTCGTGACATACGAGAATAGGCCAGGAGCAAGGCTTCCAAGGCGCTTCAGATCCTGATAACCGTGAAGCGTATGCGATCCACATATTTATCCACAAGCGTACGCTCACGCCCGCCCCCTATCTAGCCTTTGGTTGTCGGACTACGTAGATGATCCAGCGCAGCGACCTCTTCTGGATCAGCTTGGGCGCCTCAATGCAGCCCGCAAGGCCGCCATCTCCGCCCCGGGATACTCCTTCCTAGAATCTCCGGTAATATCCCGCCCTTTCTATATGTAACAATTCGCGATTAACCGTCCCCACAGATGAAGTTCGTTAGTCCTCCTGGGGAAGCGCCCACCATCGCCATCTCCAAGCCACCCCTGCTCGCTCTCCTCACCAACCTCGGCAACCAGTCCACCGTAGTTTATGGTCTGCCGGACGCGGGATTGGGCAACAACACCGCTGTTATCGACATCTTGAATTGTGCCCAGTGGCGCACCGGTGAAACGGGCGAGATTCATGTGAAGAGGGAGCATGGCATGCCTCAGGTATGTCTTGCTCGATGCGATGCAGATGGTGATAGGTAGGAATCTAATCGACCATGGCTTGCAGGTTTTGATGCCAGCGTCGGTCCTAAGCGCTATGAATTCGACGCTTTGCCGGGATGTCGTGACCAAACTGGCAGCGGGACAGGGTACAGATAGTGGCGCCCCAAGGGAGAATCGCCAATCTTTGGTAGCTATCATGTTCGCATTCGTGGTGACAGGTCTATCCATGATGTTGGTATGAGCAATTCGACATCCCTTCCGCTGGCAGGGCCTGCTCTTTGCCGAGGTAGAGGGAACCTAGATTCCGGCAATGGCTTCTACAGTCGCTTTGGCATCCATTATCTCCTTCGACGATCCTGAGATGAACCTGTGAGTGAAGAACCTCGAGCGATGATTTATTCGCTCCTCACCGATGAAGGTGATCGTTAAACGTCCCGGGACTACGGCCTCGCTCTCGGGAAGTCGCCATATTTTTATCTTGAAGCGCTTGGCTATCCTCGCCAAATCCTCGTCTCCGATGTCGGCGCCTCGCGTCAATGTGAGGAACCCGACCTTTCTGGCCTCTCGCGCTCTAGCGCATGCATCGCGGATCAAACGTTCGGCTTCGTCCAATGCTTCCGAAGACTCGCCGTGGATGATCCAAGAGACGTTACCGCTTTCCAAAGGATCGTATCTGCTCTTGAGCTCCCAGATGGTGGCGTTCTCGTCGGCTCGATGGAGGATGGGGGTTGGACCCGACTGGGTCGATCTTTCCGCAATAGATTCAGGCTGACCGACGACACTGACGCCAAGGCGAGACAATTGCTCTTCGGCAAGTTCATATATAGCGACTTTATACTTGAGGGGTACCTGCACTGAACGTTCCTTGGTTTCGAACTCAGTAACTAGCAACTGCATGTTCATCAGTGTTGCTGTTGTTATGATCTAAGCTGGAAGAGTACATACGTGGAGGTATTTTCTCGTCTTCTGATAGTCCGACGGCGTTCCTACGATCTTCACGATCGTCTCCGGTCCCTTCCCCGAATAGTTGATGGGTTTCCCAATCGAAGAGTACGTGTCATCATCGGGGAATAATACTATCGCCTCCGTTCTCTCTGGGCGGTCTCGCAGGTGGGCCTGCAGCGTAGCGTGAAGGTGCGTTGCTATCGACGTGCCGTATACGCAGACTGTGTGGCTGCTTATGAGTGTCTTTATATGCGCTTCGATGGCATCCAATAGCTTGACTTTGGCTCGAACGTGAATCGCGTGAGGAGTTCTGCTCGGCTCAATTATCAAACGAGGTCGGTATATCATCATCGCTGCACGTACGTGTCGAGTAGCATTTCCCGTTGTACGGACGGATCCATGGGGCCTCCGCAGGCTGTGACGACCTCTGCCCATTGCTGTAGTTCATGGCCAAGCACCTGTTCCTGCTTGCTCTCCGGAAGTGCGATCCACCTTACATGTTCTTCGGAGATGTCGGATTGTATCTGGCGAACAAGCTTTTCGCACTCCTCCAATGCTTCTCGATCATTGGCGGAGAGCAAGATGGGACATTCGACACCAGTTCGGCGCTGATCATATGCACCAACCACGATCTCGAACGCGCCAGACGCCGTCGTTATTGCGCGCAGTTGGTCAGGAAGTCGTAGACGGCAAGCAGTTCGATGGCATATCTGCCACGATCTCGTCAGGCGTGACCAATGTATGTATTATGTGCGACTTACATGGATCACCTTCTCTTGGGGACGTAGCTGAGCGCTCCACACTCTGAGGATTTTGCTCGCATCGCGGACGGCAGCTCTGCGCCCACTGATGACAACGAGGGTAGGATCCCCTTCCTTCCGCGGATGTGTCAAAGTGATTGCAGCGCCGGATTCCTTCCTGAGTTCCTCCAAACAGACCTGGAGTCTTGCGACCATTCTTCGTGGAACTTTCATGGTCTTTTTCTCCATTTGCGGATCGATAACCTGGTCCAAACTTCAGTTACCACATCGGTCACATTGAGCAAATTGAAGAAGGACGTACGTCCCGAAGCTCGTTCTCCGCCGCCAACACATGTTTTATCGCTCCACGAACAACCGCATACTCCCCGGGAGTTGGGAAAGTCACGACAACGTCATGTTTTGCCTGCAGACTCTGCTTGATGACTGCGCTCTGAAGACCGATCCACTTGTTGCGCAAATGCTGTGGTATAATGACCCTTCGTTCGATGTCGCTCTGAAAGGTCCTCACTGAGTATATCATCAGCCCAAAGACAGGTTCTAGACTCACCTCTCCATCAGCGAGTTCTCGCATGCGCGCCCTAGCCTCTTCGACGTTGTCGGGAAGACCTTCGATGATGAGCTCGCGCTCGACGACGCTGATCCGAACATTGAGATCCTGCTCGCATTGACGAACGCTATCACCGTCCATGCCGATCAGACGTCCCTGAAGTTCGCCATCAAGAACTATACTACCCTAGGTTGAGAGCGGATGATTATTTAGAGCCTTAGCACAACACTATTCATCCTTACCGTCTACAGATGGGTTGGTATGAACTCGTCACTGTTATGGAAGATGAACATCAACACTCACCGTTCTTCTGCGAGGTTGTGTGGAGATGGAGAAGAACTGCTCCCATTCCGAGGATAAATTGGATATCACTGGAAGAAGCGCACCAATCGTTGGTCGCTTATCCGGGTCGACCGACCACGATGCTCGCAGCTGACGATAGAGCTTATGCGATAGACCACGACGAACGGCGTGGAAATCTCCTTGAGGCGGTCGCTCGCCAGAGATGACTGCGGCCCTGACTGCATTGTTTGTCAACTTGTCGGCAAAGGGTAGTTTTCCGGTGAGAAGCTCCCATGCAAGCGATGCAAACGACCATCTACATACAACTAGCGTGACTAAAGAGCATAAACAGCAAGCCATGGAGCTCACACGTCGGACTGAGTAGAGGGCTTGATGTCCTGCTCATTTGCGAGTAGTTCGACCGCCATCCAGCGGAACGATCCTCCGTCTGGCGATGAAGTACTTGAAGAGTTGGCATAGCGAGCAGCTGACAGTCCGAAGTCGCAAATGAGAGGGTTGTTATCAGATCCGACCAGGACATTAACCTACTTCCAATCAGTCTCAGATTGATCAAGACGTAAGTGACTCACACATTTCAAGTCCCCGTGTATGACGTTTGGCTGGTGATTGTGGAGATAATCGACAGCCCGTCCTATCTTCAACAACTACGAGCAAGAGTCAGAATCATGGAATGCCTGGGCAACGCGATTTTGCGAAAGTTACCATATCCAACCGGTTGACCGATTCCGCCTCCGGCTGCTTCATGAACTGGGACAAGTTGCCCTTCGATTGCCAAGGCGTCACCAGCCTGATGTCGGCAATCCGGGTGTGCGTTATGCCAAGTAAAGGAAGTATATTCTCGTGGCGTAATTGGCGCCAAATCAAGACTTCCGTCCGCAGAATCTGTGGCGACCGTAAGCCCAGCCCCATGTTGCCACATAGATAGAGCCAACCTTTTGTAAAGTATCATTGTATCCTGCGGTACATTGCCTCAGAGGCGTCTTGATTGCGACCATCTGCCCATCGAACAGACGTCCTTTGGAAATGGAACCAAACCCTCCGGCTGTGACGACGAGGCTGTCGCCCTGTAAGGTCAACACAGAAATGGCCACGAATCTCTGTGCAATCTTGCACAGGCGGCTTAGTGTCTTGAAGGCCTGGTTTCGCAACGTATCTGTGGGGTTGCTGTGGTCGAGATACTGCAATGCAGGTCAAGGGATTATAGACAGGTAGCGCATCGGGAGTTCTTGCCTTTTGCATGAGCACCATCATGCGCTCTGCCTCATCGCCACGTAACGATAATGCTGCATCGTAGAACTGTGTCGAAGGCAGGAACCGCCGGAGGAACAGGTAGAGATCTTGCCAATCCTCGCCGTGCCAAACAAATCCGTCAACAAGCGGTGGTAAACGTGAAGATCTGACAATCTGCGAGGAATTTAGCATATGCGAGTGCAATAAATGGACTACGTACACGGTCCCGGAAACCTTTGATTGTACCATCCAATCTGGTCAAGTCGGCGGGCAAGCGTACAAGAAGTTCGATGAAATGATCGTGCGTGTTCAGACCCGTCCACTTGGAGAACTCCGTCGCAGCATCTTGCAGTAGACTAACAGGGTTGCGTATAAGCGAGGCTTGATTCAAAGTGGGACCAAAGTGTGCTCACCTTTCAAGCTCATCATATCCGCGCGATATATTGCACAATTCCCGCAAACTATCAAGAGATCGTATAATGTCTACAACCCAGGCCTAAAGAATTGAGTCCCATACCCAATCAATCTCGAGTCCACGTAAAGGTGGAGCATACCTTATACTGTGTGATATTTCTTGAATGGTCAGTGATGACAGAATAGAGGTTGTCGATTCGACGTTGCTGTCGCAAGTCCTCAAATGCGCCCTGCAAGTGCAAGGTTGCAACCGAGCGTAATGTAGGCTGGCCGGTGACGGTCAGCGAGTCCAGGGACATGGCCGCACACAACAGTGTTCGAAATATCCCGACATATATCACGTTGGCTATGGGCGCTTGCCGCTCTGATTCCACCGCTTATATCCGCCAGGGTTGCCTCGATGTTACATAGCTTCCTGAGAAAGCGCGGAACAAATTCCATCGAATTCGACGCATCCTCAAGGGAAACAGAGGTGTCATAATCAGGCGCCTTCATCGGCGACCTATCTGATGAGTCCGATAGATAAAAGTGTACACGTAATCCCGACAACTACGGAAAATGTTATTCTCTGCACCTGATCTCCATGCAGCTGCGGGACGCACGATATCACCTAATTGGATATGCGATGCCCGCGATGCTCCCATACTAGCTCATGCTGCGCTTGGGATGCTACTTTGGAACAAGCCAGTCATGATGCTAAGCTTCTCTGCGGTGTACGGCGCGTAGCGGACCTCGAGGGTGGGCTCGGCTCTGCACTGCATGTAAGCCAACGAATGCCCTTCCGTAAATTCGGGCTTACTCTTTGGGGATGTCTATCGTGGTCCGTAGGTGTGTGAAGCCGTCGAATGTGTACTTCATCACTTGTCCACCGTCTTGAGGGGATCGTGAGAGATGAAGGGGAAGCCGGAAGCGAGCCACTCACAACCGCTCTCTCCCACGCCGGAGAATGGAGTCTCGTTAACTAGATTAATATTGATGAGCGAGACGGTCCTACTGAGTAGCCGATGCTGTTCACTCACCTGAAAGCTGCTGGAAGGTGTCATTGAAGACCAAACTGCCGCTTGCCGTTGTATCTGTGACTGAGTAAGGACATGATGGGTCAGCTGCGCATCGTCGGGTGGACGAACGAAACCTACTCTGCTGTTTCACCTGAGGATCTTCGGTGAACGCGTACAGAACGAGCGCATGCGGTCTAATATCAACATTGGCATGCTGCGCAGGCGATGAAAGTACAAAGGCCCGGCATACCTTTCGTTCACAAACGCGATAGCTTCGTCCATACTATCGACAGGAACGATCGGAAGAATGGGCCCGAAGATTTCTCTGTGACGACGTTCGTCAATCGTAGTTATAAGCCGGCTATGGCATACGTACTCGGACATCAGTGAGTCGCCCTTTCCAACGTCTTTGACAATTGTGAGCTCGAAGCCTCGGTCGTCGTCGGTCTGACCTCCTGTGACGACAACGCCCTTCGTGGCATTAAGCAACGACTTCAGGCGCTTTTGATGAAGGTCCGAGATGATGCGCCCGTATGAATCGGACTTGAGGGTACCCTCAGGGTAACACTCAGCAATCCGAGCCTTCATCGCCTCCACTAGTTCGTCCTGCTGGCTACGAGGGATGAGGACATAGTCCGGCGCAACGCAAATCTGAACGTCGCCGTCCGTAAGCGCAGGAGCTCATGGATAGTGATGTGCACCAACCTGGCCAGCATTGCAAGCCTTGCCGAACAGTATCCGTTTGGCGGCCAACTCGAGGTCGTAGGATGGGTCGACGATTACCGGCGACTTGCCGCCGAGTTCCAAGGTGACGGGCGTGAGATGCTTCGCCGCCGCGGCGGCCACGATCCTGGCTATCCTGCCATTTCCGGTGTAGAAGACTGGAAGATGTGCGCGGGATTAGCGATTCATGATAACGGGGCTGGGAACGGGGGAACGCACTGTGGTCCCATTTTAGCTCGAGAAGCTTCGTCGTCTCTGTGACAGCACCGTTCACGATGCGGTACGCGGACGGGTCGAGATAACGAGAGACGAGATCGGCGAGTAGCTGCGCGATAGCAGGCGCGAGCTCAGAGGGCTTGACGACGCAGCAGCACCCCGCGGCGATTGCCCCAATCAGGGGCTGCAGCGTGAGAATAATGGGGTAGTTCCAAGGACTGCGTCCGCGCTCTTCTTTGAGCGAGTTGCGAAACACGGGCAACGGGACAGCTTACGCGATGTTGAGCACCACACCCTTGGGCATCTTGGTCAGGGTTGGCTGCCACGATTTCTGCCAGTCGGGGACGGACACCAGCTCGGGTTTGGCCCACTCCTCCAGTTGCTCGGCGCTCTTCAGTGCGCGCTCGGTGATGGGCCCAATTTCCGCGGCGTATACCTCCAGGGCAGGCTTGCGCATGTCGTAGGCGATGGCCTTCGTGAACTCGTCTTTGTTCTCTTGCATCATGCGAGCGACCTGGTGTAACTGGTGCCGTCTCCATGCGAGGGGCCTCGTCTTGCCACTGCGGAATGTCGCCCTGAGTTCTTCCGCAATCTGCAGCGACGAACGAATATGAATTTAGATACACGATATCGCAAATACACATACCTTCGGCAACTCGTCGACGACGGTATGCTTCAACTCAACCATGGTGGATGTCGAACAAAGACGATTTGGGGAGCAGTGTGGGGAAGAGAGAATTCGCTGATGCTTGTCGTGATAGCCGGGCGTTTTAAGCAACAGTGGCTTGGACAGAAGCTTCAACCCCGGAATCGCAAAATTCGGCCTGGGGTTGAGCTTGCGTGCGATCAGGTGAGTTGACCGTCCCCTAAAATGGGAATCGATTAACTCACCCTGGTTCCTACGCACCACCGGCGCACACTAAGCGCAAGCGAGGCTCACTCGGTTTCTGCATCCGGTTGCAGATACATGCGCATGGAGTATAACTTTGCCTGAGGCCTGAGCCTTAGCGGGGCCGGAAGCCGGTGATTGAGACCTCATCCTGTGCCGAGGTTGTATTGCAGTAGAGAGGCGTCTAATGTAGCTCCTATCGATAGTCTTCAAGTCGCTATATTCGTTGTCGAGATCGTAAACCGGCCAACGCTGTATTCTATGGACGGTCGTAGGTGAAGACTACGAGGACGTAAAATCCGAAAACGTCGGTGTTTCGGTCATCCTATTGTTTGCCTCTGTTAATCATGCGGTGAAGTCCGAAATGGGTCCGAAACTGTACCCTCGTATGCAACCACATCCATTGATTCCATTCTCCTTCGCGCTTACATTGGGTTAAACCTGGAGAGCATGCGCCGTTCTACGCTCGGAGCGTGGAAAGCTAACAGAGCAGAAGGACGGTCCCATTCGTCGGCGTTCATCGCCTCGAGTTAGATAATCGACTTCAAGCCCGGCTGCCTATCAAATGCTAACATGCGCTGAGGCCTTCATCATGCCTCATACACCAACAGATACTTCTAGGCTCCAGCTCCAGGATGGCCCGACTTCATACGGTTTCATGGTATCTTTTGGGATGGGCGCATATACTTAACCCACAGCCTAGTCCTGTGTCTCCGCTCTACTGGCTGAGGCAAGCAACCTACAGACTACAGTGCCTCGCGTCCATGCGCTGCCATGCAATGAATGATGGGAAAGGGGTTTCATTGAATCCTATAGATGTCTATCAATCTCCTTTGCAAGGCGAGCTATTCTCACGGCCCTGTCCTTCATCGGCGCGTAATCGACAGCATGACGGGGCCAAACTAATGCATAGTTCCCCAGTAAGTATGGCGGTACCTTCTAACCCGTGGAGACAGGGTAGTCAAATCTGCGACGCCGAACGCGCCCGATGTCTCCCATCACATGCCCCTGATATGTCAATGCTAACTTGGAGCATATATTCGCAGTACCGGAGTCTGTCTTCTAACCGGGCCGGCTACTTCCAGAATCGCATATGATCAGCACACACGCAGCCCCGATTTACATATTCTGGACTGCGTTCGTAATAGGCGCCCGCATCGCCCCGTATGGTCGTGCTGTACGAGGCGATACAGGATCCTTGAACGAGTCATCCCATGGTGCCCCTGTGTTCCATTATAGGCTAACTGCTATATCGTAGGTTGCAAGCCACTCCTGCCTCATCAACAGCATAGGCGATGTGACGTTGTGTACATAAGAAGGGCCACGCGGGCTCGATTTCCGCAAGATCGACGAGGCGTCTTTCATATCGCAACCGCCCTCCGCCTACTATCTCATCTAAGATGAACACGCACTCTCGTAACGCTTACAAGGAAGCGAAGAAGCAAGAGAGGCGCCAGAAGATCGTAGACCTGTACTCGCGCCTCGTGCCCTATGAGTCGCACATGGTCGCATTCAAGGTGGGCCTATCTCATATCACATGTTGGTGCATGAGAGCTCACGTATGCGCAGTGTCGTTTCTGCAAATTGATGGCCCAATGCAGGGTATTGCAAGACCAGGTTTCCACGACGAGTACGATCGATCTGTTGGGCGACGTTGAGGAGTAAATCACGCTCTTAGGTCTAATCGTGGGCGTTGCTGACATTCCGCCCAGTTTCTATCGACGTTTACTGCAGAAATGTGCGGAATGGCTAAAGCTTGGAAACGATTTACTATCTCTTCTATTGCGCATGCCTCGGGAGCTCAAAGCGTTCGAACGGGAGATCAAGCAGATCCTTGATGCAGTACGTGATGATAATCCTTCTTCGCCACTGTTCCATGCTAAATATGTTGACGTTCGCTTCTAGTCGCTCGGCTTTATAATTTCCCCGGCTGTGACCTCTGCCGCCCCGGAATATCCAGCAGAGGACTGGGGCGATATACTGCGTCGTCTTCGTCTGGCTCTCGACGATATCAGTTTCTATCGCGATTGCTGCAAGGTACAAGGCGATGACGCGCTCTGCATCGCCAAAGTCATGGGTCAGGTACGCGGTCCACGATCGACATCTAGAATCGGTACCGACTGAGGTTGCATAGGTGCTCCGCACAACGGATCATAAAGACGGGTGTCGCACGAAAGCATACAAGATTCTCAACGAGCTATGCAAACGTGACCTTGCCGCATTCTACACCTTCGTGCCTCGGGTTACCGCCCCTCGTAATCTCGAAGAACGCGCAAGCGGCGGTTTTGGCCGCGTATCGAAAGGCAATCTATCCGACGGAAGGACGGTAGCCGTCAAGACAATCACTTTCTATTCCGCCCAGGACAACACAAAGCGACTGAAGGTTTGCATTGCTTCCTGACTGACGATGTGATTGACACTCAAATTCCCGCCAGTCACTTCGCACAGAGATCCTCCTCTGGTCTCTCCTCGAGCACCCCAACATCCTTCCGCTGATTGGGATCACGGAGACAGAGACCTATATGGGCATCAGTATGGTGGCCCCCTGGTGCCGCAATGGGAACTTGAGCGACTACAGTAAGAAACAGCGCAACGCATACATCAACCGACTTCAGCAGGTAAGCGCGTAGTACTGTGATAGTACTGCTTGAGGTCATCAGTTCGGAATAGTTGGCGGACATCGGCTCTGCCCTAACCTATCTGCATAATCACGTCCCGACCATCATCCATGGCGATCTGAAATGCGTGAGTCCCTTGATATAAATCTTCATCACAACCGCTGACACGGTGCTAGGCGAACGTACTGGTCAGCGATGACGGGAGACCACTGCTATGCGATTTCGGTTTGGCTACTCTTCGCTACAACGGCGCCACGATGTCTTCGGCTCTTGACAGTGGTTCCGTCCGGTGGATGGCAATTGAGCTCATCAGCATCCTTGATAAACCCACCATCAACAAGGAGACAGATATGTCAGCGCACCCTCACAATTCATTTCGTATATCTACTAAAGTATCATCCCTGTAGATGGGCATTCGCGATGCTTGCGCTGGAGCTTCTGACGGGAGACCTTCCTTTCAGTGATAAACGAAATGACATGGCGGTATTGAGCGCTCTTCAAGCTCAGGACGAGAGGCCACTTCAACCGGGGTGGTCTGCTGTCGTTCGCGGACTCACGAACGACGTCTGGTCTAAGCTATACGCCTGCTGGGATAAGGACCCCGCCAAGCGACCGAAGTTGAACGAGTTGGTCGATCTCTTCCAAGAGAAGGCATCTGTATGGGTATCGCCGGCCTCTATCAGAAGCGATAATCGGCCTTGGACAGTAAGCTTGATGTCTATGGGTACACTTGAACGGTGAAACTCATACACCATATAGATGGTTCGTTCAAACGGCCCATCGCTAGGTTGTCTCTGACTTTCCTTGTAGGGCAGCGTACGCCTGAACGACAAGGTTCTCAGGCGCATCGTCACGACTTACGCAGCATCCGTCAAGAGTTACGAGAGTGATCTGCTCGTCAAGATTAAGTCAGAGGGAGCCGAGATACAGGTTAGTATCCCGTATCACTAACCTTGCCCGTAACTGACTGGGTTTCGCGCAGATATATGGTCCTCCGGATAACATAGAGGAGGCGAAGTCGCGTCTACAGTCGTTGGCGGTGGGGAAGGTGACTCGAACGTTGATCAGAATTACGCGAGTGTTGACTGCTGGTACAGGCGGCGGCGAAGGAGAAAGCCGTCCAGGTTCCCAGAGCAGTGATCGACGTGAGCGGCGATAAGCTCAAGCGTCTGAAAGACAGACATGGCGTGGATATCTTACCTCAGCGAACCCGAAGCCGCGTCGTGATACGTGGAATGACTAAAGACGTTGTCGCGGCTGAGAAAGACATTTTAAAGGTAAACAAGCGTCACTGCGAGGTCTTGAGTATGTTTCTGATTCTTTTGCTTAGCTTGCTGACGAAGTGGCGGCTCCGACTGTCTTGCGGCTTCCTGCCCGCACCACGAAGCGGGTGGCCCTCGAGCTCAATCGACTTATAAGGCTCGCCAAAGCGGATTTACGCCTGTCTGACGACGCCGGAGTGGACGGATCTCGGAAGATCATCATTAGAGGGACCCGCGATGCTGTGGCCAGCGCCGAGGCCGAGGTCAAGAAGATCCACGCCCAGGTATCTGCCGAGGCCGAACGTGTGCTATCTATTCGGCGGAATCTACATCATCTCATCGTTGGGAATGACTGGCGTGCCTGGTACCGCATCGTTGCGGCTTGCGATGGGCCGGTTGAACCCGCCCTTCAACGGGAATTGATTGAAGTGTGAGCGCTTTCTCCGAGCTGAAAAACTTGCCGCACCACACTGACATCACATCCAGCGCGGAGGCCTCGGATAAGATACGCTTACACGGCTCGCCAGAGCTGTTGGATCGCCTCGAACTGGAAATTCGACGCGTCGTCGCCGCTCAGTCAAGGGAGGTCTATGGTCGGGCGATCGACGTTCGGTACCACGCCGAACTGATGAAATCTGCTGCGCATATTAAAGCGGTCTCCGGCGCTGACGTCTGGTTTCCCGGAGAGTCCGGTTACGATCAGTGCGGAGAACCGTACGGGTGCGACAACCTGGATCGCAGTACTGTGGTCAAGATCGAAGGCACACACAGAGAGTATAAGGCGGCATTCGACGAGCTTACAGTGAGTGGTCTATAGTCGAAGGTTCCGCGGCATCGCGTTAATGAGGCGTCTTTGTTCTCTTGGCAGCGTCTCAAGGAATCGCTCCAAGAGCGCGAGGTAGAAATCGTTATACGCAGCAAGTACCGGCATGCCATGTTCCGGCGCGTGCGTCACGAACTGCAGTCCGTTGGCGTCACGATTACGCCCGAACCGCTCGCGGAGCACGAGTACCACCCCAAGCCTCCTACGCGGCCGAACCACGTGTACAGCAACGGCGTACAATGGTCACTCGTCGACCGCTTCAGCCCGCAGGACACGAATTCTGTGACGTGGCGCGTTGTGGCCAGGGACGAGAGGGGCACCGTGTTGGCAGAAAAGGTCATCAACGAGGCCTACGAGTTCGTCCGGAATGAGAAAAGTGTCGGGTTCCTGACGGTGCCTGCACCTGCGGTGCCAGATTTGCTGGCGAGAAACGAAGAAAGCTTGCGGAAGCTCGAGCGCGACACGAAGACGTTGGTACGCGTGCTCCCGAGTACCGAGGGCGCCAAGCTGCTGCAGATAACGGGTAGGTCGCGACTGTGCGATGCTCGTAATGATTTGCTGACGCAAGCCGCGTACGCAGGATCATCTCAGCATGTAATTGAGGCAAGAGATCGCCTCCTTGCTACTCTATTCCGCAAGTCCGCGAAAAAAGACGCACGAGTCCGTTTCGAAGGGTGATGTCTGGTGATCGATGATCACCGACCCGCTTGCGAAACAACCACAGCAGTGACTTAGATACTGCGCGCCCCGAACCTTAAGCCAATGATGCCCTCCGAAGAACGTAGCCAGTGATGTTCCGTACGACGTGCGTCAATATATGTAGACACAATACGGATAATGTCTAATAAGGCATGCGAGGGTATATACTATACATATGCGTTGCCATAACACAAACATAACAATCAATGCGAGATCTACGCGGGGCGGTTCTAAGTCCTCTGTGCCAACGAGTCGAGTCGAATGTCGAGTGAAAATGCTGACCATGAGAAGAAGGCGAAAACAGTGATAGGGAGAGGCGGTGTTCGTGATGGTGGTGGTGGTGGTGCTAGGGCAAGCGGGGGGTGGCTAGTCGCAGCATCTGCGTCTGATCGGTAACGTCGACCAAGGTCGGTGCGGTGGACGAGTAATAGACGCCGCCGATGCTGCACGACGCTGTCCGGCACTCGCAGTTCGTCGGCCTCAATCCTTGCTCGAGGTCGTTCCGGACCGGCGTGGGCGCGTGCAACAAGGCGGGCATCACGTGCCCATGCACATCGTTCTCGCGATGGGCTTCAGACTTCCCCTTCTCGTGGAGGATGTGGGCGTGCACCGCGAAGTGGCGGTGGTCACGGAGGACGTCCTCGTCATTGTCGAGGAAGATCTTGCCCTTCCAGAAGGCTGCGAGGGTGAGGACAAAGAGGACGAGCCATACGGCGCACATGGCGACGACTAGGACGAGGTGGAGGGTGTAGAAGCCGGAGATGGCAAATGTATCGCCGAGGACGCGGATCGTGGCGATCCACCCGACCTGATCGAGGGGCTCAGCTACACAGCGAGGGGATACTCCGCAAGGCGCACTCACATTGGGGAAAGTTAAGGACCAGCATCCGAGGATCTCGCGCAGATGAATGTGTATCTACGAATAATGTTGCGTTAGGCGCGAGATGGTTGGGATTCAGCGAGACATGACGTACCTTAGACCACCACGGCAGGGCACCAAAGAGGAACAGGAATACCGCCAGTCCAAACAACATCAAGGAGGCGAGTACAGACGCAGCGTAGAATATTTCGCCGGCATTATCGGAGACGAGGTGGTGTGCGGGGAGGCTGAAGATAAGAACATGTCAAATTCGCATCTAGTGGACGTAAGGAAGATACGAACATCTCTCTAGCGTGGTCACCAAGGTTGCGAAGTGCGAGCGCGGTAAATCCTGGAGGACCGACAGCCACGAATGCAGCGTTGGCTTGTTGCCCATCCATGAAACCTGTCGTCATGAGCCTACGCGTAACGTGAGATTGCGGATCACTCGAGAGGAGAGCCAATATTAACCTGACGAAGTAGATGCAGATATAGAATAATGTCATGAAAGTGCCGAGGCCCTGGAAGAAGTATCCCGTAAGGAGAACTCCGATGGCACGGGTTTCTGTTGCAGGGATGACGTCCAGGACGTTGAAAGCCACAACGCCGACAAGCATCTGTGGTGTCTTTTAGCTAAAAACCCGGTCGCACAAGCGGGAACCGCGAACCATGGGAAAAATGAGGAAAGCCCATGCTTTTGAGACCATGTCAGCAATCCAGAAAGCATGCACAGCGCAGTAGCAGCATACCTGGAGTAAAAGTGGTGATATCGTGTGGTTTGTTGAACCTGCGTACTCGTTAGTCATCACAGGAGTGCCGTACAGACGACGACCCTCACCATATCATCAGCATAGGGAAGCAGACGATGACGGCAAAAGCCACATAGGTCCTGTGAATACGAGTTATAAAGATTTCGCGCATGGTTACGAAGTTTGACGCACCAAAACAGCGCATATATTGTGTCTGTGCTGACGTGGCCAAGGGGTACGGCAGTGTTCACTATTCCGATGATGATAGTGGCGAAGGACAACACGATGAGAGGGACGAAGACGCCTTTTGCGGGATCCTTGATTAAGCGCCACGATTGTCGCGGATACACTAGGTGAATGTAAGGATACGCAAAGCACATTCTACGAGTACCCGCGCGTACGTATAGCTTGAAGCGCGAGAGTGGACGTGTTCAAGAGGAATAGGACGATGTTGAGGAAGAAGAACACGGTTTCAATGTGCGTGAGTACGGAGGATTGGTGATGGATGTCCACAAGCGAGACATAGACAGCGCCGGTGCCCATGCCTATAGGAAACTGACAGGGGAACCTGTAAGTGATAGAACGCGTGGGAAACGCCGACCACTCACCGCTTGCCAACTCCAACCGTGTATGCGCCTCGCGAGTTTACCAACGTGTTCGGTGGTGACGGGCGTCGCAGAGGGGGAGGGCGTTGCGGACATTGCAGAGGAGCGTGAGGGTGGTTTTGGTTTGCTCCTGGGGTCGTCGCTGATGATTATCGGGTATAGCGTGAGAGCCTTGTCGAGCGTGAAAGGAACACGGCGAATTATGTAGAGGCCAAAGCCACTGGGGTACCTCTATATGTATGGCGTGCAAGCGAGAATGTATGTGCGGTAGCGGGCTGGCGGTAGCGTTATATCAACGCAACGCTGGGTCCGGAGGCAGTGCGACGGAGGAAAACGCAGTGGAGGTGCAGAAGGCTCCAGGGAGGCGGATGGGATGGATGTATGCGCCACTCTGGCCCTCGACTCGATCCGGGGTTCACGCCATGTTGACCGGCACATACGTCAACCCGTATATCAAACGCATGACGGCGGTCCAACGACAGGAGATGAGAGAACGAGATGGCGTCGAGGCCCGTACGCGCCACGCATATGTGGTACCGCCGCGCTGCGGCGAGCCGTTTCGGCATCAAATTTCTGCATCAGGGACTCTCGTCGTTCGAGCCCGACGGGGCGCGAAAGGGCGCGAAGGAAGGCGAAGGACCGCCGTTTGACGACGCCACCAGATCCGAGGAGCAATATGCTTCAGGTGAGCGACCCTTGCAACACAGTGTGAAGTCAGTTTCGACGGCACTAGCTAATCGTGGGAGAGTTATCAGTATCCGATTTTGTCCGACTCTATCCTAACCTTCCCTTTCGACGCTCGGCTGCTTGTTGCAACCAGCCGACAACAACGACATCCTGCCACCGCAGCCCGTAGATGAGACAGCTTGCAGGTGAACTTCCACATCGCCATGTGTGCTCAGGACTCGTATAGCTCAGCGGTCAATGAAAGAGACTGTCAACGAATCGATGCGCCCTCCATTCCGCGTTTGGCACAGCTATAGATCGAGCGGCAGCCCTAATAATACAGCAGAAAATTACGCCTTGTGGTCAGCTCACAGCTTCGCCCCTCCTGCAGCCTTCTTCACGTATGCATGCCCGGAACCAAGCACAACCTGCACCACGGCAATGTTCATTGTAAACGGCTGCGCATACCGAAGCAATGTATTGTGACATACCTTGCCGGTCTTGACGACCTTCGTCTCGAACGCGATCTCGCGTAGGCCTTCTCCAGCGGACGAAGGGGCTGGGCCGACGTCCCACGCACGCGTTTCGAGCGCATCGCCAGGGATGACTGGGGACGTGAAACGCACGCCGATGTATCTGCAGACCGGTGTCATTATTCAACCTCTAGACTGAGAGGCCGGCCTCACTTTAGAGCGTTCGGGTCTCCGCCTCCGATGGTGTTCACCAGCGCGCGCGCGCCGAACCCATACGTCGAGAGCCCGTGCAGTATAACACCGCCAAAGCCGGTCTTTTGTCCGATCCGCGGATCTGCATCGACAACCCGATAGCATGAGGGCTCGTGCGACGAGGACAAAGCGTAGCCTGCCACATACCGATGTGCAGCGGGTTGTAATCTCCGCTGAGGCGGTAGATCGCCGCTTGTTCTGGCGTCGTCTGGTCTTGAAAGACGTAATCCGGCTCGCGCTGCGGGATAGCGGGCGCTTTGGGCGGGCCACCGATCGACTTCGCAAACTTGGTTCCTGTGACATTGTCACATATGTTACCAGTGCCATTCAGGGACACGAAAAAAGCAACGATATACCATGAGCTTTCGCGCCGAGGTTAAATCCTGCGCTGTAAATTTTGGCGTAGGGCGTGCCGTCAGGAGAGACCAGTAAAATCTCGGCCTCAACAATGATGCCAGACTCTGCAGGAGATGTAATCAGTCGACATCAAGAAGAATAAGTAATGACCACACTGTTTTCTTGGACAGTCGTCAGCCGCCTCTTCAGCTTCCATCCTGGTCCACTGACGGTCGGAAGCGGCTTCAAGACCTCCAAAGTCTGGTATGCATGGATCTATACCAGATTCTACGTCGGAGATCGTAGGTTTAGGAGAATGATGTACTCACCCCGCGATTCGGGTCGAACTTCGGGAGACCAGGGGCGCTCTTCAGCGAGGCACGTTCGGCGTAGACGTTAGTGTCATGGTCGGTGCCTTTGTAGCCAAGCACGGCAGGGTATGTGGGGAACGGCGTAAAGGATGGGTCTATGAAACACCATTCAGCACATTATCCAGGTTCCGTAAAGGGATGTTTGCCATACGAAGTTCTGTACTTCTCATGTCAGCCCTGCATACATATCACAGATGAAACGTCCGTACACACCATATACAAGTGACAGGTCATCTTTCTTAGCACCAATCCCGAGCGCGTAGACGATGAGGTCCCTCTTGTTCCACGATACCTACAGGGTGAAACGCGACCCCGTTGTCAGCTACAGGTCCAGGACGCCGGGGAAGCATCTATACGTACTTCCTGGGGATCAAACTCAAATCCCACCGCCTTCGAGAGGTCCACGGAGCTGTCCGACATTATTCAAGACGGTTTCGGTGGGCAGATCTGAATGTAGTCGCCGATGCGTTTGGGTAAGGTCCAAGCTATACCCAAGGGGCGTTACTCTTACCCCGCGCTTCCCGGTCAATGAGATGCCGGATGCCGGTCAGCCCTGCGCACGTGTCAGTCTTCTAAGTCAAGTCATCTCTTTGACCGGGATTTGACCGGAAGTCCAGGCATGAACTGGACAGGAACTATTCATAGCAAGTCTACGAACATTCTGGGAACTCTCCATGGGAGTCGGACGTACGGATACGCGCGGCATCAGCCCCACAGGCTCTCCGCCGGACCCAACGACTGGCATGTCTGTGCACTCTCACTTCGAGTCTTTATATTCAGAAGTCGCGCAACTCACATAATTGAAAGTCTACATTAGGTCATTGGGTAATCAACAATGCATAGGATAGCTCCCAGAGTTTGGCATCACTCCTCTGAAAACAACGGAACTACTGCTCTTCACGTACATTCGTGACAAGCCAAATTGCGTTCAATAAAGATGGCTCCAACCCTCTCACATGCTCTCACGATGAAGTGACGTTACTCCCAAGATGAACGATATCGGACAGGACGTTCTCATCTGTGTCCTCGGCGCTGCTACGCATGAGGTCTGGTGTCCTGTGCGATGCTTCTTTGCATTAAATCGTCCGTCCTTATCTTGGCTTTGGTGAAACTTGGGGATGGACGAAATCTCTGGTCACCTTCTCCTGGCTCCCTCTGACGCCTTCCGGGCTCCGTGTCTCTCCAACCCCATCGGTCAATTTCTCGCATTATGAGTGATGAAGAAAAGAGAAACACGCCCAAGGGTGGCACTTACGAAGTGTCCACGCGAAGTGTCAGCGAAGGAGAAATAAACGCGAGCGGTCACCCCGACAAGCTCACGCGACATTATGGGCTTCTTAGCATAAGCGCGACTGCCCTGAGCATTGACGCGGCATGGGTTGCCTTGTGCGTTCTCGTATCTCGTAAGAACTCGATGGAGGGCTGATAGGAATTAGGGGCGGGTCTTTGGTCGTAGCCTCTGCGAATGGAGGACCTCCAGGGGTATGTTTTAGAGCCACAGCTACACCCGTATAATTCACTTGGACCGCCCCTCCTTTGTCAGATCATCTACGAGTTCCTGGCGTCGTGCTTCTACTATGCTTTCATCAATGCATCCATCGCAGAACTCTCCAGTTCTATCCCTTCTTCTGGAGGAGGTACTACGCCTCGTCCAGATCATGCACCCAGCAAAAAACGTTAACATAGTTGCATATCACAGTCTACCATTGGGCGTCGGTAACACCTGGACCTCGTTACGGAAGAGCTATGGGCTTTTTCACCGGTTCGCTTAACTTCTTCGGCTGGCTCATCGGTGTCACCTCCATCACCACCATCACATCGTCCGCAGCCGTCGAGATGTACGCCATCTTCCACCCGGCGCTCGTCGTTCAGCCCTGGCACCTCTTCGTTACGTTTCTCATCATTTTCTGGAGTTGCTGCATATTTGTCGTCTTCTGCAACCGTTACATGCCGCTCGTGCAAAATCTCGGCTTGTTCCTTATAGTCGCGGGAGGGTTAGTCACAATAATCGTCGTGGTCTCGATGAGGCCAGAGCATGCTTCGCATGCTTTTGTCTGGAGCAAATGGACAAATACAACAGGATGGTATGTGTACCACGGGATACATGAAAGACGATATTGACTTGTCCTGGGTGTAGGTCCAATGGAGTGGCATTCCTCACTGGCATTCTCAACGGTGCCTACGCGATCGGTACTCCAGATGCGGTCACCCACATGGCCGAAGAAATGCCATACCCTCGTCGTGATCTCCCCAAGGCCATCGCGATGCAGCTAACTCTCGGCACGCTGAGTAAGAACGCTATGATCGCGCTCAATGCATTGTTTTGACTCAGCGCGATCGGGTAGCTGGATTCGTCTACGCGGTCGCGATATTGTACGGCGTGACGGACTTCGACGCGATTCTCAACGCCGGAGCAGCGTTTCCACTCGCAACGTTCTACCTACAGGCCACGGGCAGCAAAGCCGCCACGGTCGCTTTGCTGCTTATTGTAGTGCTCATCTTGGTCGTCTGTGCGATTGGTGGGTTCATCACGGTATGCTACATGATCGCATCCAAGAATGTACTGTTGACGGGTGATTATTAGAGCGGGCGAACACTGTGGACGCTGGCCAGGGACAACGCCACGCCGTTCTCCGGCTTCTTGAGCCAAGCCTCCGAGAGGCTTAGTTGTCCCGTTCAAGCGACGGTCGTAGTTGGCAAGAGAAGCTTCTTTCGAATCGAAGTCGGGGGTGCTGATGGCCTACAGGTGTACTCGGTACGGCGTTCGGAGCTATCAGACTTGGAAGCGCAAGCGCCTTCAACGATTTGGTGGGGAGTTTCGTGATCTTGACTACAGCGAGGTACGTTTGCGTCCACCGATTCTTGCGCCACGACTTAAAAAGCGTGACACCACAAAAAGCTACCTTCTTGCCATACTTCCCCATCTGTTGACTCGGCGTCGCAATGTGCCTATCGGTATGTGCTCCTTCTGACAAGCGCTTGACCATATCAAACAGCTGTGTTTGCAGGCCCGTTTTGGATGGGAAAATGGGGTTATGTTGTCAACGGCTTCGCAGTGCTCTTCATTGTTGTCACAGATATATTCTACTGTTTCCCGTACTTTATGCCTACGACTGTATCGTGAGTCTCCAGGCGGTTGACGAATACGATGGACTGACATCCGCTTTAGGGGTATGAACTACAATTCGGTCATCCTGGTGGGCCTCGTCGCGTTGACGGCGTTCTGGTGGTTCGTGCACGGAGCTAGGAATTATCCTGGGCCGCATCTGCCGCACCTGGAGGAAGCTGGAAAGCGAGTTTTGGATACCAAATAGATACCCCTGTCCCATCACAGGCTCCCTTGTATCCGCGTACAGAACGAGGAACCCGATAAATGATGATTTTGGGGAGACCGTCTTATTACCGGTCTCGTACAATAGAACACACGAAAGGAACGAACAGGACGTTATGCACAGGAAACCGTTGCCAGGGGCGTCATATCAACGCCTTCACCTCATGGCCGACTTCATCCAAGTGGGGAAGGTGAGGGCCCTGGTACTTACGTGCTCCATGAATGAACCACCACACCGTCGTGATGAAGACGATGCCGGCAAGGATAACAGAGTTGTAGTTCATGGTCCTGAGTACACTCGTGATGAGCACATGCTAGAAATGGGAGCAACAGAACTTACGGGACGTCCACCGGGAGAGCGTATGGGAAGCAGTAGAAGATATCCGTGAGGATGATAAACAGGACGGCAAAGCCGTTGACTAAGTAACCCCATTTTCCCATCCAGAACGGACCTACGTCGCACCATGTTAGCAGATGCCGTCACCGAGAGCGCCTTCAGTCACCAATGGGTACATTGGAGCGTCCGCTCAGAAGATGGGGAACGATGGCTAGGCCGTAGCTATGCGTTCGACTCAGCATCGGCTCACATTCGCTCACGAATGGACATACCTTGTCGTTGTTAGGATGATGAAGCTCCCGACAAGGTCAGTAAACGCGGTCTTGCTCCCGAGCTGAATGGCCCCAAACCCGGTCGAGAGGATAGCTAACCAGAAAAGGATGCTACTAGGATCATAGTGTCGTGACGAGGACTGTGCGAACAAGATACTCGCCGACGAGAAGGGTAGACTCTATCGGGCAGCTCCATCGCGTTGACGCATTGCCAAGGATAGACGGGAAGGGAGTGACGTTGTCGCGGGCCAAGGTCCACAGGATCCGCCCGACCTAGCGATAAGGATCAATACGGGCGAGGTCATTCGAAGTGGGCCGAACGCACGGTGACGAACGTGCCAATGGTACACACAAGGATAGCCAATAGTATGATCAGTAACAGTCCGAATGTCGCGCCTTTGCTTCCCGTGGCTTGTGCGTACACTTCAGCCAGCGGGAATGACCCGTTGCTAGTCAGAACCGCGTCGAAGTCCGTGATACCATACATGATGGCGACAACGAAGAAAAACCCAGCTGCAAGCACAGTCATGAGAAGAGGGTAGTAGGGCGCAGTATAAGGCACTTACTAAGGGTTCCTAGGATGATCTGTGCAGCGACCGCTTTTGGTAGATCTCTCCGGGGGTTAGGCATCTCCTCAGCCATATGCGTAACCGCATCCGGAGTACCAATGGTGAATGCGCCGTTGAGCATGCCCGTCAGGAAGGCAACTCCGTTTGACCTTATGAACGCTCAGTCGAGTGATTGAGTGCGAACTTGGCGCGACATACCAGCCCGTCGTATTTGTCCACTCAGTCCAAACAAAGGAAGAGGAAGCATGATGAGGCTGCATGGCGACGACGACAATGATCGTGATGATGCCACCACCCACGACCAAGAACAGCCCGAGGTTCTGAACCGTCGGCATGAGGTGATTGCAGAATATGACGAAAAAGCAGCATCCCCAGTTGATGATGAGGAACGCGATGTAGACGTGCCACGACTCCACCACGTAATCTGGGTGGAAGACGGCATACATCTGAACGGCGATGTTGGAGGGTATGGTGACGATCGATGCGAGGTCGAAGACCCAACCGAAGAAGTTCATCGAACCGCAGAAGAAGCCGAGAGCGCGACCGAACCGAGGTCCGGGAGTGACGGACGCCCAGTGATATACTGCAAAGCGGTGTGAGACTTGTGGCTACGATAGCGAGAATAAGTACGCACCTCCTCCGGAAGATGGTATAGAGCTTGCGAGCTCGGCGATGGAGGCAGCAATGAACGAATAATAGAAACAAGCTGCCAAGAACTCGTATATGATCTGCATGCCGGATGGTCAAATTGAAGCAACGATGCAATTTGTATAGGCACGTACTCCTGGTGGACCACCGTTTGCAGAAGCAACAACCAGAGAGCCTCCCCTACGCAACGATGTTATAGTGGTCGGTTCATTGAAAGCGGGACGCGTGCCCAGATGAACTTACAGCGCGATCCATGCCGAGTCAACCGTTAGAGCCGTCGCACATATACTGAGCAGGCCGTAATGCCGCGTCAACTTGTCGACGTGCCCGCTGGCGTTTACCGCCTCCACCGTAGTCGACGCCCCCTCGGGCTTGTCGGAGGCTGCGAGGCCGTCCGAAACCTGTACGCCGTTGGCGTATCCGTTCTTCTCAAGGTCATGACCAGACATGACGCTCGTCAGGTAGCTCAGAGGAGGCGAAAAGGAAGGATCAAGACAGGGAAGAGAAAATACTGCGCGCGTTCACGAGGCGAACTTGTTTATAGCAGTGGGAACGCAGTGGCATGGAGCAGTGTTATCTCTTGATTCTGAGAAGGCGCAACCTCCCCTGGGGAAAAAGTGTGAGTGCGGACGTGATGACAGTCGGCCGACTCTCCCTGGAGATAAGATAAGGTGTTGCATGCAAATGGAAAGTAAGTCAATCCTGCCGCCAAGAAACAAGTCCCCCAAAGCAGAGCATTCATAGGACATTAGGTCCTTTCGATTGTTGGATCGCCTGCGAGGAGGAACGGAGAAACGCTGAGAAGCCAGCAGAACCACCTCAGCACAGCGTTCAGTCTCCGGCCGCGGCGAGAAAGTACGAAAGCGGCGGTGGGAGTCTTCTGTGCGGCTGTGTCGCTGTGGAAATTGCCGAGATAAGCCGCGTGACTGCACGTGAGAGAAACGCGACGCGTCGCCCTCAGGACGCGTCCCGCGTCAAGTCCGTGCGCGAACTGTGCTTCTCGCCCTTGACATTGAAACGCCCAATTCAACGAGAATTCCAAATCCATATCGTTATCCTCGACGATACATGCCCGTTCAAAAGACCAACTTGTTCATGCATGAGGATCACCTGGGACGGACAGGTATAAGTAGAAGTAACGAGCAGCTGCCAGGAGACATGTGGAAATGATGCACCTCTTCATCCACTATGCCATCTGACTACGGGCTGTTCTGGTTGAGCAGCAACCACAAACCTGTACTTCCGACATCCTCTCCGGAGTCTGATAGGAGGAGGTCGCTTTCGCCACACTCAGGCTCTACGCAGAAGTCGCATACTTGCGCAGAGACCGAGATAGGTCCGGCAATGTCTCAGGGTGCGCGTCAGGACTGGCCGTTCCCCCGAGATGTTGACCTGTGAGCTTACTAACGACAAACTGGTTGCAGATTGGGTTATTCGTGGGATCGCTAGGGTCCCCCTCACTTGATGTACGATTTGTGATAAGCAAGACAATGAAGGTGCGAGAGCGCTTGCACTCACGAGTTGAAGACGGTTTGCGATACCGCAGCATCTCCACCAGAGCAGGTCTCGCCCACCGCGATGTTACCCTGACAAGTGAAGGAGCCGTTGCAGATACGTCCGCAGGCACCAAGCACAGGCCCAAGCGTGTAAAAAACTGAAAAAAAACCCGTTGTTGGCATTGTGAACGAGTCGTGAGCACCCCAGAATAGCCTACCTTTTCCTTCGAAGGCTTCTTGAGCGTTTGCGCCCAGCATGATGCTGGAAACTAGGAAAAGGATACTGGTGAGGGAGAACATGATCCGTTGTTCGTAGAAGACGGGCTCGTATGACCGAAGGCTTTATAGAAACTTGGATCGCATGGCCAGGCAATAAGCTCAAGGCACCACATCACCGCACGAGCAGCAGTGGTCTGTTTCAATAAGACGGCCGTGAGTTGCGGAGGCCAATGCCATGGAGTGGTCATAAATCAGGGCAGCGAAAGCGCTGTTATGGAGTCTGGATATGGTCAAGACCGCGGCTAAGGTCCAGACTCCACCTAGATCTCATGGCACTGCACATCCGCGCGAGGTGCAGTACTGCGCCATTCTCCATTTGCGTACGTATGAAGCTCGTCGGCGTCGGAATCGGACCCAACGTGAGAGGTTACTAGGATGTCTCCGTGCTACGTGGCTGAGAGACGCTGCGGTCGATTATGTTGTCGTAGGCGCAAACGCAGAGCCGACTGCGTCGGTGGGTTCAGGTGCCCGTATTTCGCTTATTGAACGAGTGTCGGATGGATGACCGATGTTTCTGATGGTGCATTGTCACAGTGTGGGGAGAAACGCGGGGAGGCAATTAGGACGGTCATCAACCTCAGGTATCCCATTCGCCGCGTGCGGGTATCGTCGAGGAGGCTGACCGCAGCGAAGCATGAGGAGGCCAAGACTTGTGCAAGAGTCGACAACGGAAGTCGTACGTAGGCGAGCCTTGACGGGCTTTTGGGCGATGAAGTCGGAATCAAGGGCAAGTGGGAACTTGTGTCGTAAGCGCCGGCAGGCCGGAAAATGCTCTCAGCTGTCACTCGAGTCGATTTGGACTGGGAGCTTTCTCATTCAACGCTGAGAGATGTCCATAACCTTCGCCTGGTCATGATCATACGAACATAGAACGGCGGCGGCCCACCGGTGTTCGACTGGGACGGAAGTACAGTAAATCCTCCCTATCAGGTTCACCCGATCTTCCTTCCGCGCGCCTCTGCGAATATCTTTAGCCATCCACCTTCTATCTCGACCCTCGAGGTACAACGAACTCAACGATAAGCGGCGCGGTACAGCGCCCGACCAACGCCGACATACCTGCTGACCACCCGCCGTGACGGCGGCGTTTCTGCCCGCTCATATCCATGTTTATAAACGCTGAACGTGCGGAGCTGCGGGACCGAGGACGGGACCCTGTTCGCGATGTTCAGCCTCAGGAGCGCCAGCATCTGCGTCGTCGCGCTCGCGGTGAACGCAGCCGCGAGGCCTACCGTCTTTACCCAGCGCAGCACGCTCGCTCGCTCCGATGGCTCTCCGTTGTCCCTGACGTTCAGTATTGCCAACGACTCGGACGCATCAGACGCGGTCCCCTATTACGTGCCGTTAGACGGAATCTCGTATTCATTCTCGGTTTCGCACTCGTCTTTGAATGATGGCGACGAATTTGGACTTGTCACAGTGATCGACCCTGGAAACTCTGCCAGTTTCTCTAGTATACAAAGCACCGTCTCTGCTTATTCCTCCGAGGACGACGTGTTCAACGAGGCATTTCTCTCAAGTATGTAAACTCTGTTCTCACATCCTTGAGTTGACGAAGTTGTTCTCGACTTCCAGCCGTATTCCTGCGGTCGTCATCCTCCTCCAAACTTTCCTCGAGTCTCATCAGCAGTGTGGCATCTAAGTTCGAAGTGAACAACATATTCGCTAGCTCAAGTGTGCCCTCCGCCAAGGGTGTCAGTAGCGCTGTCCTCTCGTCGCAGACGACGATCCCGATTGGCCCCTACGTGTACCGCATAGGCGGGCCCTCGAAGTCAGCCTCGTTCTGGCCCGTCTATAGGCTCTATCCGGATCCTCAAGAGGTATGACATCCTTCAGTTCCTATACGGCTTGCCCTGACATCGTCAATGATTAGGCCTTCTTGTACGGTGTAACTGCTGCAGCAGATGGTGGCTTCGTCCGGTCGTCGGGAAATGTCCCATCTGCCGGTGACTACACCACCGTTCCGGTACCGTCTAGGCTTTACTACAAGGAATCATCGCTCCCGCTTGCAGGCCTTCGTGTTGGTGTCAAAGATATATACGATATCGACGGCCTGAAAACCGGCTGTGGAAGTCGTGCTCAGTACGTATTTTCTTCATTCGTGCTCGGCGTATCTGATAACATAAAACCAGCTTCGCTCTCTATCCTCCCCGCAATGCGACAGCGCCTGCAGTGCAGAGACTCATAGACCAAGGCGCCGTCATAGTGGGGAAGACCAAAACATCGCAATTCGCGAACGGGGAGACGGCTACTGCGGACTGGGTGGACCAGCTATGCCCCTTCGTACGTGCACTCTATGGTCGTCCCCTGTGTCTGACATTCACTGACGTAATCTATTTGCAGAATCCTCGTGGAGACGGATATCAAGATCCGTCGAGCTCGTCGAGCGGTTCTGGTGCTGCAATGGGTGCCTATGGTTGGCTCGATCATGCCATTGGCTCCGATACGGGTGGATCCATTCGTGGACCGGCGGGACAGCAGGGACTCTTCGGGTAAATGCTACTTGCTTGATCCTCATGATGTCTGGAAGCTGACGAGCATCAGTATCCGACCATCTCATGGGGCGATCACCTTGGAGGACGTTATGCCTTTATCAGACGTGATGGTATGTCTTGAGATGCTGAAGCATCCCCGATGTTTACCTGGGACACGTAGGATACTGGAGGCTACTTCGCTCGAGATGCCTCCTCCTTCAAGACCTTCGGCCGCTCTTGGTATGGTAGCACCTTCAAGTCGTTCCCCTCATTCCCGAAGCGGCTTATGGTGCCCAACGACACCTGGCCCGTCTCGAACGCTGCCTCCGAAGCTATTTTCTCCAGCTTCATCTCCAAGCTCCAGACCTTCCTCGGTGCTGAGTCGGACGCGACGGGAATATCCGCACTCTGGACAGCAACGTCCGGGGTTAACGAGACGGTCCAGGTGTACATGAACCAGACGTACGCGACCTTGATCGGCGCATACCAGTACGACAACTTCGGACTGCCGTTCATCACCGACTACATGGCTGCCAACGGCGGCCGTGCGCCGTTCATCGATCCGGCGCCCAAGGCGCGATGGGCGTACGCGACCGGTCGGGGAGAGGCCGCGTTCGAGGACGAGGGGAACAGGCGGGTGGTGTTCCAGGACTGGGTGGCCAAAGAGGTGTTCAAAGCGAGCGACGCGAGCTGCTCGGACGGGATCCTCGTGTACCCGCAGAGCACCGGCCGCACTTCGTATCGGAACGTCTACTTCTCGTAAGTGCCCTTCTGTTCCTACCCGCGTCCGTGTACGGAGCTGACTTCCTTTCGAAGGCCCCCGACTGCCCCTCTGGGCTTTTCGTATGGACGTGTCGGGCCTTTCGCGGGCGTACCGGACTTAGTCGTCCCGCTCGGCCAGGTCGCGTACAACTCGACGATCAGCGGCACGACGGAGTACCTTCCCGTGACGATATCGATGGTGGCGAGGAAGGGGTGTGACTACATGCTCCTGGATCTCATCTCTGAGCTGGAGTTGCATGGGATCATCAATAGCGTTGGCGTTGGAAAAACCGCATTTACGATATGATGCAACCAACCTGGCGTCCATGCCATACAGCGCATAGACCTACCCCATCTGCCTCAGTAGATAATAAATACTGGACATCACAAAATCCGTGCCAGCGGAGTCAGGATCTGAGATTCAATTTGTGCCTCGCCTGCCTTCCACTCGATCTTCAATGTACACCATGGCCAATAGCCTTGCCTTGACCATGTTTTCTGCCTTATGAATGATTTTCGGCGCGCTGGCAATGTCAACCGATGAAGACTTTGCCCCAGAACGTAGCAAACCCGATGTCAGGCAACACTACCTCACTCAATACCGCGAACATCTCGCGTCCACCAACAGTCACCTTGCTGGAGACGATGGAGACCCCCTACCACCCTCGTTCGTGCCACCAGCGGGTTTCTGGACTTCGTCTGAGAAGTCCAAGTTCTTCCATGGCCTCTGCGTTCACTCGAGACTTCGGCCGGATCTCATAGCTGCATCCATCGAGACCAAGAGCGTGTTAGACGTCTGTGCATACATCGATAGCCTCGAAGCCGTGATTCGCTCGAACGCAAGCGACGACAGCGACGGTGAAGACGAAATTCCTATCGGACTTGAAGCTTTTGAGCCAGCTTTCGAAGTCTCGGAGGAATGGATTGCGCTCGAGGAGTCCGCGGCCGAAGGGTTGATAGTAGCAGAGCCCAGTTGGGCTGTCAGCTCCCGTGACCACGCTCGCAACGAGGAGCTGCGAGAAAGGAGGAACAGCATGCGCCAACGAAGATCAGTGGGACCGCAAAAGGGGCGGGATCGGGCCGGTCAGCAGGTGCGGAAGAAGGAGTGGGAGCAGTGGAGAGACGAACGGGAGAAAGAATGGGCGAGAGAGGACCTTCTAGAGGCGTTGGACGCGCACAAGCTCAAGGCAATGGACGCGATACTGAGGGATGGCGAAGAACGGAGGCGGCAAACTGTCGTTCCGAACGCGCCCCAGGGTTCGCGATTTGCGTCTCCTGCAACTCCTGGAGTGCATTCTGAACCCTCGAATGACGACACGCCCATCGATCCAGCCTCACCGTCCGAACCTCTCGACGCTGGTACCTCCGGTCAGGCGTCTCGCCTTCCCAGTCTCACACCCGAACCCTCTGCCGATCTACTTGAAAGCCTCTCACCCCGGCACCGTCGACAGCTTCAGAAGAGACTATGGATGCGACGGAAGCGCGCTGAGGCCCGTGGCGTTGCGCCATCCTTAACCGTCGAGCGCCAGAAGCCGGGGCGGAAGCGGAAGGTTCCCGACAATCAGGGCGATGTTGCTCCAGATACAATAGCCAAGAAGAGCAGGAGCATCGAGGATGATGACGATGTGTCGGATCGCGAGTCCTCGACTGGAGCTCAGAAAAATGCCCACCAGGGCGGCATCACACTGCACTACAAACTGAAAGCGCTCTTCGCCGATTTGGACCTGGATTACGCCGGCTTGCACAAGAACGGATTGGACTTCTTCCGAGTTGCAGCGCTGGGACGATTGATCAGGTACCTCGACCCACATAATCTCTGCGAGCCGATGCTTAAACCTTACCAGACTCTACGCGTCTCGCCATTCAGCAGACGAAGACGTCCAGTATCATATCTCTGCAAGCGTTGTTCAGCAACTATACTCCATCATTGTTGCCTTCATAGAGAAAATCACACGACGCGCCATCACTGTCACCGAACAAGAGCGGAGGACAAAGCTCCATACCAAGGTGTGGCGGAAAAGTCCGTCCGACATCGTAAGCGTAACCTGTTTTTTTTGTGGAAACGACTACTAAAATACATCCCTTTTCCATCGTCGCTTGTAGCTCACGGCTCACGATGTTGAGTACGCGCTCTCCATCACGCCGATCTCGGTCACGGGCGAGGTATCCTCCGACGAGAAAGACGCCGACGAGCCAGAAGACGGAACATCTTCCAGCGCCGCGCCCACGGATACTCGTAAGCGCTCCGGATCCACCAAGGGCGCTCGTCGACGAACTCAGCGTACACCAACTCCCGCCGTCCCCCACGTGCATGTCCATACAGTGCCGTCGCACCCATTCGTTCGCCTTCCGCCTACTTGGTCTCATGAACGCGCCGAGCTGGGTCCTGCCCCTAACGAGGACAACGACGGGGATCTGATGCCGCAGGAGACGGACGAGGAAGAACTGCTCGCCGAACTGCAGGAGGACGAAGAGCAAGACAAGCGGGATCTAAAGCTTGGGGCGCAAGTGGAGAAGAGTTTGTGGGCTGTGAGCAGGCGGGAGGAAGCTGACCAGTCGAATGTCGAGTCAGATGCTAACTCGTGGCGGACTGGGGGCGAAGAAGATACCGACGCACGAGGGTCCGTCGGCGCTAGGGTGAAGAGAAGGGCACGTTCCGTAATCCCTCGGAGCCGCATCAGGAGCAAGGAGTTCATCGAGGACAGCGAATAAGCATCGCCCCTTGCCTTCTGTTGATGGGGCCTGCCCATAGAACCTCACAAAAGTCTAGCTTTTCTAACTTACGGTTTCAGCCCGACTACATATTTGTCTCAAGCATTATCGTACATTACAAGTGCTCTATGAGCTGTGATAGTCACGATGTCCCTGGCAAACGCTTCAGACGCACCAAACTATCCCAACAAACTATGGCACCGCTCAAAACACTGCACGACAAATATGGAGCAACATCATTTTTTGCGCGTTGCTATTTTTACAGTACAGTCGTCACTTTTGCAACTGGAAGTACAAGTGTTGGCATCGACAACACTGTAAGAGGCTCAACTCGCCGGGGTCAACGATCACTCGTCAACTATTCTTCACATACAACTACAACCCTTCCTTCGCTGAATCGATCATATTCGGTTGCCGCCAGTGCTCGGCACTAATCGAAGGATTTTGCTTCGTAGGTAACATCGACCCAGCTGTCATGCTTACCTTGCCTTGGCCTGCAACGAGCTGTCAGCTGTACATCCTCGTTAACAAGCAGCGTCTCTTACCTTTCCGCCGCAGCATCTCGGAGGCTACTTTCGAGCACTAACTTGACCGTCTTGACCTCAAAGCCATGGAACTCTAACGGGAACGTGGTCTCCGCCATCGCATCCGCCTTGGTGAGGTTGAACTCGGTGATGTGTTCCTCGAGCAGGTTAGTGAGGTACGCTTGCTTGACGCCAAAGTGCTTCGCAATGTGCAGCTTGGCCCTAGCATGGCCTCCGAACGCTTCGTAGAGACGAAGGATCACCGTCGTAGTGTGCTTGTCGTCGTCATCCCCACGTTTGACGGTCTCGAGGAAGACGTTGTGGGCACCGCTAACGCCGAACGGAGGGCGCATTGTCGCCAAGGCCGACTCAACGCGCTCGTCCTGCACGTAGCGAGCTATGGCGCAATCAGTCGCTGATGAGAAGCGATCCGCACAGTGACATACAGTGAATAGGAGCATTGAACAGGTACGCTGCCTGGGGCACGTCGGATTCCAAAAAGTGGCCAATATGGGGCATCACCGCCCACGAGAATTGGTGCGTGCCTGCAAACTAGGTCATTTTGCTGCATTAATGATGCTCATGGCATACGCACCTTGGTCCTGTTCCTCGTCGGGGGAGGTTGCGGCACGCAGCAACGAGATGTTGAGGACGTTGCCTTGGCAGGAGTAGCCGTATTTCGACTCCGACAGGATCGCCACGCCATAGCCGTACTCGCTCAAATCAGCATACTACATGGCAGATTAGTGCCAATCCTAGAGAAACGTGCAATAAATGTTGGCTGTGAACATACCTTGTGCCCGCACACCTCGAACTTGGCCATGTCCATAGTAGTATTCTTGTGTGTTGGGCGTTGTACGAAGCCGAATTGCGTTTCGTACGTGGCATTGTCGTTGTGAATGTTTAACGGAAGCTCGACTGCTCGCTATCAGCATCCAGGTTTCAATGTGATAAAGATTGGGATACTAACACTTCAAGAATTCGTGCCTTTGGTGCCAATCCACAGTGGCATCAAAGACGAACAAAGGACGCGAATGGTGCTTCAGGGTCGCTGGATTCTACATCAGTAATGAAGTTATCAATCACAGCATTAATGATGCTCACCCGGGACTGCGTCTAGGGAGATCTATGGAAGCAGAAGGTTTCAGGAAGAGCAGATACACGGTTGCAGGACCTCTGCTCACCGAAACCTTGATCGTGCTCTGGCCATACTTGACTTCAGTCTCGACCGTGGCACGCAGAGGGCCCTCGGCCACAATGCCAACATTGCCGAACTCCAGATGTTTCCCCTTTTCGAGATGGTGGATCTCGACGTCCCAGGCGTCCCAGTTGTTCGGACGATCTGTTTGACGTCAGTGTTGGCGTTCACTGTAGCTGCACGATCAAGCGTACCCTCGAAAATGACAAGACCACCGGAGTGTCCTTCCGGAATGAGCTCCCGTCTGTGGTATATCAGTGGATGAGGCAAGCGAACGAGGTAGTGTAACGTACGCAAGTTGGACGTCGTAAAGGCTCGTGATCCGACCCTTGTTAAGGGTCAACTGCACGCTTGCGTTCCGGAGCACGAAGTGGTCCGTGCCGTTCGTATACACAGACACCGGAGCACAGTCCGCAAACATCCCCGTGGGCCGCACCAGGCTCGCACCATCAGCGCCCTCCATCAGCGCGTACCCCGATGCGCCATCCTTCGATACTTGCACCAGCTTGTTCTTGAGGTTCGCAGCGCCGCCGACAAGTGGGACCTTAACGACCTCCCTCCTGGGGAAGAAGGTCGTGTTGAAGCCCACGAGGGCCGGTGCGAGAGCGGGCTTGAGCGAGACAGCGGCATCTAGCGTGGTCGACTCAGGGAAAAGGACCTTGAAGGCATCTTCGAGGGCGAGGTTGAGGTCCTTGCGCACTTCGCTGTAGAGTTCCTCTGCATCGTCGTAGACCATACCGATGGCGGATCCGGGTAGTACGTCGTGGAACTGGTTGAGGAGGACCTTCTCCCAGGCGGTGTCGATAGTCTCCTTCGGGTACTCGTAGTCCTTGCGGTGGAGCTTGTATAACGACGCCAATGTTCCAACCAGCTGGTCGACGAAGTCAAAGGATGCCGCACAAAGGCATGGAACAACTAACCTCGACATCGCGCAACAAGATTTCAGACTTGCGGTTGCCCTTCTTGATTGAGCCTCAATGCGAATGGATGAGAAGATGATCACTTGTCAATGACGGCCAACACGCATACCATGGGAGGTGTATGTGCCACGGTGGAACTTGCAATTGATATGTAAGTAATCGGTTTCGTAAGATACAACATCCCTCTTACCTCCAAGTACAGTTCTCCATGCCTGAGTCCCTGCATGTCAGCTGCCTATTCGATCTTTTCTGATCGTTGATAGAAGGGCCATACCAGTTCGGCAACGTCTTGCCAGCCTCAGTAGTCTTGGTGATGTCGTCGAAGAAGTCCTCGACCGAGCTACCCATGGACACAGGCGGTAGCTCGCGGTGCGCGTTCGTGGTGGCGCGGATGCGGCGAAGCTGATGAAAGGAATAAATGTACACGCCTAGGAAAGAAGCTGAAGATAGACGGCGTACGTTCTCAAGCATTTTCGCGAGCGGGCCACCTCCGCCGTCGCCGTTACCAAACACAAGCAGCGCAGTGTCGTTGGACTCCAAGTTCTGAGACGATGTCGATGAGTAAGAGCCCAGGGTAGCCAAACGTGACCGAAAACCTTGTGGTTGGTGATGCCCTTGTTTACGTCGCCGACGGTCGCTTGGGCGGTGTACGTATCTGAAATGTCGATCAAAGATCCATTCGACCGTGCATAGGTTGAGATGAAAGAACATACCGACCGGAGTCATATGACACAAGACTTGAGTGCCATCGATACCCACCCAGTTGAACGTCGAGTGAGGGAATACATTTCTGCGAAATATATGTCAGTGAATACTCGAGCCACGGCATTTGTTCGCATACATGTTGTTCCTGACGAAGGTGAGCACACATCAAGACAGTTTAGTTGCATCAAACTCACCAAGAGAGCTTCTGTGTAAAGAAGTACTTCATGCCTGCTTGCCGGATGAGCTGGGGCAGTGCGCCAGTAAGACCAAACGAGTCCGGTAGCCAGGCGGTGTCGCAGCGGAAGCCGAAGCTGTACGAATTCGCTTTCAATACCGCAGTTTCCTCAAATGAAGATGGATGCTAACCGGCTTTCGAAATACCGTTGGCCAAACACGAACTGACGAACGAGCGCCTCTCCGGAGGGCATGTTCGCGTCGTTTTCAACCCACGAGCCGCCGACAGGGTGGAACTTGCCCTCGAGAACCTTGGCCTTGACGCGCTCGAATAGAGGGGGGTAAAGCTACATGTTTCGTGAGTTGATTGCCGAAGCACTGTACGAACAGCAGATGCGAAAAACCTGCTCGAGCCACTTGTACTGCTGCGCTTGGCTGCACGTGAAACGATGTTCCGGATACCGTTCCATGAGGTCAACCTGAGTAGACCATGACCGCGCGACCTTCTGTTGCGTGACGCGGTACGGCCATAACCACGCCGTGTCGATGTGGCAATGTCCGATACCCCACACGAGCGGGCGCTCCACGCCTTCCTCGTAGATCTTCTCCGCCTTGCCGTCCCAGGCCTCGCCGAAGACCTTCCAAGCGAGCTGGCGTGCGGCGGGAATCGTGGACGGGTCATCGTTCTGGAAAACGTTCATGATTGCGTTTGCGGTCGTGAGCGCAAGGTTCTGGAGTGGGGTGTTGCCCGGGAGGGTGTCGACGAGCTCGCGGAGGGTGGTAAAGTCCCAGAAGAGGGCCCAGGCGTCCAGGTTGGGTACGACAAGGTCGGCGGAGCGCAACGAGAAGTAGCGGTTGTTCTACGGAATCACGGTCAGCATTCCAAGTCAAATATGAAGGACAACGTATGCTCACGTCCGGAGGACCGATACCGCTGATACCGAACATGCCGTTGCAGCTGCTCTCAATGACGAAGTCGAACGTGCCTTTCTTGCGGGCTTCGGGCGGCAGTATGAACTCGACGCGACGGTCTCCGCCCCAGCCGCCGGTGATGCCCTGGAGCGGCTCACCGGCCGTGGTGAAGATCATGGCCTCGCAGTCAGGGTCGAACTCGACTAAAAATAGAAACTTGGTGTTAGATGAGCTGGGCCATACCGTTGGTGAAATACATACACTGCACGCGCTCGTACTTCTGCCATTCCGCTGGGAGATTTATGGTGACCTTGAACCAAACGTTTGTCTGAAAATCCAATCAATATATCATGCGCGAGAGGAAAGTAACGCGTATGATTACCCCTAATTGTCGCAATCAGCCCCGAGATCGTCTCATTCCGCCATATTGAACACTCACAAGATGGCCCAAACGTTGCGCCCTTGCCTACGGGGACGAACTCCTGCTTCATCGCCTCCGCAAAGCTCGGTTTCGTGCGGTTCGGCGCGGTCCATGCCTGGAGCTTCACGTGGTGCGAGTCGTCGATGCGGTGGTGGTACATCACCGACGACAAGTTGACGTTGGAGAAGTGGCCACCCTCAAATGTCGCGAGCCGGTCTTTCGTGAGGTGCTTGATCCATTTGGCGCCGCCGGAGTAGTTGAGCTTGGGATAGGCAGGGACCGATGAGGTCCCCGGTTTGGAGTGGCCGTGGTTACAGGCCATTGTGTCTGGTAGTGAACGCTGGAAGGATGTATACACCAGACACTCTGTTGATGCTACTGGACCTCGGGCAAGATATGGTGGTGGATGGGTTGGACGTCGTGGAACGTGCAGCTGCGTATCAGCCGACCAACGTGATGCGGGGTTGTTGCCCCTTCGGCATCGGCCCGGCAAAGCACTCCTTCTCGTTGACCACCATGCCTCCGATGAGAGCAAGGTGCTATGAAGCACCGGCCGGCGCGCTTTATGCTATCTCCATCCTAGACGCGACGACAGTTCGGTCCAAGTCTCCAGTCGAGGTTTTCCGAATTGAAGCACTACACTGTATATAGTCCTATGGACATCTCGCCTAGAACGACGGACTCTCAAGTTCTGAGCTTCGACGGCTCTTCTGCCTTTGTGTGCTGGCGAACTATTCTCAGAGAAATTGCGAGCTGGCGCATACATGCGCAGTGTACCCTTGTGCACCTTCACGGGTCGACGACCAGACTCAGTACATGATGCATAGCCAACGCTCCCTCTTTTGGTTCCAATGGCCGATATGTCTATCTTGTCAGCGAGGACTCTAAGGGGCGGCGATCGGGACATGGGATTCAGGAGCTGACTGATATGATCTATGTGATCACTAAGCGCGTCTTGGACGCGCGTCGCGCTATCGCAGACGCGAACAACACCGCGGAGCGCGTATAAGAAACGCGTCTCTCAACCACAAATATGTATTGCGAGCGCTTTCCACTCGGGAATTCCGCTCCTGATCATTTGTTGGCTCCATGTCCGCTCAGAGCAAGCTCTTCCAGTCCATCTCTGTCGGTTCCGTCGTACTGCAGCATCGCGTAGTCATGGCTCCTTTGACGCGCTTGCGAAGCACTCCAGAGCACGTCCCGCTGGATATTGTCGCAGAGATGTACGAGCAGAGGTCGCGCACGCCAGGTATGAACATGCACAACTCTTTCATATATCCTCAGCTGTTCAGACAAAGAATAGGCACTTTGTTGGTTGCTGAGGGCACCATGATATCACCAAACGCTGGAGGATACCCCAATGTTCCGGGTATTTGGAACGAGGAGCAAGTCTCCCAATGGAAGAAGGTGCGTGCTCCCCTGGGGTACAAAACGATTGGAATGGTGTTATAACACAGCGAGGCGCAGGTAACTTCGGCCGTTCACAAGAACGGCTCATACATGTTCTGTCAGCTCGCTGCTTGCGGGCGCGGTGCCAGCCCTGCGGCACTCAAGGCGGAGGGTCCGTTTGACTACGTTGCTCCGTCTGCCATCAAGATCTCATACGCCGAGGACACTCCTCGCGAGCTGTCCATACCCGAAATCAAAGAGTATGTCCAAGCATTCGTTGAAGCCGCGAAGAACGCAGTTCACGCTGGGTTCGATGGGATCGAGATCCACGGTAAGGTGTTGGCTCTCGCTCTATTTTATTCCAGGCTGACTGTGAATGTGGGCCACAGGCGCAAACGGCTTCCTGGTAGATGAGTTTATCCAATCTGTGTCCAACGAACGGACGGACATCTACGGAGGCTCTGTCGAGAACCGCTCCAGGTTCGCACTCGAAATCGTCGATGCGATCGCAAGCGCCATTGGAGCCGATAGAGTCGCGCTCAGGCTGAGTCCGTGGAGCACAGCCCAGGGTGAAACCATCTCCCGCATTCTTCTCATTTCGACGACTCTTTGCTCAATGTGTCTAATAGACATGCGCATGCCGGATCCCGTTCCGCAGTTCAGCCATCTTGTCGCTGCCCTACGTTCTGCTCACGCGGACCTCGCATATCTGCACGTCATCGAGCCACGCGTCGTGGGCGACGTAGACAAAGACCCCTTATCTTATGATTCTGCCAGAGAGTCCAACGATTTTCTGAGAGAGATTTGGAAGGGAAAGCCGTTCATCAGCGCGGGTGGGTACAATAGGGAAAGCGCGCTTGAGGCGAGCGAAAAGACGGGGGACCTGATTGCTTTCGGAAGACACTTCATTGCCAATGTGAGCATTCTATGGAATCACGTCAACGCTTACTGGCTCATTGCGTTGTCCGTAGCCAGATCTCGTGGAACGGTTGAAGAGGAACGTGCCGCTGCACAAGTACGACCGGTCAACGTTTTATTCTGTCCGGGATCCGAAAGGCTACATAGACCAGCCTTTCGCGCAGTTGGATTAGACATCAGGGCACATGGGTAATACGTAGCTCATGATCAAGCATGTCTATTGAGTAGTTCGGGACTGTCCAAGGGTTGGCGATCTTCATTTCAAAGTCTCGGTCGGAGGTGACAGCGGTGTGCACCCGCAGCAGACGATGATCGATGGATTGATCTGTGTTTATCATACACGTTAGGGCTGTGAAGCTTATTTGAAAGCTTGTGGCACCCACAGGAGAGGCTGAACCACCACACGGGCATTGTGCGATGACATTATTGCAGTTAGGGGCGAACGCATGGCAGCGTTGGGCCAGAATGAGGACGCTGAGGGCGATGACAAGCGCCTGCGTGAAGACGAGGTTGTGCTGCATGTTCCACCGAGCGATGCGACTCTTCGGCACGACTAACGGTTTGCGCTCGAATTCCATTATTTATATTCAATTCTTTGCAGATAGCAGACGACAGCCGGCGCTACGCTTGACCATATACGTGTTGTCGCCCCTCACACCACTGTCAGAGAGATTGACGATAAGGGAGGCCACTTTGATTTTGAGAATGGATACTGAAACATCAAGGTACCGAATGCCTTCGGCGCCAATAAACCTACTCACCCGCACGTAGAATGCACAGGTAGAGATCCCCCACAATCGTATGCAAACTAGAGTATGCTATTACACGCATGGCTTCTCGATCCTATCCGGCTGGGGACTCTTGCATTTACAACATGGAATAATCGAAGGATCTTCCTAAGCAACGTAATATGAACTCGTTGGTGAGTCATTGCATTGAATATTGAGGTAAAGGCACATACAGGGGGGTGAGAAACCTCCACAACATTGGGGGATGAATGATGCTAGTCAGGCATTTTGCAGCGCACACAGCTTGCGAAAGAAAGCGGGAGCTAGAGCGCTGAGTTTTCGGAGCGTAACAAGGGGCATTATGCGCATTGCGTCGTCGAAGTGGGGGCCATGTTCGGCAAACTTGTTGTTATTATACGTATCTAAGAAGGTTTAGCGGTACACAAGATAATATATACATGTCACACGGCCCCTGCGCTTGGCCAAGCTGGTCGGCTCACACCCTTCCACGAGTCGGTAGCGCGTTGGCAAAGACAATCCTAGGGATATAAGCGAGCGTGCACAGGTTCGTGATTCGAATGCCACGCCACGGTTTGCATCTTCGCGTCTTCGCGTCAACAGGAGACTGCGTTGACCCGCGCGGACCACTGGAGTTGTTGTTGTAAATCCGCATTTATAGTCGGGTGCGGCATTGCTGTATGATAGACAATAATACAACAATCTATTCTACCATTTTTGAGTTGTCCGTCCGCTTCGCGATTCGATCGTAAACGACTGTGACCACTGGAGTTTGCTTGCATATTGCTTAAGTATATACTTATGGCGTGTTGAACGTTGAACCTTGCTGCGAGCGTCACTTCCCTTGCTTGAGCCATTCCAATCCATACTAGCTGCCTTAGGCAAGGGCATGCTCGTTGATGTGGACGAATCCGAGTGCTTTCACAGAGTATGACAGAGCTCGCAAAGGCTACAGAAAGAGAGGGAATGTTCTCACGGGCATCGAGCCAATGAGCGAAATGCCTCACACGTGTTGCGCCGAATTGCCTCACCTTCCCCATCGACCATCATCTCGTCTTCCTCCCTCACAGCGCAATGATGCCCTTCCCCCTACTCTACGCGAATACGGTGTCTCTCTGCCCATGCTCTACTACAACATAGAAGGGAATATCGCCAGCACATCAACAGCTTCATATTCAATGCTTATCAGAGGCAAGCACGGCCTACGAGGCACGGCGACCTGCGAAGGATAAGGTGAGTTTCGACGCCGGCTTCTTCTTCTGGTCCTCCTCAATGACGCTGGATATCCTGATCTCAGAAGGATATGTCGATCATTACCCACTATAGTCGCTCAAGGTCTGCTTGACCAACAGTCGCGCACACGACTTCAAAGCATGAGCGCTGCGCGTTCGGGGAGCCGCAGTGCTTCGTCCGCCGTGCACGTCCGCAACCTGTAACCTCCGTGCGAGGCTGCTCCGTTCCGATGTCTGCCCTTACCTCTCTCCTGCATGCCATTGCACGTCTTGAAGCCCTGGCGCGGGTTCACTGCAGCTTCTTGCAGCAGAAGCGGACTGCTGTCTTCCAATTGCTCCCCTAGCGCCTCTTATACCTCACCGTCGAAGCCGTTCCTCTTCTCCTCGAGATGATATGCGCTGGACGGCGACGACGGGTTGTGAGGTGTTCGCCGAAATGCCGCCCAGACTCCTCCCAGTCTCCACAGCAGAGCGGCAACGGTTGCCACAGCCCGGGGGCCGCGGCTATTTGTTTCCCACGATCGCCGGCGCCGCATCTCGCACTTTCCCAAGCGCCTCTCTGGATATCGTCTCATCGCCGGACGCAACGACGACGACGGCCCCACTCCCGACTCAGGCTAGCGTTCCTGCCCATCCTTGACTTGTCGTCGGGTCTTCGTCTGCGAAATCATGTCTGGTACACCACCCGTCATCCCGACGGAACTTCAGGTTTACAAGTAAGCGCACCTTATCGTCTGTCAGACGGCGTCGGTGACACCTCGGGCGCCCTCCCTCTGTCTCTTCCAGCTCATACGTCGAGGATCCGAAATGGCAACGCAAGTTTAGCATTATTTGGGGCACCGCCGCCGGCATTGCCATCCTAATCTCGCTCCCGCACCTTCTCCGCGCAATTCGCAGTCGTCGAGCGTTCGCGGGCCTCTTTGGCGTCTGGGAGGACTGGAGTGGCAAAGCGTATCAGCCAGTGGCGGCTAGCGACGAACGAAAGCGGAGTGGTGGTTCGCCGGGATGGAAGGATAGAGTGCGAGGAGTGGCTAGGATTGTCACTTCAGCTCTCCTCTGGACATTGCCGGGCACAGAGGTCGACGTCGGACAAAGTGCGTTTCCAGTTATCCCCTTCCTCATCAGAATCGGGAGCTGATCTGTCTATCGCAGTGCTCATCATCATTGGCTACCTCGTCACCGTCCTCGTCTGCATCACCATGAAGTCTGAGCTCATTTCTAACCCGAACCGTGCCGGCTTCCTTGCCTTGGCACAATTCCCAGTTGTCTTCCTATTCGCCACCAAGAATTCACTGCTGTCGCTCCTCCTTGGCCCGGGAAACGGCTACGAGAAACTGAACTATGTCCACAAATGGGCCGGGCGCGGAATGTTCATCGGCGCCGTCGTTCATGGCGCACTCTGGATCCGTAACCACCTGCAATACGGCCTTCCGATTCTCGGCCAGCAAAAGGAGACAAGCGGTGTCGCTGCCCTTGGTGTTCTCTGCGTGATTGTGCTCACGTCGTTCCGATCTATTCGGAGATTGTGCTGGAATTTGTTCTTCGTTGTGCAGTACGTCGCTTTCCGACTGCAGATGAGCTTCATCCGGATGCTGATTGTCTGTGATCTAGTGTGTTGGCCTTTGTCGCGTTTTACGTGACGGTTTGCTACCACACGATCTACGCTCGCCCATGGGTCTACCCACCACTAGCCTTCTATGGTCTGGACCTGCTCATGCGCCTGCTCCGGTTCCGCATCAAGGACGCGACGCTGATCCCCGTCGATCATGCCATGACCATTGTAAGCCCCGCATCAGTCTACCTGAGGCTCCTTTTGTATTCACAACTGACTGCTTTCCACAGATCAACGTCCACGACTGCTCTGGCGGTTGGGTCGCCGGCCAGCACGTCCGCCTGCGCGCCTTTGTCTCTGGTCGCCTGTTCGAATCGCACCCACTCACGATCATGCGCGCCCCGCCCTCGACGTCCTGCTTGTCGCCGAGCTCCGCGCGGGGTACGCTTACCCTGGGCGCTCGCGCCGTTGGCGACTGGAGCCGCGAGCTAAACGCCTATGCCCGCGCTGAACGCGACCGGACCTCCAAGGGCAAGGAGCTCGATGGTATCGACACCACCGACCTTGGCGCGGACGTGCAGGTCATGATCGACGGTCCATACGGCGGCTGCAGTGTCGACCTCGGCGAGTTCGAGAGTGTGCTACTCGTCGCCGGCGGTAGCGGTGCGACATTTACCCTCGGCATGCTGGACGACATCGTTGGACGCTGCGTTAGGCTCGGCCGGCCAAATGGCGAACGCACGAAGCGGATCAAGTTCGCGTGGTGCATCAAGTCCTTCGGTGCGTACCGTGCCCCTTTCCTCCTTCTCCTTCCTCGATGCTGATCGATATATAGGTGCGATCGAGTGGTTCGCTCAGCCGCTGATGGAGATCGCGGCCGTCGCGGCGACGCCCGGCTCCGGCCTCGACCTCCACGTGTCCGTGTTCGTTACCTGCCTGTGCAACCCGGAGGCCGTCCCGCCAATTCCCAACTCGGACGTGCGGGTCGGGCGCCCGTCGATTCATAAGATGCTTCGCGACTTCGTCACGCCACCCTGCGCGCCGTGCGCGGACTCCGTCGCGAAGGGCGCGTCGTGCTGCTGCGCGCCCGATACTGCTGGCACATCCACCCTTTCCACCGCGTCGGCCTCGCAGCCCGGCGTTCTCAGCGCGTCGGAGAAGGCGGCGGAGACGAAGCTCGAGGTCGAGGAGGAGGAACGGTTTGCGACGGAGTGCGACTGCGAGGCGGGTGATTTCGATGTCCCCGGGTTGCGCTGGGTTGGGCTCGGCGGCGGCGTCGCGGTGTGCGCGAGCGGGCCAGAGCGGCTGACGCGTGAGGCGAAGAACGCGGTAGCGAGGATCGGCATGGCGCGGAGCGTCGCGCTCGGCGGAATCGCGCTGCACACGGAGCTGTTCTCATTATGATAACATGATTTGACGTCAGGTTTGTGTTTGTATGATTACGGACGGGAGCTTTTGGGGCTCCGTAGACGATGAGATTTGTTCGAGCTACTCCACTGCGATGATGTTCAACGGCTGATCGGATTTGACAAGAGTGGGTGATTGCACGACTATCGAAGACTACAATACACTTGATGCCTGCAGATGGAGACCCGAATAATCCCAAGACTGAAAGGAGAAACGTCGCCAACCTATCCGTTAGCCCATTTGCATTGCAGACAGGTCGCCCATCATCCACGACGTGCCAAATGCGCCGAAGTTGGCCACGTCGTTGATCAGCTCGTCGTACGATGTCGTATCCATGCCGCTGCGTCACCACCATTCATCAGCTACGTTGTCCAAAACAAAGGGAGAAAAAAACAACCTACTTTAGCCACCCAAAGACGTCCAGGTCCGACGTCGACGTCGAGAGCATCGGAAGCTCCTGCGCCGCCGCGTGCACCGTCGGCGCTGCCTGCATTCCCGCCACCTGCGGGACGACGGGCTGCGCCCGGACCTGCGCTTGCGTCTCCGCCCGCTCGCGCTCCTCGCGCTCCACGGTCTCGTCCGCGTCGGTGAGGCCGCAGCAGCCCGCCGCGCCGGGGAGGGTACGGAGCGCGCCGGGCTGGAGCTTGGCGCCCCACGGGCCGGCGATGATCGTCTCGTACACGGCGTCGTACAGGAGCCCGCCGAGGCTCATGCGCGCGCGAACGTACATTGCCGGCCGTTTCGGCGGGGCTGCGGGCGTGGAGGAGGTGGAGGTGGTGGAGGAGGAAGGGGGCGAGTTGGCGAGGCGGCGCGAGAGGAAGCGGATGATCTGGCAGACTTGGTCGGCCTCGTCGCCCGGGGTGAGCGAGCGGCCCTGGGAGTGAGACGGGTTAGCGGTGGAAAGGGGGCGGGGGCGGGAACGGGTAAATGGGTTTGGTCTGATTTACCTTGAGGAGGTCGTAGGCACGCATGATCTCGCGTAGGATCATGTTCCGGTCTACGGTGAACTTTTGGGGGTGCGTTGTTTGGAGGGAGGCGAGCTTGAGGAGGCAGAGCTGAGGGAGATGTCAGTCGGCAGCGTCGGCGGGGAGAGGTAACGTACGGTGGCGTAGACGGTGCTGAGCAGCATAGATCGCGGCCAGAAGGCGGCGTTCGTGTCGGGCGCGGCGGCGAGCTTGTGGAGGATCTCGAGCATGCGGATGGAGGAGGTGTAGCACGAGAGGAGGTCCATCGGCGAGGCGAGCATCATGTCGTCCTGAAGGCCGTAAGTGTACAGCTGAAGCTTGACCTCGAGGAACGCGATCGCCACGCGCGGGTCTGGACGACCGATCAGTCGCTTCATGAGATGAGAAAGGGAAGGAAGAGGGGACGTACTCATGGGGCTGAGACCGTTCTCGATGTCGACGAGCTCGCTGGCGAGGATGCCGATAAGCGCCGGACCGGTGCTCGCGTCCTGTCCCGACTTGGAGCGGACGGAGTGGCCCATGACGGTCGAGAGCCGGAGGGCGAAGCGCTGGATGCGGAGGAGCTTAGAGACGTCCGGGTCGAGCGAGATGAGTGGGTCGGCGGCGGCGGTGGAGGGGTGCGAGGCGGAGGCGGTCACCCAATCGTCCGAGACGCAGGAGGGGAGGCCTAGCATCGATGCGATGCTGTGAATCGCGTTAGCATTGCGGCAGAGGATGATGAGGGAGAGAAACGAGAGGGTAGCATACTCTTGGTGAATGATAAAGCAGTGGGCCCAGGTTGAAGTGCGCTCGCGGAGCTCGTCAGCGCTGAGCTGGATCGCGAGGCAGAACTCGCGCGCGAAGTGCGGGCGGTGAAGGCCGAGCGAGAGCGCGAGCTGAAGGGCCTACATGCACCCGTGTGAGCGTTCCGTCAGCGCAAAGGGTCTAAGAAGAGACATAGAAGGACCCTACGAGGCCGGAGTAAAACTGTAAGGTGGTCCATTGATCCATTGGTCAGCGCCGCAGCGTTTACGTGGAAATGAAGGAGACGCACCCAACACACATCCTCGCCGCGCACGGGCCGGGACGATATCGGCCACTCGCAGTGGACGAGGAGGGCCTGGACGGCCTGGACGTTCCGCGGTGGTGCTATGAAGCACTGAGCGATCATTTCCTTCGTTTCACGGCCGATCGCGAGGCAGAGGGCCGGGTCGCGCGCGCGGGGGATGGGGTGGCCCGGCCGCGGGCGGGAGGCGACGCCGCAGAGGGTCCAGAAGAGTAAGGGGGAAGTGGAGAAGGTGGAGAGAGGCGAAAGGGTGGATGGGAGGAGAGGGAGGTGCGGGTGGTAGTAGGTAAAGTATCTAGAGAGAACGGTAAGCCAAGGCGGAAGGGGGAAGGGTGAATGGACGGTACTTACTCGTCAAAAAGGGCATCGATCTCGAAACCGGAGAGGTGGACCGAGCCGCAGACGCGGTCTGGAGAGGGAGAGAAAGGGACGGCCCCGGGTGGGTGGCGGGAGGCGCCCAGAGCGGGAGCGGTCAGCGCCGGTTCGGGAGCGGCGGGGGCAGGCGCAGGCGCAGAAGCGCGGAAGGTTGAGGAGCCCGACTCATCGGGCGACGCTGCAGCAGGTGCATGCAGTCAGCGTGAAGGGCAGAAACACGATAAAAAGATGACGTACGAGTCGGCTGAGGGGTGATGAGGTCTTGAGAGTGGCTCGTGTCTTGTGGCACCTCGTCGGGCTTTCTAGTAAACACAGAAATGTTGGAAAGGGGTACAGGCGGTATAAGACTGTCGTGTACGCACTTGCGAACATTTCGACGCTTGAAAGCCGGGTCTACATAGCACGGTCTGAAGCATGCGAATTCACGGCTATGTCAGATTGCTGATATCGAGACAGGACGCAGACGTACCGCGTGTCGCCCTGGGCTACGCATCGCGAACAAGGGTCCGGGAAGCGTTCCTGGAAGTCGCAGCGGTTCTGCAAGCGGACAGAACGGCAAGCGTGAACACAAGTACGAATATCAGGGGAGGGTGGGTAGCGTATTCCGGGAGGCTTACCTTTCCTTGCCGGCAGTTGGTGCACACCTGGTTCGAGCGCTTCCACTTTCCTTTCTTCTGGCGTTGAACTCCGCTGTGATCTTCCGTAGACGACATGTTGATCTGTTAGTTGGTCGTGCCAGTTGATCAGAAGTACAACAGGGTGGACAGGGGTTCTGCGTTGAACGTTCGAGAGGTAGTATATGTTTAAGGGAGTAAATATAGCGAGGGCGACACGACAGCTTTCGGCAGAGGTAGATCATGGAACATTGCGTCGGCTTTGCCGCAGTAATAATCTCGACCTTCTCTCAACAGTAAGTTGTCCGTCGGGACGGACCCTGGGGGGAAGGGGAGGACCGGCAAGTGAGCGGTTGTGCTGCCGGTGGCGGTGCTTACGGAGAATAGGCTCGGTCGGCATTGGCCGTGTCGTAAGTCGATGACGAGCTCGAGGATGTGTGTATTCTCTTCTCGTACTTTGGGCCGTGGTATCGATTGAACCACATATCTTGGGCTGCTCTCGAACGTAGATTCTTGAAAAGGCGCTGGCTCTCTACGAGGAATCGAGCAGGGGCCTGCTGCCTTCAGGGCCCACCGCTCCATGCGATACTAACGTCGGTGCAAGTTCTGGCCAGTACTGGGCTAGTACGATGCAGCTGCCAGCGACTTCCGCTGGTTAGCAGAACAGGGGGGCAACAGGGGGCAACCCAACTCCTATGACCACCTCCTCTATTAGACTTTTCTGGCTCATGGGAATCCCGACGACCACGCCCGACACGCGCGGACTCCGTCTGATGCCCGCTCATCTCCTGGTCTTCGTCCGACACCGCCGCAGGCGGGCATGGCCATGGCACAGACGCTAGCATGGGACCGCCCCTCCGGTCCCGCTTTGGACTCTGGCGCCGACGAACGAGGGGATGAAACGCCTGGAGCAGCCTCATCGGCGAATGGCCCCTGGCTCGGGTTAGGTAATTAGGCCCGCTGTCCGGTGACGATGGGCGACCCTGGGCGGGGCGGACTGAATATGTAAAGACGGCCGTGAGGCTAAACGGACTGCGCTGCTGGCGTTTTTCTTATATAAATCCGGCTGGTGCTGGCACGCCCCCAAAAATTCCACTTCTCCCGCAGTGAAAAATCAACAACTGCGCCTTGCTTTCCGTTGTCGAATGTCTAGGATGGACTCTTCGTTGGCAACGATGACCACGACGGCTACGGCGACCAACGAGGTTCCCTCCCTCCCGTACGAGCTCCTGTCCGCCATCGCGGCCCATTTGCGTCCGCGCGACCTCCCGTCGCTCGCTCGTGCCAGTCGCACGCTCAACGCCGCGTCCGAACCGGTGTTATACTGCACATTATCCTCCACCTCCCTCCGCCCGCGCGCGATGTGCGCCGCCCTGCGCAGCGTCCGGAAGAGAGGGAGGGGCGCGTGCGTGCACGAGCTCTCGCTGGATCTATCGTGTTGGACGAAGAAAGTCGCGGGGAAGGAGCGAGGACTGCTGTTGAGGGGTTTTGGGACGCTTGTCCAGGACGCAATAAGAGGGATGCACAACTTGGAGAGGGTGACGATGTTGGGGTTCGGAAGCAGGATGACGAGGGCGGCGGTGGACGGGTGTGACGCGAGGCTGAGAGTGCTTATGGGAGATGTCATGCCGGAGGTGCGGTGGTTAGAGGAGCAGCGGATGCTGGAGGTGCTCGTCCTCGTTGACAAGGAGAGGAGGAACGAGAAGGCGGAGTTGCGTGTGTCGGACGCCGCGCTGCCCCGGCTGAGGATCTTGTGCGCGGGTGCGGATGTCGTGAGGCAGCTCTCGCTTGGACGACCGGCGCTGGAGCATGTTGCGCAGGATATCGCACTCGCGACTGCGTCGAAGGACAAAGAAACGAACGGGGACGCGGACGACCAACGGGTACAGCATCCGGGGCGTATGCCGGCATTGCGCACACTCGGGATACAGTACCGTGCGGTGGATGACGCATGTGTCATACGCGCCGGGTGTCCGCCGTTCGACGGGATGGATGGTGCGGGTCTGTCCTTCGAGGGCGTGACGCGTCTGGATATATACGTGCCGACGTTTCATCATTTCGAGGTACGGGCCTGCTACTGCCCCTGGATATCCACGATGGACTGACGAAATCGTGATTGTAGGCACTAGCGAGCATTGCGCCACTCGTGCAGCGCTTCCCGGCGCTGCGCGAGCTCGAGCTCGCTGGCGGACATTTGTTCGGAACCATGGATAGGGAGGCGATGCGCGTCGCTGCGGAGTCGTGGAGGGCGCAGTGTGGCACACTCCAGGAGGTGGTGTTTAGGGACCGGGCGGACGCGGGCAGGTACAAGAGGAATGCTGAGGCGAGGGTCTATGCGTACGATCAGGATGAGGGTGGGATAAGGAGGGACGAGCGCGCGGATGGGCGGTGGATGGAAGCAGGAGGAGAGTATGAATATTGGGCGGATAGGATGATCTGGGCGGTGAGGAGATAAGTTGCTGAAATTCGATTCACCGGGATGCTTTACATCTCGCTTCCGCGTTCTACATGTACACGACGGTGAAAGCCTCGACGCGAATGCAACATGGGAACATGCGAACAATCGTCACGTCGTTTTGGGATGTCCATGTGTGCTTTGAGTGTGGTGCACCGGGTATGGAATCGTTGTCGACTCCCCAGGCCAATGAACACATGCATTGATGCGGAAATACGCGATCACGCATGCTAGTCCTCGCTCCAGAAAGCACAATCAACAACTGACGGCCTTGCAAGCTTGACGCAAACCGGCGATCATAACACGCTGTTGCAACCTCGATCCCCTTCGATCAGAATGGGCTGTTGTCGAACATAGCTAGAACTCATTGAGGAGTTTGCAGGGAGTCAACCCATTTCTGAGTGGTAAGGGCGCGTAGTACAACGTCGTCGACGTGCAATTCGCCATGGGCTAACAGAACTGATATGCAGATGACGATCAACTCGAAACTATGACGTGGTCCAGAATAATGAGCCTTGAGCTCTCCCCACTTTGTGGGCAGGAAGCTCTTAGTGCAGTGTTCAGCGATGCACGGAAGCCGAGGGTAACCGGCGTGAGTGTCGAGCCAATGCCTATCATACTGCTTCTGTTTGGAGTAACATTTCCAACAATTTACGGCCGGACACTATACTTTCGGGCAGCTATTCCCCAGCACCTTGATCGGTAGCGGAGATGGTGGAGCTAATTCGCACTATACCTATACACTAAGCGATGTTCAGAGGGTCGAGAAGCAGCGCACTATACTCCCGCCGCTGTCTGGGTAGTGTTTTCTGGTTGCAATAAACATATATGACCCTTTTATGCTTTTTACGGTACGATATGTAGCATGCAACACGGAATACAAGACGTCCGAGTGCGTATTATGGTTCCAGGACACAACCCACGGAGCAATAGCATTCACTGATAAGTACAGCCAAAAAAAATTGTGCGTTCCTGCACTTCGCAAGTTCTGCTTCATCTGGCCATCTGGGCCTACTACATCACCCGAGGCTTACTGTTGTCGTGCCGCAGGCGCATATATGAGTAGAATATATCAATCGAGATCTGTCATACCCGAGAGACGATGCGCGAGCGTGTGCAGCGCCACGTCTCTTTTCGGGCGTGTGAATTGCCTCTTCCGGTACGGGCCCCTTCGTGCCCTCCTGTTTCGATTCCACGAGTGGCGTACGTGCAGCGCAGCAACCGGCTGTTCCGCTACCGGGACCTCGTCGGCAATCTACCTACCTACCTCCCCGTTTGCTCACTCGATAAATACGATGTGTTCAATCAAGTTGTATTTTCATCAACGCGCCAGATTGTGCGCCGCCTCAGGTGCTCGACATCTCCGATTTTAAGAGCTCGACGCCGCCGGGCGCTGTGCTCGCTCTGACGCAGCTCCGTTTATATTTACGTACCCAACATCTATAGCGCTAGCCCCAGCACCTATGCATCACGTGCCCGCTCACTGACGCAACCCGGTACGCGGCACCTGGCTCCGCATCCGTCCTCCCTCGACGTCGGGGCGCACAACGCAGCTCTCGCGTTCCTCGCCGTCCTATGAACATCCCCAACGTCCCCGCCAACGATAACAGCCACTTGAACGCACCGCCCAGCCGCCGCTCGTCGATCTACTCTACCGCCGCCCCGCGCCGCCCGCTCCGCCGTCCTCCCTCGATCCGCTCGCTCGGCGCGCCTGGCGGGAAGAGCAGGGCCGCCGCGCCGCCGAGCGTGTCCCTCGTCTTTGCGCAGCCCGAGCTAGGCAAGGGTCTGAAGAGCGCCGTAGACCATCTGCCGACGATCGAGCGTACGCCGAGTCAGGAGGGTGTGGAGGAGGAGGAGGAGGCCGATATGAAGCGAGGCAGCGACGTCGTGGCGCCGGGCGAGGAGGACGAGGGGAGCAAGAGACTCAAGGTCGCCGACGATGCGAGCGCTGGGGCGACGACGGGGGATATGCAGGTGGACCCGCCAGCTGCTGCTGCGCCCGCACCGGTCGATGTGCAGGCTACCGATACTGCCACCGCTGCGGCTGGTGCTGCGCCGACCGATGCGCCCTCGACGAGCCCTTCGAAATCCAGCGCCATCGCGTCCTGGTTCGGATCTATATCACGCTCGAAGAGCAAAGAGCGCGCGCCAATCGCCGTGGCGCCGACCCCGGCAACAGCAGAACAGCAAACCGCAGCAGAAAGTACAGAAACCGCGGCTAGAGAACGCGCCGCAACGTCGGACACAGTGCCTGCTTCATCAGAACGCGCAGCAGCAGCAGCAGCACCCGCGCCCGCTGTCGATCTGTCCGCCTCTCCCGAGACATCTCCCTCCCCGCCGCGCTGGATCCCCTCCTCCCGCAAATCACACGCGCGGAAAAAGTCGTGGCTGAGCATCACCTCCACCCCGTCCTCCTCCCCCACCCCACACAATCAGCACCCTCAACAACCCCAAACCCAGACTTCCCCCACCAGATCCGCGGGCCCGCGCTCGCCGCCCCGTCCCCCGCTCTCCGCCGCGCCCTCCATCCCGTCCTCCATCGACGAGGAAGTTCCCGGCCTGCCGTCCTCCCCCACCTCGCCCTCCCATCTCCGGCCCCCGCCTCCCGCGCCGACGCTGTCCCCCTCCGCGTCGGGGACATCCACGATCAACCTGAATCCGACCGCGTCCCGGTTCACGCTCAGCATACCGCTTCTAGGTCGGCCGAAGGTCCCCCTCGAGCGCGCCGTCGCGGCGGCGCAGGCGGAGGACGTGCGCACGGCGGCACCAAAGGGGCCGGAGACGCCCGTTGAAGAGCGCGTGGCGCTTGCGCAGGCCGAGGACGTAAGGGAGGGCGACGTCGTGCCGGAACGCCGGCTCGCGGAGGAGGAGAAACGCGGCGTGTCGAAGAGTGCGTCTCTTCCTTCGTCCTTCCTCTCTGCGTGTCCTTTTTCGTCGTGCGGGCGCTGACGAGATACCGTTTTTTTTTTATATTTATCGTTTCCGTAGCTGTGACGAAACCCGTCGGGGGCAACGCGGGTGAGGACGCCCGTCTGTTGCGCAACTGGGTGTACGTGAAGTTGACGCAAGACCCCGACGCAGGTCCGAGTCCGGCTTCGGGTGACGCGTCTGTGGGCCCGGAGACGATGGTCGTGCCGCCGCCGTCGTCGTCGCAGGAAGCAACGAGCTCGACGTGGTGGGATTATGTACCTGGGTTTGGCGGCGCTACCGCTCCCGCTTCCGCGAAGGAGACCGAGCCCGAGCCCGTCCCTACGCCGAAGCCGGAACGTGCACCGGCGCACGAGCACGGGCGAGAAGATTCGACGTCGACGGTGCGGCCCAAGGCGGCGTCAGTGTTCTCGGGCGAGACGGCGCGCTCGGGCTCGAATCAGTCGTCGTGGCTGGCGCCGTGGACGTGGTACGGCGCGCCGTCGCCCCTGGGGAGGGGAGAGGTGGATGCCGGAGGACCGGCGCCCGGAGAGGAGAGGGAGGAGGACGGGACCACGCGCGCGGAAGCTGTCAAAGCGGAGGCGCTTGCGCGGGAGGTGAGCATCGTGTTCGTCCTGTTCGTGTGCGGTAAGGCTGAGATGATGGGGGGGCAGGAACGGGAGAAGGAGGAGGAGCGGGAGAGGGAACGGGAACGGAATCCGGTTGGGGAGACGATCGAGCAGCATCGGAGCGGCTGGGCGTCGCTGTTCATGAGCAGGGCGTTCACGGGTCGGACGATCACCGCCGCGGGAGAGGGCAGTGAGGGAGGGGAGATGGAGGTGATGGACGTCCCGGACGAGGTCGACCCCGGTCCGACTCCGGGAGAGAAGGCGAAGGGCGAGGAGAGGGTGCGAGAGCGTAAGGAGGCGGAGAAGCGGGATTCGAACGCGCGCGAGCCGAAGAAGAAGAAGGGCACCACCGTGCCGCCACTGACCGACTCGACCTCGGTAAAGGACCGGACGGCGCGCCGCGCGGCGTCGCCATCGCCGTCCCCGTCGAAGAGGAGCAATAAGAGCGGGAGCTCGACGCCGACGGGCCCGAGGTCGGGCGTGCCGAACCTTGTGCTGCCGACGTGGGCGGATACGTTCCATAAGCCGCCGAGGTCGGACGTGCCGGTCCGAAAGGGGAGAAGCGGAGTGGTGGGTAAGGGATTGAGGTATTTGGGAGAGGCGCTGCAGGCCTATGCGGAGGGCGAGGACGGAGGGAGGGGTGGTAGGGAGAGGGGGAAGGGGAAGAGCAAGGAGGAGGAGTTTGGGAGGGCGCTGCCGAAGGCGTGGGACGTGGTGGAGGGCGCGAGGGGGACGCAGAAGGGGAAGGCGGCGGCGGCTGTGGAGGGGGACGTGCTGAGGGGAGCGAGGAGGGTTGTTGTGTTAGGCATCCACGGCTGGTTTTACGGAGGGATGATGCGGACCGTCCTCGGCGAGGTGAGTGCTCGATGATGGTGGTGGTTGGGTGGAGGACTAAATGTCTGTGACCAGCCGACGGGAACGAGCACAAAGCTGGCGAACATGATGTGCCAGGCGGTCGAGGAATTTGAGGCCAAGCACGGCGTCAAGTTCGAGAAGGTGACCAAGATACCGCTCGAGGGCGAAGGCAAGATCGAGATCCGGGTCGAGAAGTGCGTATTTCCGCACCTGCTCGTCGCCAATACTCACGTTCGCCTTGCGCAACAGGCTGTACAAAGCGCTGACGGAGAACGAGGAGTGGATGGCGGACCTGCGCGCCGCGGACGTGGTGTTCGTCGCCACCCATTCCCAGGGCTCGGTCGTCTCCACGCACATCCTCGATCGCCTCATCCGAGACGGACACATCCGCACCGCGCGCAGTGTCGCGGCGGATCGGCTAGCAGCGGCGGGCCAGAGCATCGCGGCGGGGCTCGCGCCCGGTGCCACTGGACTCGAGTCGAAGCCGCAGAGGGTGTGCTGCCTTGCGCTGTGCGGGATCCACCTCGGCCCGCTGAGGTACCTGAGCGGGAGCTCGTTCACAAAGCCGTATATCCAGGTGAGCTGGTTCTGTCGCGTGGGCGGTGCGTCAACCGGATTACTGAATGTGCGGTGCAGTATTTCGAGAACGCGGCGGCCATGGAGTTGTTCGAGTTCCAGGTAGGGGCTTCAAGCGTTATGTGGGAAATACGGTGAACCTGACAGTTTGGCCAGAACACGGAGAGCGAAGTTTCCAAGAGCTACGTCAATGCTTTGCGCAACGTGCTGGATCATGAGGTAAGAGAGCCTGCTCACGGATGAGAATGCTGGATTGACCACAGTATTCCAGACCAAGATGCTTTACGTTGCTTCGCTTGACGATCAGGTCGTGCCGGTCTATTCTGGACTCTTCACTGCCGCATCGCATCCACTCATTTTACGCGCTATATACATCGACGGAGATGCTTACTCGTAAGTCGTCGTGATGATCTTCCGCGGTATCCGACATCCATACTTAATATCGGTCGTTTTACAGCTCGTCGGACTTTCTGTCCAACCTCACCGTATTATTGATCCGCATATTGAACGCCGGCCTGTCGGACAGCCGGCTTCTAGTCCATCTTTCCGAGGCCACGGCTGGCTCGTTGAGCGGCGTGGGGCACTCCTCGGCATACGAGGAATTGGCTACGTTCACGTCAGTTCCGTTCCATCTTCATCTTGGAGGCATCGATGAAGTTGACCTGTGTTTTCGTTAGGCTGGCCGTAAACTACCTCTTCCTCACCGACAATGGTCAGACCCAACATGCCAAACTAGACCTAGAGCACTTCAACGCAAGCACGGAGCAAAACGACTACGAGGCGCGTTCACGTTCATACGCTGCGCTCTTTTCTGTTGTAAGCGCTGACGCGGGCATCCGTAGATACCCTGGGCTCTTAGAGACCTCATCGCGGACGAGCGCGTCGCGCAATACTTTTCGCGCGAGTTTGCGCAGCTTCGGGACGCGTTCGACGACTGGCGGCCGAAGACGACGATCCTTCGGGACATCAAGCGCAAGCTGCAGCCGATACAACGGCTGTCGACGTTGAGCGTTTCCCCGCCGTCGCCTACGCCGTCCAGCAAGCTGTGATACACACGCAACCGTCTTTTATCGACACAATTTCCTTCTGCTCCTGCAACCATACGAAACTCAGACGGACTCTCAATAGCCTCGGTGTACGGTTTATATCATCACATTTCATGGCCAACACTCGTCTTTTACACTTTATTCACCGCGAGATTACTCTACGATTTGCTGGAGGCTAGTGCAATACCTGTAACATCACACCGCATCCGACTTTGTACACAAATGTAGATTTAGCAACGATAGTGCTCTGCCGATGCGTCCAATGATATGATACAGCTCGTGCCGAAGCCGAAGGCTTTGGTCGCGTGCATGTTGCACGCGCGTCTCGCCCAAATCTTCGCTCGGCCACGACGTTCTCTCACTGCCGATATTCTGGGACTCCAGTGAGAAACACGGACCGATATATTCACCATGCATACACATAACCCAGCCAACGTTGCTTTGGGCGCGCGACGGCTGACATGTCGGCCGGCATCGGTTCTGCTGCTACGGGAGCGCAAGTTGCCCCTCGCTTTAGAGTAGCGATATGGTCTGTCGCTTGCGGCTATCCAACGAGACGTACCGTCAGCTAACGGGGGCGCTGATAGTGGGGGCGGATTAGGAGGCTTGACGCTGGCCGCTACCCTCGCGCGGCATTGCTCCGACATCCAATGCGATGTGTATGAAGCGTCGTCGTGGATCAGCACCGCGGGTGCGGGGATCGGGACCTGGCAGCGGACCTGGCGCATCCTGGAACGTTTGGGCTTGGACCAGGGTCTTGTGGAGAAGGCGTTTTCGCCTCCTAAACCAGGAAAGCGTGAGTTGACCGTATCTATCCCGTGCGGCATGTAACTGAGCGTGTTCCTTGAGCAGACACGGCGCTAACGCTGCGTCGCTCGGACATTTCGGACGGAGGGTTCAACTTCTACGATCTCGTAGCACCATGTACGTTCTCATGCGGACTTTTTGGCCCCGGAACGTCCAAGCCTCACTGTTATTTGCAGACGGGATGACACCGCTCCATCGCGCAGACCTCTTCGACGCCCTTTTGCGATCTTTACCCGAGACCTATACCGTGCACACGTCCAAGCGCCTCAGTGCGTACATCATGTCGGAAGGCGAAGCAGGATCCGTCACACTGCACTTTGCGGATGGCTCGACGGCGACTGCGGACATCCTCGTCGGTGCGGACGGCGTCAAGTCCAAGACCCGCGCCCAGATGTATGCCGATCTTGAGAACGCCGCGTGCACAGATGAGCACCTCGGACGCTATCAAGATCCCAAATGGAGCGGCATCATTGCGTATCGGAGCGTGTTCCCGACTGCAGAGTTGCTGGCGAGATTCCGGGGCCACCCCGTCGCCTTTGGGGCTGTCACGCATTGCGGGAAGGGTAAGGTCAGTCTGGCTTTTCCTTGTTCCTGCAGATGGCGCGTTGCCGACGTTCTGTCAGAGTATCATGGCGTACCCCATCGCGAGCGGCAAGATGATCAACGTCGTCGCGTACGTGTCCGACCCGTCAAAGGAGGGGATGCCTTTCCCGCGAAAGTGGGAGACGCCGGCGACGTCGGAGGAGGTCCTCGCGGAATACGAAGATTGGGAGCCACAGGCGCTCGCGATCATCAAGGTCAGCATGTTGCGCATTGTATCTGCCGTGTGTCAGGGTGTGGAAGTGATGCAATTGCTAGTGCATGACACAAACCTCGGCCTGGGCGATTCACGTCGTTGACGCTTTACCTCATTACGTTCACGGATCCGTCGCTTTATTGGGAGACGCGGCAAGGCATTCTCTGAGATACATGTGCGTCGGGAACGGGACTTACGTCGTGATTCATCTGTCAGGCACATGCAAGCACTCCCTACATTGGCTCAGGTGTTGGGCAAGCCATGGAGGTGAAGTACCCGAGCCTTTCCATCTATCTTTCTCAGCTATGCTGATGTTGCCTACGACGCAGGATGCCTACATTCTTGGCCGGCTCCTCGCTCATCCTGCCACCAACTACGGCAACCTAGCTGAAGCGCTGAGCGTCTACGAAGACGCCCGTCTTCCCGTCGCCAACGCTGTGGTGCAGCGGGCACGTCGCGCCGGCCGATTGTACCAGTTCGACCTCGACGAATGGTACGATGGGCAGCGCGGCCCGGCGGAACGTAAGCAACTGGACGCCCTGAGTGACCAGGTCTATCGTCAGTTTGAGTGGATATGGGGAGACGGCCCGGACGTCGCTTGGGAAGAGGCCAAGAATGTCTGGGAAGCGCGATCCTGTAGATGATGGATGTCGTTATGAGCCTATGACCTTCCTATCATGATGTTTGACTGTTCGGAATTTAGAAGGAATGAGAGACGGCGGGCGAAATGATCGCAAGTTACAAGCTTCTAATTAGAAGCTTGTAACTTGCGATCATAACCGGTCAGGCACCACGCCGTGAGCATGACTAAAACTTACATTCGCATTCTTCGAATCCTTCAGGACGTTGAACGTGAGGATCCATGTTTGTGTTCTCCGGGACCTTATGAGAAGCGCAAGCCCGAGAGCCCGAGAGCCCGAGAGCCCGAGATGGCCGGCAGACGACCAACTGACTCCGCCCCCCGGTTCCCGCATACTGTAGGCACCGTCAAGGTCGGATTCACGGCCATGGCGCTTGGACAGCGGTGCCTTGCTGCGATCCCCAGGAGCGAGCGCGCGGGAACCTCGCCAGGATGATTAGATTTGTGTAGGACCATCTTGTTAGGTACAATACGTAAACGCGTAAGTACGTAGATCGCGTGCATGGTGAACGTTTGCGGCGTACGTTCATTGAACGACGAGGGCCATGTACATTACTGGTGCACGGCGTTCAAGCTACAACAACATTACATCCCAATATTAATACTTTGAACACCTTCCACGACCCACGATGCTACTACACGTGCGCATAATGATGCGCAGTACATTCTCCGAGCTAACCCCCATGACCTGGTCCCCCTCATGTGCTGCGAATTTGGCTGACGGTGCACGGCCCTTTGTTGAGGACCTTGTATGCAGGGTACTTGCCACCCTCGAACGGGATCTGGAAGCCAATGGTGGTCTCACCCGAGGGATAGCTGGTGTTGTGTCCGCCGCCAGTGGTATCGACCGCGATGACGAGGCCCTCCCCACCGCCGACGACGTAGGCCTCTCCCGGATTGTTGGGCAGGGTGATGTGCGCGAGTCCGGCCGTGAAAAGCACGTATCTGTAAAGCGGTGAGCGATATGGTTCGGGTTGGGGGTGCGGACGAAAACGTACTGGGGATGAGGCGCGTTGTGCACGCCGCCCTCGAAGTGGGGAGGGAGAACGGTGTACGTCGCGTTGGCGAGGTTGCCGAGCTGGAGCGTCGACGCGCCCGCCGTGCCGGCGCCGGTGGAGGTGGTGAAGGGCGCGTCAAGCTGCCAGCACTCGAACGCGGAGTGCTTGTGCTTGTCGGTCACGATCGCGGTCGCAGTGAGCGCCTGGTTCGCGGCGAATGCGACCGACGATGCCAGGAACGCGACCAGCAGCGAGGACTTTCCGAACATTATTTTGGGTGTCGGAGAGAAGGTCAGAAGCCCGGAAGGCGGTGGTGATGAGCTGCGCGAAGGGACGGAGCCTGCTGTGTTATCCTACACCGTCGAGTGTTTAAAGGCAACCTGAGGTCGTTGTTTACTGCCGTCGTCCACGCTGCCAACTGTTTCTGATGCGAACGGACTAAAGGTTTCAAGCGCGGCGGGCCCTGGCGCCATCGAGGCACGCCGACCGGGGAGTGTTGTCGCATTATCCTCGCACATACACGCCACCGGTTCCATCCGGCCATCATGCGGCTCTAGGAGCCAAAATGAAGGGCCGAGCAATCGCTTTGCAAGAGGGAATTTGACGGGGTCGAACGCCACGTACGACATGAATACGGTGGGCCATGGTGAGGTCGATTCGATGCTCTTCGATCCATGAGATGATAGCTCAGCACGGTTCACGACAGATACCTGATAGAAGATCAACGGCACTCCCTACTAAGCTAGTAGTAGTACTGTTCGTCGCTCGCGGCTCACGTGATGATGAAATATTCTGCCCACCGAAATCGGCTCACGCGACACCTCCTGTGGCGGATATGCATTCATCCATAGCCGTGGCATGCTCCAGCTCGGAACAATCACGTTGTCGGAGTTTCCCGTACTTATCTCTCGGAGTTCCGTCATGCACTGATTCATCAGTTGTGGGCTGCGAAGGCAGCCGAACGACCAGGGTGAGTGGTATCTGGCTGATACGCTACTCACACAACGTCCCCTCATCTGTGTCGTGCGGCGACCATGAATGATTATAGAACTGGAAACCGTCGTCTGCGGAAACCATCAGAGAATCGGCCGTGGGTCCACGCCAGGCTCACGAGATGTTGAAATCGTGTTGACTTCCGAAGATCGCTGCTGGCTAGTGAAATCGAGCTGTCATCATGGCGCAAGTTATTCTCAGCCCCTCGAAGCGCGTCGTTCTAGTGGGCAGGCCCGCTTCTTTTTTGATGCGGAAAATATATGAAGTTGCGGAAGGGTAATATAACTGCGCACAAGCGAGTCTTCTTCCTCCCCTCGAGCGCCGCTGCCGCCTTCATGGTCCCTAGGAGCGTTGTACGATGATCACTTCACTGGAGCAACTGAAAAGTGTGTCTTCCCGCTTTCGCTTGATATTTCGGTAATTGTGACATTAAATTTTGGCCTCCGTAGTATCTAGCGGCGTGTGCGCGTCGATAGCGATCATTTCGACGGTGCTGCGCTTGTATCTTCGTCGAAGGCGCTATGGCTGGGACGACGGCTTTGCGCTGGTCTCCATGATCTTTCAGATCGTGCAGATGGTTGCTGTGTTTCTACATCTTCCGGATTCAAGTAGGCGTCTCTGTTTCGTTGAAGTAACCAGCGCACTGAATAAAATCTGGTTCTCTCTTGACAGCGGCTTTGCCCCACTTGACCAACATCGCGTTGTACTACATAATGGCTACCACCTTCTATTGCATAATCTGGTATGGCTGTCCATGATTCAGACGTGGGTAGCACTGAAGCACCGCACAGGACCGCGCGTCTTTCTATCCTTCATTCTATCATCCGAATTGACTCGCACCAGCTTCGAGCTAAAGTGAGCTTCTCCTTCAGTCTTCCTCCAGGCTGACTGGGTAGTTGACGCTTGTTTTCGCCTTTTCTCATCCGCCGATGCCCAGATACTTCGTTGGGTCGCTGTCGTCTTTGCGGTGATTCTCGTCGTCATGAATTGCCAGGTACGCATCGTCCCTTCGATCATAACCTACACCAACTGAGTAATCGCCGTGCAGCTATTCTGGGTAGGTCGTCATCATCTGATGGATGGCCTGCATTGAGAGTTGAGGGTGCGATCGCAGGTTTGTGAACCCATAGGATCCACCTGGAAACCTGCAGCATTTCCGCAGTGCCCGATAGGCAAGCAGGTCGTTACGACGCAGCTTGTCAGTGAGTATCACGTTGTTCACGATAATCGGTCGCCGCCACGTAACTCACCAACATCGCCTTTCAGCCGACATTCTTTCAGATCTCTTACTCTTATCTATACCGCTACGGCTCCTAAGCTCCATGCACACGGACAAAGCAACGAGCCGTCGCCTGATGATCATTTTCTCCACCAGTGTCGTGACAACGTGAGTTCATGAATGTGATCTTCCTCGCGGGATACTAACATACGACAGTATCGTCTCGCTCGTGCATGCCGCCTTCATATTCGAACACGGACAACTCAAAATCGTGATCGCTGCTGTGGTCGAGGTATAATGTCTTCGAGCTCCCCATGACTAGCATAGTACTGATCGCCGGGCCTTTCGCTGCCAGAACGCGGTCTCACTCATGGTCTGTAACGTCCCCGTATTAGCCACAGCCGCGCTTCGCGCCGTCGGCCAACGCGACTCCCTCGACGACACGAGCGGGCGCGATCCCTCGTCGCGGTACAGCACCGGTATCAAGTTCCGCAGCCGGACGCAGAACACCACTTTCGGCTCTCTCGGCCGCCCGACGGGGAGCGGCAGCAACGGCCAACTCGGGGTCCACGTGAGCACCCATGCAATCACGCTCACGGATATCTCGAGTGGGATCGGTGAGGGGATCAAGGGGGACGAGTATATTGTTGAGGGTAGGGCTGTGGACGGGCCTGATGTGGAGAGTGAGCGCGCGTCGGAGGCAAAAATTACTTGGGTTACGCCGGAGCGATTTGATGTGGACCGCTAGGTTACGTTTGTTGTGTGTTGTATATTGTTTTGTGTTTTAGGCGCAGACTTGGATGGGATTCAGATGCGCAACGCACTCGATCGTTACAGAGTCGAGGCCATTCATAGCGTTCAGTTGGAGACTGTTCAGTTCGTATACTTAGTCGGCAAGAGGACAAGGATGAGCGTTGAACGGAAGCGGAAGGTCGTAGGTCACGCGCACCGGCGACGAATTTGGGCAGCCGTGGCATCGTCGTTTCTCGTAGTTCTTCCACACAGTGCGACAGACATACTCTTGATTGCGCAGATTCTCTCAGGATAGATACCGTGGGCGAGACTCTTTCTGATTCTCCAGAGGCTACGGAATGAAGCGAGTGATAATCGGACGAGCTGGAACCCCCATATGCGCGCATGGGAACCCACCGAAAGTTTCGCCTTGCGGTTTCCCATGCATGGTGAAGCGCTATACAAATCACGACAAGGAGGACAAACTCTGAATCCGACTATGAGCAGCGAAATAGTTCGAATCGCGGCGGACTGGCTTGACAGTCTCGGTCAAGCGTTCGCGTCAGGAGACGCCGAGACGATCGTAGCACTGTTCCAACAGGACGGCTGGCTGCGAGATCTTCTGACATTCAGCTGGGACTTCCGCTCTCTCCGCGGAACAGATCAAATCATCAATTATCTCTCTCAATATATTCCCTCTGCTAGTATCTCCAACGTCAAGCTCGATCGCCGTACTGGACTGGAGCCTTCCCTTGTATCCCTGGGACCCGATCTCGACAACATACTCGAGGCCTCATTTACGTTTGAAAATGCTTCTGGTAGCGGTCGAGGTATGATCTACCTGAAGCAAGATGCCACGCAACAGTGGAAGGCATTCATCGTCTTCATGACGCTGGACGAGTTGCGTGGGTTAGAAGAACAAGACCACGAGTCGGGCCTATACGGTGGGCATACGATTACATACCAGGAGGTTCAGGCGAGGCGCGTTGCAGAGGTGGAAAGTGATCCTCAGGTCCTGATCGGTGAGCCACAAGCTGCCTGTCTATAGTACGATTGCTCACAGCCGGCTCAAGTCGGGGCCGGTCAGACAGGGCTGCAGGTTGCAGCCCGCTTCAAGCAGATGGGCATACGGGCCATAGTAATAGATAAGAACTCTAGGGTAAGCATGCTCGCCTTTGCAACCGACCTGACCCGTTCACGGAGTTTGACAGGTCGGTGACAATTGGCGAGTCCGGTACATCATGTTCCCGCATCATACTCGAGCCCTTCGTGATCCATCCATATAGCTACCCCACATTGACTCTGCATACCACTCGCGCGCATCATCAACGTAATATTTGTCTCTATCATCGGTTTCCTTGGCTCAATGGCCCACAGTCCTATACGCACCATTTCCTTCCACATGGCCGAGATTCACTCCAAGAGACAAACTTGCCAACTGGCTTGAGCAGTACGCAACCTCTCAGGATTTGGTCATCTGGACGGATTCCGAGATTGTGCCTACTCCGAGCTACGACCCTGGCACTAAGCGCTGGGGCGTCCGAGTTCGACGAGGGGACACAGAGTATCTCCTACATCCTATCGATATAGTCATTGCGACCGGCACCCTCGGCGATCCCTTAGTACCCCTCATCTCTGGGCAGGATACGTTTGTAGGCGATATCATGCATTCATCCCGCTTTCCCGGTGGTCAAGTCTTCACGGGTAGACGCGTCCTAGTGGTCGGTGCAGGTAATACGTCGGCCGACCTTTGCCAAGATCTGGTGCACCACGGGGCTGCATCTGTGACGATGGTTCAGCGTTCGTCCTCGGTCGTGGTTTCTGACAAATACATGGCTGGCTTTTTCGAGGGGAGGTGGCCGGAGGGTGTTCCGTATGAAATAAGCGACTTTCGGACGGCCGCCATGCCTCTTGGTCAGACGCGGGAGATTCTCCAGAGGCTACAGCAGTATGCTCTGGAATACGATAGCACCATGCACGAAGATTTGCGCAAGCAAGGTCTCTCTTTGAGCAACGGTCCGGACGGCGCAGGTTTGATATGGACGTTGTTTAGTCGATTAGGCGGTGCGTCCTTCCCTCTTCTTACAATTTCTGAGTGACCTATGCATATATAGGTTACTGTGAGTTACGATGAAGTTCATACTGCCGAACCATTTTCTGAACATCTTGCCTCAGGGATCGACGTTGGCTGTGCTGCGTTGATTGCTGACGGCAAGGTCGAGGTTAAGCAAGGGGTAGAGGTAGCCAGATTCGACAAGAACGGTATTCTGTTCAGTGATGGCACAGAAACGGAGGCAGACGCCGTTCTCTTCGCGTGCGTCCTATTTGCTTTGAAGTAAATGCAGAGCTGAGAGAGATCGATCTAGGACTGGGTACCATAATATGCGCGATACCATACGCAAGATATTTGGCGATATCATCGACAAGACATCCCCTGTGTGGGGCCTCGATGATGAATACGAGTTGCGAGGTTTCTATCGCCCTTCGGGCCAGGAAGGGGTGTGTACATGATTGGTCAGCCGGTTGACGCGACTCTCATTCAGTTCGCTAGCTCTGGTATGCCGCCGGTGACTTCAGCCACGCGCGCTATCACTCGAAACATCTTGTCAGTGGGCATTCTTATCCAAGCGGATAATTGTTGACACCTCGCTATGCGAACATCAGGCGCTACAAATCAAAGCTCGGCAACTGGGACTCGTCGTAGATAAATGATGGAGGAACGCATAACAGAGTTGAATGATTTCGCCACCGAGTCCGCAAAGGGATATAACCAACAGCGCTCTGTCGAATCCTGGCTTGCACTGCTATGTATCTTCACACAACGCAACGTTGAATTACCGCTTTCGTATAGTCGCTGATCAGTTCGTGGGTCGTCAAAGAAGGGTGACCCGCTGATTTCGGGGTCAGTGTTCGCCTACATGACTTCCCCCTGGATAACACACGCACGTATATAGAACACAGACGTGCTCGGGTCGTCGCAGCCTCCTACTGTGCTCGTAGCACTGATAAGGCAGGTGGCGTTGCCCGTATATCCGAAGCTGCTTGGATCGCCGTTGATAGCGCTGAACATGCTGCATTGCAAGTAAACGTTAGTCTAGGAAGCATTCGTTGTGCGCATAAGTACGTACTGGGCAAGGTCCACGAAGGCGAAATTTGTACCGTTCGCGGAACGAGAGTCGCGTAAATAGGCGAACACCCGGCTTTGAAGCCCTTTAATTGCTGTATGGGGGCTATACATCTAGTTCAGATGTCGCAATGAGCTGGAATATGAAAGCCTATGAATGGGTCGGATCATACCCCATGGATCAAGATGTTCTTTGCGCCGAACACTTGCAACTGCGCAAGGTTGCGTTCCTACATACGCGATGCGGGCCTTGAAATCAATGGCAGCCCGTTTCACGTTTCGTGAACCCACGTAGGTAGCATAGGCCAAATCCCAATCTCCTCCTCCTGTGAGAAAAATAGGCGACGTGCCGTCAGAAATCACGGAATCGCATCACATCCCGATTTCATCTTGGCCTTGATCACTTGGGGAAATGTGAGGTCAAGCCAACAAGTTTAGAGGAGCCCATACTTGATGCCAAAAGCTACCGTGTACAAGGTGGTTTCCGGCGTCAATGGATCCAAGACGGTTCCTTGGACAAAGAAGAGCCGCATCTCGTCATTGAAGTCTGTGCGAGCCGTTTGCTGTGACTGCGATAAGGTTTCGGTAGTCAACACATGCATATGATACATACCGTGACGTTGCGTGTCGTGTTCCATGCGCTTTCATAATCGAGTGCTCGTAAGCTTCCTCTGTTCCCGCGTCCAAGAGGAAGGGCTACGCACGCTCGATCTATCACCGCCCCGCCCCAAGCGTACTTTATCAAGAGTGTATGGCTGCTCAATGGATCCAGGTCCATCCCCACTTACGTCTAGTAGCTTAGCACTCAATGACGTAGCTAGATTCTCGACCCAGATATAACCATTGGAAGCCCGGCGATTCTCCGACGTGCGCGAGCCCGCAGAAGGTAAGGGTGGCCATAAGACAGGAGGTACAGGGACCGTACCATTCGCTATCAGGAGGTTCAGCTACACATCTTAAACACTGAAGATGCGAGACTTGCAGCCGTTCGACGTCCAAGAATCACCGAAGGCTACAACGGTTCTGTGAAGAGCATCAGCATCAGAATCCCCACCGATGCTTTCCAAACATACTTGGTGGTGTTGAGAGAAATACCCGCATTGACCTCCGTGTAGTTCGCTGAGCTCAAAGATCCACACACGGGCTGAACCGCTAGCGCCAGCGGATTGGTAATGTTGACCAGAGTAGGGAAGACCTCATTCGCCCTCGCAAACACAGCGCGCAAATCGAGCGCCACCAGTATGAATGACAACATCGAAGTGATGATAAACACTGCGATGTCCTGGATGTTCGTGCTTAGAAGACTGAAAGTTGGCTTCTGGAAGCGGACTCAATACCAGTACCACGTCGCTACATGAACATCAGGAAAAATCGGACTATCGAAAGAGTCGCTTATTGGGTACCGAAACCCTCTAAAGCTACTAAATTAGCACGTTTTAGCACGTTTTAGAAGGTTTTTAGCAAATCCGGTTTTTCCTGATGAACGTCGAGGAAATCGCGCATCATCAGGGTATCCTCTGAGCTCCTTCACCAACTTGCGAACGTGGGGTTCATCATATGAAATGTACGCATGCCCTGGTCCGACGCAACGTAGAGCCGTGCAACATATCGGTGCTGAAAACAATGTGAGATAATGGAACCGCATGACGCATATGTGCGCACCTATTCGAGGATATGAGAGAAGGGCACCCCTCCGGGTGACCATCGAAGGACTCAGGCGGCCCGCTCTACCGCGTCCAACAACGGCGCCAGAAAGCTGAGAACCGCCGGAAGACATTTCTTGCCTTCGTGCTTCACTCCCGGTACGATGGACAGAGTCGATCGTACTCCGATACGGGTCCAGGAGTCGCGAAGGATCTGTATGCGCTCCAATCTGGTGCTACCCTCCTCGAACTCGTTCTTCGACTCAATCATCTTCGTGCTCGTGTCCTTTTCTCCGACAACGAAGTGGACAGGTACTTCACTCATCTGGCGGAAGTCCGGGCCGTAATCCATCTCAAAGACTTCTTGGATATTGGAGACGCCTAGCGGCCACGCATGCTGAGTATTCGGGACTGTAATGCGACCCGGAGCGCCGATGGATAGTCCGAGGAGTCTGTGAGGATGCAGGTAGAAGAAACGATGGCAGAACTGGCCACCGCCGCTGAAACCATGCATGAAGAACTTGTCTGTGCGGATACGCCAAATATAGGCGGCTTGATCCACCATGGAAAGCAAGATATGATCAAAGCGGATGGATCGATAGAGAATCTCCTTGTAATTGTGGACATCTGGAATGCGCGTCAGTACAAGAGTTTCCCCATAGCATCCTCATACGTACCTGCAAAGTCAATGATCCCACATGGAAACAGTGGCGCGAGTACGACGCAGCGGTGCTCTTCTGCGAATGACGCCATCCAGTCTATTAGCTCCCCTGCCTTGCGCGCCGTCCCATGCACAGCGACGACGAGGGGCAGTTCGGGACCATGAAAGTCATGAGACGACGGAGTGTATACAGTGAACGAGAACCGCTGATCCAGAGCAGAAGCAAACGTCGGCGCACGGCCGGATAGAATCTGGAGTGCTGGGTGACCAGGTCTGAATTTCTTCACGCGAGCTGCCGTTTCTTCGAGCTTCTGGATGGTATCATCGTTCATGCCTAGCGTAATAGTAGTATTTGTGAGTCTATATGGCCAGGACGAGGTGAGCTAGTTGCTGGAAGGCGACGTCTTGTCATGCCTTTAACCCCTGAAGAGACCGAATATATCCGCTTCTGCTGCCGATGGAGGCAGGACGGCAGGCGTGTAAGTGCATGTGACCGCAAACAATAAGGTATTTCCCACGTTTTGCAGACTTGTCACCGACAAACGTAGGTCGTTATTCCTGCACACACGGAGTAAACTACATCGCACCTTCGACATGGAATCAGAAGCAGGAGAACCGGGAGGGGTGAAGCGCAACCAGAAGAGAAAACGTTCCCAGCAGGTTCGTCCTTGATTTTCACCGGCGCACTTCGTTCGATCTTCGATGCGGCAAGAGCGTAGGTCTGCACGAGTTGCCGCCAATCGAAGGTACGGACACATGCATTCGCTGGTCATTCGAGCCTTCTGATGACACGGTGTGTGCTGCGTAGCTGCGCTGTGATTTCTTGGATACGTTCCCGGAGCCTTGTACTCGCTGCGCCAATGCAAAGAACTCCACACCCTGCATCGTCGATCCCTCCTTCAGGAGGACCACCACCCGAAAGTCAGCACGCATTGGCTGAGCTGCACGGCGTTTTTGCTTCGCTCACATTGAATAAAGGAAGCCCGGCCCCGTAAATGGGAGCGCATCGACTTCGGGTGCTGCACAGCGCAATGGGCATCGTGAAAAGGAGAGCACGCCCCTTGCGGACATCACGCTTGGAGAGGAGAACATCGATTCCTACGCACCGTGGCATGATGATTCTCCATCGCCAAGCGAAGCGTCATACTCACCGGGACCGTGTCTCCCAAAGACTCTAGGGGACGTCACACTCGACTCAGAGGAGATCCAGGCGTGTTTCGACGCGTAAGCGGGGTACACATTGTTGTACACCATATCTGAAGACGATAAGCCAGGTTCTTCTCGCATTACCACCCGTTCTTCTCCGTCATTCTGGAGCCCATAGAGCCTCAAGCATGTTTTGACCGGTGCTCACTCTTGTTCTGGGCGATCTGCATCACGGCGTGTCGACCACGTCCCGACAACCCAGTTTTACGCGCTCGCAACCCAGAGTTTTCTCTCAAACTGGGCGTACATGTGCGTCGATTCTTCTCGGAGCTACTTGTGGCTCCTATTCGTTCGATATACGCGATCCAAGCGCTGCTTATAACATCCGAGTACATCTTTGTGGCGCATTGCGACGGACGGGAGGACTTGCACTGGGTACGCTCGTCTGCTGTTCTGGAAAGTGCGCTTCGTTCACCCTGGTTCGACAGATATACTCTGGACTGGTATGACAGCGAGGGCACGAGTACCCACAGCTGCTGCTGACTATACGTATCATAGGCAGTACAGATGGGCTTGAAACTCGGCCTTCACCGACCGGACAACACGACAGATTTTCGATCGCGGGCGATTCTGGACAAGGATAGAATGCACGAGCGCATCCTGGTTTGGGTACAGTGCTTTATTGTGCACCAGAGCATCGCTTCGACGCTCGGTCTGCCCTCTTGTCTGTCCGAAGACTGGGTCACCTTCACCTTCTCGCACGCGCGCGATGAATGCTGGCACTGGGTCAGCGCTGTTGATCCTGATCTCCCGAAACTGCTCAGGATTCAGCGCTTCGCCCTGCGGATGTCTGGCGTCATGGGCAACAATGTCAAGAACCCATCTGGAGAGAACGACCCACTGGTCGCGCCGGCGCTCATATCGATCCTGAACAGGGAGCTTCTGGATATTGAGACCAGTTTGTCACCTATGTCTCCCATCGTCTGCGTTCGGTTCTTGGAGGCCAAGCTCTCGTTGTACTCCTACTGCTTGCAAGATACTCCCTCTACGATCGCTGCATATGCGCAAGACATTGTCTCCTGCTATACGAGCGCCGTTCGCATGGTGGACATTCTGCAAACGCTCACTAAAAACGAGGACACGCGGCCGGTGTTCTGGCCTCAGTCCCTGTGCATGTCTATGGCCGCTGCTACGGTGAGTCACTCTACGGTCAGACGAATTGCGGATGACATGATGTTTGGCCCCAGATATGTCTCTTGAGGCTCGCGATCATGCAAAGCGCGTTTCCGAATCTGATCCCCGTCAACCGTTCTGTGATCCTCAGAGAGGTTTCTATCGCATATGAAATCATCAAGGTATTAGATACCCAAGACCGCCGGACCATATCAATCTACTCACGTTATGGCATTTCTCCAGATGCAGTGCAACATCCGCGGAGACGCGAGCGATCGTGCGGCGCAGATCATCCAGATTCTGGCGAAGAAGGTCGCCGGGACGTTGCCCGGCGAAAACGAGGACGACGACATCCCGGTACGCTCTCGCATGGGTCTAGGAAATCTTCTCTACCGCGCTATCAACCAGTTGAGACGGACGGGACAATCGCGTCGAACGACAGTACAAGGGGCCACACAACATGGTGCTAAACCGGTCAACGGAGACGTCGTTCTCGATAGCAGTGGACATCATGCTGTAGAAGGTGATCACGAGAGCGGCGGGGCGACGGACGGATGCGAAACGGCAGCAGCAACGTTTGAACTGTCCGATTGGTTAGAGTGAGGCGCCGCATCGGTCTTACCTCGACCGAAATGCTGACCTTGAGTGCAGAGGGCTTTCCAGGACCGACATAGACGACATGATGAGTCTCCCTTTGATGGGAGGTTCAGGATTCATAACGGACACCGTGTACGACGTTATGGGTAATGCGTCTGCTTAGCACCTTCATATAAACGGATCGTGTACACGGATAGCACCCCTTGCTTCCGTTAACTTTCCAGCATCGCCCTGGAGTTTTCAGCCGATGTGCTCGGGGAAGAGCTTGTATTGTATTGTATGTTCGGCTGATCAGGCCTGCCTATCGATGAATGGGCATCACCTTCGTGTTTCCCGCAACTGGCCACTAAAAGTTCTTCCGTCTCCAATTTCATCTCGAGCGCCTCTCGACCGATTCTAGACTCGAGATTCACCAAGCACGCTGACCATCGATGCATCAAACTGCATCGCCGCGGGAGATCTCCATGATAATGATGGCGCATTCAGCGCCCCTTAACGATCGCGTCACCATAGCTCGCACATCCCGCCTCTCTGTCCGAATCGCGACGGTAACCCGATCCACCCAGAGATCTTGCAACCACACGCGATGACAGCCGAGCTCGTCGACGCCGCCTTCCTGTCGCGCCTCGAGGCGCTCTATCCCTCGACGTCATCCGCATCGACCTCGCCCTCGCGCGCGGTCGTCGACAGCCCGTGGTACGTCGCCGCCGCGGTCGCGTACAGCGCCGCGAACCGGCCCGAGGCCGTCCCGCGCGTGTTCGAGTACGTGCTCGCCAAGGTCGACGAGCCCGCGGAGCGTCTCCGGCTCGCGCGCAAGCTGCGCGACGCGCTGTTCAAGTCGGGCATTATCGGCGGGTACCCGAAGGTGACGACGCCCCCCCGCCCGTTGATTGCGCGTTTGCGATGGATGCTGACGAGGTTGGGTTGTGGGTGAGTAGGCGATCAACGGCATGGTGGCGCTCTCGGAGGCGACCCCGGACGAGTTGAGGGACAAGGAACCCCTCCGGTGCGTGCTCTCCCCTTTCCTTTGGGTGGTCATCATGCGGAGCCTCGTTGACATCGTGGAAACCCTCAGCGATATGAAGGAAAGCAAGGAAGGCTGGTTCGCGCGCGGCGAGGCCTTCTTCGGCGAGACGTACGGCGAAACGGCGAAGGGCACGTCCGCGCTGCTCAACAAAATCAGCCCCGATTTCGGTGAGTTCCGACTCTTTTGTCATGTCGTACCCTCGCTGCTCGGCAACGGCGCTCCCATGCCGTGCGCAGCCAGTAGCGCAAGAGCGCGCCGAAAACGGGGATCCAAGCTCCATGCGCGCTCAGGCTACCGAACAGAGAAGGAGGAGATGGGACGCGGCTGACTGATGCGATCTTACAGGGTACTTCTGCATCGGGCCCGCGTACGGCTTCGTGTACTCGTTCGAGGACATACTCAGCAAGGCGGAGACGTCGTACATGATGATCTCCGGGCTCGTCGCCATCGACTGCCCGCGCCAGATCAACTGGTGCGCTTACTTCGACTTCGACGCATCGACGCGTTTGCGTACGCATACTCATGCGGCTTTTGTTCTTGGGAATCACAGGCACCTGAGCGGCGCGGTGCGCAACGGCGCGACGGTGGAGCAGACCAAGGCGATCCGGCAGATCGCGATGGAAGTCGCGCAGCGATGCGGTGTGAGCTGGCAGGGCGAGGTGCCCGACCTGTGATGCATTACTCTCTGTCGATATCCTGTTTGAGCGAGCGTAGAGAGCGCCCTTCGTGGCGTCAAAGTCCAAGATCCGTGTCCGGGTTCTTTCAGATGTCGATAGATACGATCTGATGATGTCACTTACCTGCTATAGCACTTCGGTGTACTATGTTCCGGAGGAGGTGTGCATGCGTTCGTTGACTCCGTGGCGATCGATCGCCTGAAAGTCGATGCTATGCGTTTAGATTAGATGAGCGGCACGCACGTCCACGCAATGTCCGGTGAATCAAGTCAGTCGCAGCAATTAACCGGCCCCATGATGTTGCAAGTTTGTATATATCCGGAATCACTCTATCAACTCCCTCGCGGTATCTGATTCTCGTTGACAGTGTATCATGCGCGCGCCCATACCGCTGAGTTCGAACTTGGACAGAACGCTAAAACCGTGTAGCTTGCCCAAGGCCGATCCCCCAGGCACACCGTGACTGCAACGAACACAAACCAGTAAGCTAAGAGAGATGACCGGGCCAAGGCCCTGACAATCTCCGCCGGAGTGGGTCTGCGCCGCTCGAGCCTTTGGGAATATGGATATGGCAGAATATGCCAGCGTCCAGGCACGGCCCGTGACGACAAGTACGCTCTCGCGTGCCCGGAGTAATGCACGCCGGTTGAATCTGAAGATCCTGAGCGCAGAGCTCTCTCGATTGCGCTGCTGCGAGAGGATTTCGTCGTGGCTTGGGATGGGCAGGAAGTTGACCAGACCGGGCTGTAACGCGTTTCTCGCCTGCCAATCACTGGCACTCGGTTGCACGCTGATATACATAGCCAGGGCTACTCAATTCGTTTGGAGTAATTCGTCGTGCCTGAGCAGATCAAACGCACTTGGAGGAGGGGGACTTTCATCGTTCACCGGCCGGTGATTACGGAGCATCCCCACGAGCCCGCTCGTCATTCGCCGGAAAATCGCCGGTCCACACCGCGGGAAGCCATACATACTTACGCCGGGCTTTGTTGTTTTTAGCCTTTTGACGAACTCTAGACCCGCGCCCGTGGTCGCAAGGGATGACGGGAGCTGGGAATCGATACTGTGATTTTGAGATTGACGCACCGAGCGCAAAATAAAATCTGCCTGTGTACAGTATTATGTATGTAGTCGCGAATGAGTGCGGATGGAGAGAGAGGAACTCACCAAGCTAAGCTTCGGACCGTAGACAGATCATCTGCAGCATCTGCAACACGCCTGAGCGTCGGCGATACGGACCTCAGATTGGTTATGCTAAAGACACCCTCCGCCCCTCCCAGTATAACCTCGCCGACGTCGCGGCGCCGCCAGTCATCGCTGCGTCTCGTGTCGTCCCCGGCTCACGGTGTGTGCTCAAGTATAACAAGCACATGCATACACGGCGCCCCGCCCCTCACACGGGTCGTTATTTCGCGGCTCCTTCCAATTCCATCTCCGCGCTCAGATCGGGCGGTGCCTGGGCAGGTATAAACATAACCGCGGCCGGGGTCCGAGTCCGGGCATGTTAAACGCGGAAGCGGATTGGAAGGCGTGAACTGCCGGCAATGTCGATGTTTCTTTCGTGTATATGTTATTATTGGATCGTTGGGAATGCATCAGTCAGGGGTTGCTTGATGGTAGCGCGCGGCTGTTTGTTCTTCTTCTTCTTTCCTCCGGACTTTACGCGAGAAAAAGACGAGGGGGGATAACGGGTTACGGATAATGTTACGAGCGAGCGAACGAGTATACAACAGAGACGAATGGAACAAACTGTATGCGGGTTTTTCTTCGCACTGTACATATTAGATGTGTTTTTAGATTTTTACTAATTTGGCGCGTCAGTTCCCGCAAAACGGTCGACGTCCTCATCCCCGAACAATACACACACCTCCGTTCGATCAGCTGGACTGGATCTGCGAGCCCGTACACGGCCCGGAGTTGAGCACGGTGTGATCCGGGACGAGGCCGTCGGCGAAGGGGACCTGGAAGGCGATCGTCTGCTCGGCGGAGGGGTAGGAGGTGTTGTGGCCGGATCCGGTGGTGTCGACGGCGACGATGAGCCCCTGCGAGCCGCCCACGACGAACGCTTCGACGCCCGGGGAGGCGGGGAGGGTGACGTGCGCGAGGCCGGCGGAGAAGATGACGTATCTGAATATAAACACCATGTTTATCACAATTTGTCGTCGTCAAAAACAAATCACGGCCTGCAACTGACTGAGGGAAAGGCGCGTTGTGGACGCCGCCCTCGAAGTGGGGCGGGAGGACGGTGTAGGTGGCGTTGGCGAGGGCGCCGAGCTGGAGGGTGGCGGCGCCCGCGGTGCCGGCGCCGGTGGAGACGGTGAAGGGGGCGGCGAGCTGCCAGCACTCGAAGGCGGACGCGTTCGTGGACGGGTCGGTGACGATGGCGGTCGCGATCAGCGTCTGGTTCGCGGCGCGCGCGAGGGCGGCGAGCGCGAGGAGGGCGAGGGACGTGAGCAGCAGCGACATGGCGTGTCGGGGTGCGTTGTGTTATCGAGGGGATTGTGGTGGACGTTCCGGTGTTTATTTAACGATTCCAGCAAGTTGGGTGTTTGCTCTGTTGTCGGGCCGCGGCACGGTGGAAGTGATCGCACACACGCCGAGAGAGCCACCACGCAGACGCCGACGCGGCGAGGAGAATACCAGCGATTTTATCTCGGTGCCAGCGAAAGGGTGTGTGGGTAGCGGCTAACCGCAAAGGAGAGCGAGCGGATGTACGCGGAGGTAATCGTCATGATTGTCCCCAGGCACACACACACACACACCCGCGCGGTGTGTGCCACAGGGCCGCGGTCGGGTTGGGTCGTCATGGGCGGAACGAGCGGCGGTGGGCGCGGTAAGAGGCGGGGGGGCGGGGCGGGGCGGGGGAATTTGGTGCGTACGCGCCGCGCCATGCCCCTGCGCTCCCCACATCCCGGGCGCTGCTCGCTCGACGCTGGGCTGTCTCCATTCCTGCGTCGACCGTCCGGGCGCACAAAGCTAGAAGTCCGGAAGGCGATCATAAAGTTCAGCTGGCCACAGATTGCCGGACGCGCGGTCTTCCGGGTCCTCTGCTGGCTCTGATGGGCGCGGTGGTATTTCCAGAACGGAGAGATGCGTGACGTGTTACAGTGAGCCCGTCACGGCATCACGCGGACGGTTGTCCCTCCCCATGCCATCGGTGCGAGCGTCGTAGAGATGGCGAGCTGGGATCGCGTTCCCAGCAGAGCCCGACGCCCAGGCCTGTGCCGCACGCTACCGAGCCGCTATACATATCCCTGTCCGACCAGCGAAGAGAGCGCAAAAGTGTGGTGTGGTGTGGCATGTGAGACCAGTTCCCACGTGGGGCGCGCCCAAATCAATGTGTCTCGAACGGAAGCAGAAGGAGGGGGCGAAGGCGGGGGACTCTGCAGCACGCCACGCCCGAGCTTGGAGCCCGTTTGATGGTCCGAAGCAGACGACGCGAAGGCAGAAACTGAATGGCCATCCTTCCGGCTTATATCCTTCCCCGTCTCGCCCCCTCCTCCCTCCCCGGTCTCCTCGTCCCCCGCCTCAGATCCCCAGATGAGCAGCGGTCCCCGCCGCCGCACGTAAAAACTTCCCCGACAAACCAACACAGTCCGCCAGCGCTGCGCCACCATGGTCATCGGCCCGCTCGTTCAGCTCAAGAGTCGGTCCCTCTCTTCCCCTCTGCCTTTCGCTCGTACTCACCCGCCCGTCACCGCGCAGTCTCCAATGGCGTCTGCGCCGGGATCGCCATCTGCACCACCTGCACCCGCCTCTGGATGCGCCGCGGCCGGTACTGGTGGGACGACGGCTTCGCCCTCTTCTCCATGGTCTTCCAGCTCCTCCAGATCGGCGCCGTCTTCCTCCACGTCCCCGACCCGTCCGTCTTCTCCCGCACCACCAACGTCGCCGCGTACTACATCATGGCCGCCACCTTCTACTGCATCATATGGTTCGTAGTGCCCCTTTTCCTTCTCTTCCTTTGCGATCCTATGAACGACGTACGTGTGTTGACGCCGTCGCATCGCAGGATGGCCCGGCTCTCCATCCTGTTCTCCATCATCCGCATCGACTCTAACCAGCGCCGCACCCACGTGAGTCCCCCCCTGCTATCTCCCCTCCAACCGCTCACACCACCCCTCGTCCGCAGATCCTCCGCTGGACCGCCGGCCTCTTCGGCCTCGTGCTCGTCGTCATGATCTGCCAAGTACGCCCCCCCCCCTTAGAGCTCCACTACGGTACATTCCCCGACCCTCGTTCCTTCCTCTCAGCTGTTCTGGGTGTGCGAGCCCCTCGGCGGCACGTGGAAGAACGAGCGCTCGCCGCAATGCCCGCTCGACCAGCAGGTCGCCATCTGCCAGCTCGTCAGTGCGTATTAGTCCCCCCCCCCTTTCGTTCCGTGACCGGTGTGTGGGGAAAGGACTGCTGACGACGATGACGGTTGCAGCGGACATCCTCTCGGACACGCTCCTCCTCGTCGTCCCGCTCCGCCTGCTGAGCGCCATGTCCGCCGACGACTCCACCCGGCGCCGCCTCATGTTCATCTTCTCCACCTCCATCGTCACCACGTACGTCTCACCAAAAAAAACCCCCCAAACCATCATGATAATGATAATAATAATAATAAACCCGAATTTCCAACCTTTTTCCCAGGGTGGTGTCCCTCGTGCACGCCGCGCTCATCTTCGAGGACGCCGGGATCAAGGTCGTCATCGCGGCCATGGTCGAGAACGGCGTGTCGCTCATGGTCTGCAACGTCCCCGTCCTCGCCACCGCCTTCATCCGCGCCATGGGCCGCCACGACTCGTCCGACACCGACGACCCGGACGACTCGGCCGCGAACACCTACCTCAAGTTCGGCTCCAAGCTCCGGTTCTCCACCAGCGTCTTCAAGAAGAGTGCGGGAGGGGGAGGCACGACGACGACGACGTTCGGATGGGGCGGGAAGAGCAGGGGCGGCGTCAGCACCCGCGCGATCACGCTCACCGGCCTGAGCAGCGTCACGGAGGACTCGACGCGGGACGAGGGGAAGGACGAGTACGCGCAGACGAGGACGGTCGACCTGCCCGCCGCCGTCGGGACGCGCACGGTCGATTTCGGGACGCGCACGGCGAGAGAGGATCAGAAGGTGGCATGGGTCGACGTGCCCGTGCCCGACCGGGGCGCGCCGTGAAAAGGGGGGGAACAAGCGGCGGCCCCTGCCTTCGTCCCCATCCCCGTGCTCCTCCCATGTTAACACTTGATACCTGGGATGAAACATCTTGCCCCTGGGACAATCACCGCTGTAGGATATCGACCTCTCTCTTGAACTTGCTCGCCTCCCTCCTTGTTGACGCTTCTAACGTTATTCCTCCGTCTCTTGTGCTCCGCATGCCCCACGTACGACCCCACTCCCGCGTTTCTCGCTATATCTATGTGTGTACCGCAGTCCTGTAGCTCTAGATCATGTCGCTTTTTTCTTTTTAAATACGTCCATCGGAAAGAAAAAAAAGCTATCATTGTAACCCTCGCGCCCACATTTCTATGGTCCTCTTGACTAAACTCAAAACCGACCCCCCGCCCTCTCTCTCTTTCTCCCGTCCGTCTGATGCGCGTCCCCAGCCCCCAGTTCGACGTGCACTCCGTCGGTCCGCTCACGCAATGGCAACCCCCCCCCCAAGCACGACGGCGCGATCCGTTCCGGAATCGGTCGATCGTTCCTCCCCCTGAGCCCGAGGAGCGGTAAAGAGGTCGGCGCAGCAACAACCCCCGCGAACGCGTTCTTGGGGCAGAGATGCGCATTGCTCTTACCTCCCCCCCCCGGGTCTTCGTCGTCTTCGCCTGACGCGTCGGCGAGGTTCGTTGGGTCCTCGTCAGGATCGGCAGAGGCGTGCGGGACGAGACGAGGGAGCACGATGTGTGGTTCGCGCATGAGAAGCGCGACGCCGATTGACGGTACTTAAGGGGCCTCCGATCCTTACATCCTGGGGACGTTGTCTGCGTGAGAGGCCAAGATGGGGCGCAGCGCGAGTTTTAAAGTCCTGGCGTTTCGTTAGCTCTTGTCGTGGCGATATATCGTGCTCAGAACGTACCAGCCCCGCGAGCTCTATCAGTACTCGAACTTTCGTGGTGCCCCACAAAGCGCAGCCCATCCGTGACGGCGATGCTCGCATTGACAGGTGTACGAGTACTTTACGGAGAGCTGGGCATATGCATGTTCGCCGGAGCTTTGATGGTTCGTCTTCCTCCGCAGAGTGCGGCGCCACCGCCCCGCGTCAATCTCGAAGTTGTCGACGAGTTGCTACTCGTCGGCTGGACCATAGTCGGCAGCATCGCGGCCGGCGCGCTGCCTGTCCCCCAGTGTTGAGCTGGAAACAAGGACGCTGTGACCTGCGTACCGAGGATCCCGGTCGCGTAGTTCGTGCACGCCAGGGAGCTTGTCAAGAGAGGCCCTCTGTGATCCTCGAGGTTGTCCGATTGAAGAAGCCGTGTGAGCGCAGAACGCGAGTTCCGGGGAATTAGAGCATGGTATGTATAACCACCGTAATTCCGGATTTCAAGTCTCGCGAGGTCGTTCCACAGGAAAAGGGTTGGTGAAAGCGTACTATGCCAGCCCCCAAGAGGGAGACGAAGACGCCGCCGAGCTGAGGACAAAGGTTCATTGCGAAGAGACTGTGACGGTGATCTCCAACCGGCATGCGATTCATAAGTTCGGGCAGTACCTTGACACAGGCGGGTAACGTAGCAGCGTGATAGCGGAGTACTGCAGTCGAGAGTCAAAAGATGTCCCAGCGGCACTGTATGAATAACTTCATGATCAGGGTTGGGCAATCTATGTCAACCAGGACGCGGATCAGCCCAGGTGAAGGCCTTCTCCCTATCAATTTGCGATTGCTTCGTGCGTTGATCTGGCCACAGAACAGTAGTAAGCGCGGGTCCACCATACTGGATATTACGAACACACCCAAAGTCGGCACCGCCAAAGCTGCAGTCTACCTCCTTGATTACTAATACGTATACATTCACATCCTCCAATCGCAACGGCCACCGCGACTACAGGCGCAGCATGGAGGGCTGTGTGCTGCCAAGTACTTACAAAAGGAACGCACCCGAACAGCCCGGAAGCGCTCATCTCTTGTGCTGCGCTGCGGCCTGCTGACTGTTCCCCTATATCTCTCGCGATCTTGCTCTGAACTTCTACCTTCGGAATTCTTCCCAACTTCGCGCTACGCTCCTAGTCGTCTTCCTTGAACATGGGCCACCACGATCACCACCACCACCATTCGCAGGGCAAGATCCAAATGCCGCAGCCCTCCTACTATGGAAGCACGCACAATCACGGCCGTACGCCTCAGTCGCCTCCGAACCGCCCGACCTCCTTATCGACTGATTGTCATCCGTAGACCATGGCCAGCACCACCACCAGCAAGCAGCATACTATACGACTCAACCGCAGTACCAGCCACAACCTCAGGTGGTTTATGTGCAGAGACACCGACGCGAAGACGAAAGCTGTTGCTGCCCATGGTGAGCCGCACGTCCTCTGTAGGAGCAGCGGTTCAGGCGTCTGACCGGGGTCTGCATGTAGCTTGGCAGGTTGTTGCGCTGCTTTCATGTGCTGCCCGTGCTGTGTGTGCTGCTAAAGAATTCACGATGCAAGCAACGACATAACCCCCCCCCTCGTCTCTCCGATCTCCGAACCTCGATGACCTGTATACCGCTATATCCATGGACCATCTTGTGTACCTTATTCCGCGCTGTAACGTATATTATACCATGTAGCCCGTATCATCCGGAGAGATGTGACAGAAATACTGGATCGCGAGCAGTGATGCCGTCACGCGGCGTGCTGTGCGCGCGCGGTGCGTCCATCACGGGCTACGCTCGAGTTACTACACAAACTACATCTAAGTCGAGCTTGTGCACCGTCCAAGGGCCCCGTCGCGCGCCATCTGGTTCGGAGATTCCGTGTTTGCCGACTCAGGGGACTTCAGATCTCAATACTCGGCATGCTAGCACTCACGCCCGATTCCGGCTGCGACGTCTGCTTCGAGAACTATACGACCGAATCTCTTCCACATATATTACCATGCGGTGCGCTCACCGGACTCGACAGAGAGTGCGTGCATATGGGCAATGTACTCATATTGTCTGAGCGGCAGGACACATCCTTTGCGGATCGTGCACCTGCAAGATCCTGGCGGAGGCTGCGAAGTCGGGCGAACGAGCCGGATGTTGTCCGTTCTGTCGCGACAAGTTCGACAGAGAGCAACTGCGCAAGATGCTCGTCGACTTCGATGACAAGAATGACCAGGCGGGCTGGAGCGAGTCGTCAATGGTGTTCCCGTCTGCCGTCGGCCCAGTGGGGCCACTCGGAGTGGGGGAGCTACACAACGCGCACTGCGATCGTTGTGGGCGTCCAATCGTTGGAGCACGATATGTATGCAACCGTGGGCCTCCTATCGCACCTCCGCCTCCCTTGCTGATGATTCCCTGAACAGAAATGCATCGACTGTCCAGACTGGGATAGCTGCCACGAATGCTTTCCGTAAGTGCAGTGTATGATCTAGCCACCGAACGTCCAGCGCTGATGTCCTCCCCAAGTGGAGTCTATGGCATTCACCCGCACAAGTTCGTCCGCGTCCGGGAGGCCGCCGATTACATCGTAAGCATGTGTTCGATTCCCAGTCTTCCCTCACTGTAACCCCCAGGGACTCAGCGCCCACCTGCCGGCCCCGCGCGTCCCCCCGTACATGAAGCCACGTGTGACAAATGCCTCAACAAAGTCGTTGGCGTTCGGTACAAGGCAGGTTCTTTCCGTCTCCTCCGTCTTCATCCAATAAACTCCCGACCCCATCGCAGTGCACCCACCCGAACTGCCCGGATTTCGACCTCTGCGAGAACTGCGAAGCGCTTCCCGACGTGCACCCCACCACGCACGTCATGTACAAGATAAGGAGCGCGCGGGTGGCCACGGCCCCGCGCCCCGGCACGTCTATCTTCTGTGATCGTTGCGAGAACGTGATCCTGGGCGTGCGCTGGAAGGCAAGTCGCTCGCCCGTGGTTCGTAGTGTTCCGGTCTGAGGTCGTCTTGTGCAGTGCATGCACCCGGCTTGCCCCGATTTTGACCTGTGCGAGATTTGTCGCCTGCGGCCTATACCAAATCATCCAGCGAACCATCCCTTGGCTCAATACAGAACGAACCCGATCAGACGAACCGTTTGATTCTAAAATTTCCGTTACTCAGATCTGTCACTGCTGCTACCAAGTTGTCTTCTATCTTCGTACCTCATCCCTACTACCAGGCGCACAAACAATCACAGAAATGCACAGATCACATTGCCTCTGTACTACTTATTAGACATATCGCTGCAGTGTAATATAGTTGGGTGTGTTATCTATCCACACGGATGATGCAAGAGTGCGACCGCACAAAATCTATGGGTTGTGGTCTAGTCGAATATAAGATCTATAGACAGGGATGCTGTGCGATAATGGTTTGTCCAAGAAAGTCCGAGCGTTCTATGAGCAAGAAATGGCCTCCAGCGATATAGGCGGGAACTCAGAAACGGTTGCTTTCCGGGTGTCCCAGTCCTCCGAGGTGGAGAGTATCCACCCTGCCCGTCCTGTTCGCGTCCACGCGTGCGTCCAGGTCCAACGGGCCGGTGATGCTCGGATGGCCGCTCCTTGCCGCGCCCACCCAAGTCGAACTCGAACGACGCCCCTTCTCGGCGTCCTTCGCCAGAAGGCTTGACGTGTCCCGGAGGACCTCCTCATCCTTGGCCATGAAGATCTTGCCCTTCCAGAACGCGAGAATCGTGAGCGCGAAGAGAATCAGCCAGGCAATGCACATGAGGATGACCATGATGAGGTGCACGACGTAAAAGCCCGGGATGACGAATGTGTCGGCCAGCACCTTGGTTGTTGCGATCCAGCCAACCTATAGCATCGCAGAGAACGGCGACGCCTCAGCGACAAGACCATGGTTAACGAGTGGATATAATTGCTTACGTTGGGGAAAGTCAGCGCCCAGCATCCCAGGATCTCGTGGAGGTGCTTGTGCAACTAGGGTTCAGGAACGTTAGAATACGACGTGGCTTGTACTCGAAGCCCGAGGAGTGACGGACCTTGAACCAGTACGGCAATGCACCGAAGACGAAGAAGAACACGGCGAGGCCGTAGAGCAGGAGCGCGCCGAGGGCTGAGCACGCATACATGATCTCGCCGGCGTTAGGAGAGACGAGGTTGTGAGCGGGCAGGCTATTCGATGTCTTGCATTAGTCCAAAGATTTCTCGCTCAGTAATGGATGTGACCCACATTTCTTTTGCACGCGCTCCAAGGTTGAGCAGGGCCAGGGCGGTGAACCCGGGGGGACCGCATGCGACAAACGCGCCGTTTGCTTGGTGCCCATCCATGAAGCCAGTCGTCATAATCCTAACACGCAGTATGAACATCCCATGTGGCGCCTCGAACAAGGAATCGGCGAACCGTATGATATAGATGCAGATGTAAAAGAAGGTCATGAAGAAGCCAAGACCTTGGAAGAAGTAGCCGGTGACGAGGACGCCAATGGCGCGGGTATCGGTCGGTGAAATGACGCGCAGAACATTAAAAGCAACGACACCGACGAGCATCTGAGCCATGGTTAAGCTTGCCTAAGCTTGTTACAGATTATGAGCGTGAACGTTACCATAGGGAAGATCAGAAACGCCCATGCTGTCGGACGATGAGCATCGTGAGAGAGCCACATCGAGAGATAAGCGTTACCTGGAGTGAACGTTTTGATATCATGTGGTTGGTTGAACCTGGAAAGACGGGATAGGCATGCGCACGCAGCGAAGGAGATGGATTGCTCACCAGATCATAAGCATGGGGAAGCAGACAACGACAGCGAGTGTGACGTATGCCCTATGGTAGGGATCGGATATTAGAGTGTCACTAGGACATACCGACAGGACACCCACCAGAACAAGTTGTAGATGAAGTTCGGATGCACATGTCCAGGAGGTACGCCGTAGTTGATCGTGCCGATGATGATCGTCGCGAAAGATAAGACGACAAGGGGCACGAACACGCCCTTAACAGGGTCCTTGATGAGACGCAGCGACTGGCGGGGATAGACTATCGATCGCGAGTAAGAGTGCTGCATTCGCATGAGAATGAGGAGCTCACGGATGGCTTGTAGAGCAAGCGTGGTGGTGTTGAGGAGGAAGAGGGCCATGTTCAGGAAATAGAAGAATGTCTCTACGCTTGTGAGCGTAGACGAGTGGTTCTTCAGGCCGGCGAGCGAAACGTACACGGCGCCAGTACCCATACCGATGGGAAACTAGCAAAAGCATGAGCAAACCTAATGCTCATCCAGACAGTGGAAGGAAGTACTCACCGCCTGCCAGCTCCAGCCATGAATGCGCTTCGCAAGACTGCTGACGTGAACGTCCGACTGGGTATCAGGCAAAGAATCTGATGGAGGAGACATGGTAAAGGGAGTCCAACAATGAGCGTGGGGGTATTGAGATGGTGAGCTAACACGGATGCAGAAAGTCTACGGAGAGGAGGAAGTCAGAGAAAAGTTGATGGTTGTCAAAAGAGAACGCCAGCGTAGAGAAAGGTGGGGGACTCGGGAGGAGAGACGGCCACCTCTTGAGCTGTCTGTCGCGTCAGCACTTATACAATTATCCTTCCGTGACACGAACCAGTCATGATAACATAACACAGCCCGCAGAGAGAGTGCCAAGAGCACAGTTATGGTGGTTCTTGCGATGCCTATGGCGGATATAACGTCTCGTTCAGCGACCGCAGCCTCAGGCCGCCTATTAGAACTCATACATCGCCCTCCAGTGAATCGATATTGTCTTGGTAACTATGCGACGCGACATTCTCGATGAGTTTTCGAGTTCCCGATGCGTCTTGAGCATTGCTTGAGCATCGCCTGGAGGGATGGCCAAGAGAATAGGCGATCGAACCGAGACGTGAAGAAGACGCGACAAGCGTTCAAGATGGTTCGAAGAAGACGTTGGACGGAGTTCGCACGCTTGCCGCTCATTCCGGAGGACCGGCCACCGGCGACTCTCCTCTCCTCCCACCTCGACTTAACTGACGCGTTGAGTGCGATAGTCTCTCATTGATTTGGCCGCCATACATGTTATCCTCTCATCTAGCGATAACATGGCTGGTACTCTGCTAGGGCGCTTATCTATCGGGGCGAGCCGAGTATGAACGGTTTCAGCACTGCTCGGCAACTGCTCGGGGCGGAAGTGAAGCTGTAGTGGCGGCGTCGCCATCTTGGCAGATCTTGGCCAGCAATCGACCGTCTTCTATATACATACACGCTCCCACCGCATGTTTGCATCACCTCAATCTTACGGCAGGATCTGGCTGGTCTCCGACGACCGACGCCCGGAGATTGCCGTACTATATGGTGATTTAGCATGCGTTGTACGAGACTGGATACTGCCATGATCTGGACTCCGGCTACGTATGTAGGTCGTCAGGTGCACAATAGTCTTGATTGGCCGTCGTCATCCGACGGGCAAGATACAGGTTATCGGTGCGGATGCATTGCCTTAAGCGCTCCATCTCAGCGACTGCTGGAGAGCACGTTCCTCGGCGGTGCTTACTCGCGTGTCATACGCGATTCCGTACTCATACGTGAAGAAGTTGAACGCGATTCTGAGAGGCGTCGGAGTTCGCTGAGATGCCTCGCGTTCCCATTCAAGTTACGCGTACAAGAAAACGTACGGCGTGGATTATCATCCTCTCCTCATAGCCGCTGGCAAGGGTCAGCGGTCAAGGTTCGACAACGTACAGGTCCGTGATTGTCCTGCGTCGAATCTGCAACTGAGGCAGCTTCCCACAGTAATCGACAGGCTGTCAAGCTATATACTGCCGCACTCTGAATAGCAATGGCCGTGCCGTAAGGCGAAAGATGTCCACTCCTAGACCTCACCCGTCGGCCACCGCAACACAGTTGAATCGAAAGAACTCCATACGCCCAACATTCAGTTGGAAACTAGTCCACGCTTGTATCGCACGGTGGAACCGGCCTACCATGCATCCTCGCACTCGAACGGTAGACACCCATCTCCAATAGCCCACTGACTATTTTCGTTTGCGCAAGATGAATACGAAAACGCCACACAGGCGTGGAACATGCACCTATCGTGAACGTCTCCGACGCAACCTTCTCTCCTTGAACCTCCGTGCAACTTGGAATGAACTCTGGCCCCTCTGACGACGATCTATCGAGCGGCGCGTCTGTCTTCTCTATCAATGCGCCTGCACCACACATCTTTGCCACCGATGCTCAATCTATCGCGCCTTTACTTACTGCTGCATATCATGGCGCCTCTTCCTGCCGCGTGTCTTTCGCGCTGACCTATGCCTTTGGCTGCATGTTGCCCCAGCCCTGCCGGTATAAGATGCTCATCGGATGCTTTCTACCGGCATCTTTGCGTCTTCCTCCCCCCAATCATCGCTCTCGTAACAGCAGGCCTCTCACTTACTCAGTGTGACCTTTGCGCAGACAACCCTGGAACGGTTGCCGAAGAGCCTTTTTACTTATAACGCAATAATCATCAGCTGGGCCCCAGAGGCAAATCCAACTCTCGCTCGAATGTCAGCGACATCGCTCACCTCCACGTTACCTACCACGACCGAACATGTCGGAATTTTTGCAAGGCGTGTACATGGTTGGAGTTGGCAAGCGGTGAGCTCGAAGTCAATGCGCTACCTTTCACTTGCGCTCATCTCTGTTCCTTTCAGTTTTCAGTAGGCATGGGTACAGGAGCTGTCTATGTATCGCTCATCGACATACATCTCCCAACTCTATTGGTCACACATATCGCCACAGCCTTTCTCCTTCTCAGCATTCTTATCTTCCTCGTGAATCTGGTCGCTCTAGCCCTACAAGCCGTCTGTGCGCCTGTCGACCTTCCTCTTGATTCCTGAGGCTGATGCATGTCCAGTATACCCGCCACGGTCCTTGAAACTTATGACGGATCCTAAAAAGGCTGTTCTCGTTCCCCTCAGTGTGCTATCTTTGGAGACAATCATCATCGGCATAGTCAAGAACGCGGTGCCTGACAGTCATATCAGCATGAACACAGCATATGCGCTGTTCTGGTACGGCCCAATACGAATTCTCGGTAGTACGAATGTGACCGGTGACGACAGGACTTATGTATTTTCATCCGTTCTTGCATGCTTCCCTATGTTGATGACATGGTGAGATATGCCAAGCGTACAATCTTACTCCACGTTCTGACGAGTTTTCAGGTTTAATAATGGCCATGATGTGACCGATTTCACTCCGGGTAAGCTGGTTCTTTCTAGTATACGTGGTTCTTTCGATTCCCGCGTCTGACGCTAGGATTAAAGCCGGAGTTTTTCTGATTAATCCCATGGCAAGCATCTTACATCCACTCAAATAAAGCTTCCGCTGACGACGATTGAAGATGCTTGTTGGCGTCGTTACTGCCAACGTCCTGGATGATATACCTCCCACAGAGAATCGTGCAATAGGCGTTCTCCTCGTAGGATACTTCTTCCAGGGCCTCGGAACTTTTATTACTCTGCTGTTTCTTAGCATCTACTTCGTCAGGTGGGTGTGAAGAGCTTCTGGACAAGAAGACGACGACCTTACCATGGTGCAGACTCGTTTCAACGGGTTTCATGAAAGGACCAGACGCGAACGCCGCATTCGTAGCCGTCGGTCCTCCAGGATTCACAGCGCTTGCTCTCCTCGGTATGGGGATTCACGCACGAGACATGTCCGTCTTTCCTCGACGTTGTACCTCCCTCGCTCTTGCTGACACAATCCCGTTGCAGTCTTCCAGCACACCACTTGATCTGTACCGAGGCCGGAGATGTGTTCTACGCTGTGTCTGCGCTCGCCTCTTTGATGCTGTTCGGATTGGCCGTGTTCTTGTTCCTGTTCGGCGCATTACCTTGGTGGTCAAAATTGCGCACCTCGCCAAATTCTGCAACACGCGAGAATTCCAAGAGTCGTTCGCGGCTGCAGGGAGTACTCGGCTGTTGGTCTTTGACCTTTCCCAATGTGGGCACCTCGGCCGAGTAGGAAACAACCTTCCACGACTGACTCCGAAAATTAGGTTGGATGGATTGCTACGGTTCGCGTCCTCGGTGACACGTTCTCCATACCCGGGTTCTACACCCTCCACCTTATACTCGTCGTCGCGATGTGCCTCGTGTGGCTAACACTCTTCGTCCTCACTATGACAGCCTTCTGGAAAGGCGATATTTTGCTCTCGGAAGAAAGTCTTGTCCTCCGCGACCGCAACCACTTCGCAGGAGATGCTTGCCCTCAAGGCAACGGCACGGGTTCCGATGGTGCAGAGATGGATAACATCGCACATCCAAACTTGATGCATGTGCCCACGCTCCAGGGCGACCTCGAGCAAGGTCCGAGTCCGAACGATTGAGATCGGACGTTGACCCGCATCGAGCAGCACCTGCGGAAGTCAACGACCACTCGTTTCAATGTTGGTGTGCGATAGGGATCAGGCTCCCGGTGCGACTTCTAAGGACCCTCCCGTTGTCGGCCTGGATGACAGCCCACTTGTTGGACATTGACTTGACCGCCGATACCAGGCGACATGACATCATCCATAGATTCGCCTATGAACCGCTTAAGCAGTTCAACCGCATACATAGAGAATTATATATCTTGACATTGTTGTGTTTCGCCTCCGTAGATGTAGTCAGCTTATGTATTCTTGCATATGTTATCAAAATCAAGCAGCCGGTCGCATACTTGATTAGCTCTGATCACGCGCACACAATAGACTACACCGATTTGCATGACATTGGCGCACTGCTTGGATTAATCGACAATTCCGAATTTCCGAGTTAATCATCGTCTTCGGGGAGGGGAAACGACCCAGGAAGCGAGGAGCGACCAACAGTGGACCGAGGTGGCTACCATCATGCTGTACTCAGCGGCGTGGTGCTACGAGCGGTTTCGGGTAACACACCTTGGAATCGCTGAGTCCATGAGAAGCGAGTAATGTAAAGGTAGCCTTTTCCTCAAACTGGCCCGAGCGTTCCCCATCAGAAGACGGCGCGACTAACCCGAGCGAGAACCGAGTCAGCAGAGAGCCGCGTCGTCTTTTCGTATCCACGACTTTGGATGAACGTTGAGAGGTTGCGGAAGTTGTGGTGGTGGTGGGGCTCGGAGCCTCGCCTGATACATCCTGGGATCCGGAAGAGCGGACTAGATTTGTATCTGATCGCTCATCCAAACCGAAGTTCCACGTGGGAATGATCGCACTGTGGCGTACGTTCGGGGATGCCGAGCGACGTGTCACCTCCCTGGACGATAAGGGAGTCCTAGGTGGTCGAGTGAGCATTCGCATTGCGTGACTTGGTTTCGACGGCAATTGCAATGTTACTTGAGCCGGAGCCAGAGTATTTGGCACGCTTGCATAACCTTGACGCAGATTAGATGGTTAGTCGTTGCAACCGGGTTCGCACTCACCTTCCCAGAGAGCCGATATCGTAACACAGACCTGACATAGATGGACGCCGATTAGCAGTTGCATGTCGACGATGAAGACTGTCCTTTACCTTCATGGCAAGTTGCATCAAAGCGGCTTCCATCAGCTTTTCCACTTGATCAACCACGCCGCCTAATTGCGCCTTTACATCATCCGCGGCACCATCAAACATACTTTGCGAGTTGACCTCCAAATAGGAATCCACTATGCCCAGAATGTAAAGGCAATGAATAACAAATACAGTAGAAAGAACACGGATTTCGACTGGATACCTTCATACGGGCGAACATCCCCGATCCACTCTCACTTCCTGCTCGCTGATACGTGCTTCGCATGGAGTTGCAAACGTAGGGCTCTATGGTTCTGGATATATTCTGCTGCTCTGCGGAGAGAAGTGCCTTGGCGTCTCCGATAGCAGCATGCAGGGAAGCCTTGGCCTCTCGAAGGCAGTGTTCGCCATTGGCTCTGACATGTTCCTTGGCTTTACCCGAAGAAGCTGTGCATTCGATGTCTTGAATTAATCGAGTAATGACCTTGGCGCCCTCCGCCTCAATGGTAATGAACAGGTCGATTTCGAATACCTGGATGAGTGCAGCGCTGTGAGTATGTGTAAACGTGCAAACACAAGGGTGCTCACATCCCCCCACCGAGATGCGATCCTCTTTAACATCGGACCAGCAAACTTCGCGTTGAGGTTCTCGTAGAAGACGCCGTCCCGGACCATAGCTGCTTTCCATCGCTGATCGAGCGGCAGGTAGGGAAATCGAGGCGGGTGGTACTCACTAGCCTTGTATGTGTTCCATCGCACCCTGTTTCCGAAGTCTTGAGCAAAGGGTAACGAGGATCGAGAAGCCTGTAAACTGATTACTCAATGCCCACAGACCCAGAAGCGTAAATCGTACCTTCTGTGCGCCGTCATGCAGGACATTGTACAGAAACTCGACGATCTGAGCGTGGAGCTTCGTTCGAAAAGTGCGACCACGTAGGTGTACTGCACTTGACCGGACACCGTCAAGCACCACCTCCGAAGCGCCGGGATTTCCGTATCTTCGACGTCTGTGAAACACGACGGCTCCCCGTCACGTTGGACTTGACCTTTCTACGCAGATGAACAAGGTCTCGGAACAGCGTGTGCGAGTGGCCACGAACCGGTAATTCTCATGTAATCCCTAGCGGAAACGGTGAACACCGGGAGATCGATCTTTGAGTAATCTGCGAAATGGTGTCCTCAGGTCAATTCAATGCACAAATGCGGTCCAGCTGACCTCGATGCTGTACCGAAGGATCGAATGTCTCAGGATTGAGCTCCTCTTCTACCTCATCTAGGGATGTCCAACTTCAGCGTCGATGGTTCAACAAGGCGAACGTGATAGAGGAACGGACCATCAAGCTCCCTCAAACCTGCCCGAAAGTCCTCTTTCAGCCATGCCTTCGACAAATTCGAAGACTTTTGAGAGGCATGACAACATCTGCCGCGCAAGGAAGAACGTACCTCGGACCGCTTCATAGAACAATACGCGTTTTTTAGACGCTACGCATCGCAAATACGCTTCTCTAAAGCATCATGATTCCGAGTGGAGGCCTTCTCATCTTCCAAATCGAGGATGGCGTCCTCAAGAGCGAGATATTGCTGATCGTCTTCGAGAGATAGGGATGATACGTGCTCCTCACAGGATATATCGTCGCACTTCGTCGCCACGAACACGATGGACTGAGAGTTATACTTGCCGTCCATTCTGGCTTGGTATCGGAATGCATCGCCGAGTAGGTCTATTATCCATGAAATAAGTCAGGATAGGAGTAAACATGACGGAGGTCACCTGCAACTTTATCGGACACTACACGGGTGATCGGCGCCAATACGAACGTATAATTGAAGATCTTCATGGTGTCTCTCGCCAATTTCTCCCGTGCCGCATTCGTGTCCGAGACACCAGGAAGGTCGACAAAAACCACGCCGTTCGCGAGCACGTCCGCCTTGACGCGGGTGTATATACACTTGACGAGCGGCCACAGCGCCGCGGAGCGCTGTACAGGCCTCTGGCCCTCCGGTACCTTCCTAGCGCGTCGTCGTTCGTCCGCGGTGGCGAGAGGTGGCTTAGCGGAGACGTAAGGTCCGATCTCCGATCGCCATCGATCCGCGCTGGAAGCGCTCAAATGGATTGTTGAACCCAACAGCTTCGCAGTTACTACACAAACGACCTTTAATCTGCCGAACTGGACTTCGATGGGACGAAACATGTTCACCTGGGTCATGGGCGATGATGCCCTCCACCGTCATTGTTGCGATTTGGTCTAGCATGAGGTCGGGATAGACCGCCTGAACCTGTAAAGGGGGCGAAGTCAGCCGGGATGATGGGGAACCGTTACCCGTACGTGCCTTCGCATGCGCAGCTTTCGCGGTAGAGATTGAGGCTGGCCGCAGATTCCCTCTTTCATCCTTCAGGTCATTCCTGGTGGGGGGAAGTAAACATGGCGGCGCGATCCCCGTAGATGAATGATCTTACAGCAGGACCGAGAGCTCATCTTGCCAGTCGTTCCTGGTCAAGAACTCGATTTCACCTTCGATAGTGTCCTTGTCGTGATAGGATATGCTGTATGGACAACGTTTTGAGCACAGCACATAAGCTAATGTTCAAGTCGTAAGATATCATACAAGTTAGGAGCCGCCGTGCAAGCTGCGAGTTCATTAGCACACATCAAACGACGGACCATACGGCAAGATGTTCTTACCGGCCATTCCGTCAACAGGCGCGACGTTCTCTGCAAAAAGTGAGCAAGCAGGTCGGAAGGCCGGATGGGCCGCAGAAGCGCACTGTCCATCAACGTGTTCAAAGTAGAGCTCTTGGCCGATCCTGTCGCTCCGCACATCCCGATGATGATATTCGGCAGCTTGGCGCCTCGAAGGCTGGAAGTGTATGCAACACGTTTGTGTCAGTGTTCACAAGCGGATACCAGTAGTCGTTATATCCTCACCTCTTGACATCGGCTTCCCAGACCTTTCGCCGAGCATCGGATCGTGCGTCAATCGAACGTATGTAAGCCTCAAGATGATCCAGCAAGCGCAGCCCTTCTCGCAGGCGTTGTTCAGCCGATGAATGCGTATCATTGCTAGTGTTAGTGCCACTGGGACTAGTCGACAGTCGCAGGCGTTCGAGGTCGCGGACAAGGCCATCCACGGCCAAAACGAACGCCACTCGCTCTTCAGGCGACTCGTTCGATCGCGGGGTAAGGGCAGGAGCGAAAGGACCATCTCCTTCTAATATGCATTATCGCGGCCTCGAGGCGGAGCCACAGCTGCTCCAGATCAGGAGTACAAAGACGAGCTTGACGTCCAGACGACGCAACACAGAGCTCTTTGTTCTATCGTGACAAGATATGATTATGGCCTCGAGCTGGTAATGCTAGCCTGGATGGGCGTGAATAACGCGAGCCCTCGACGCGGAGGATCGAAACGAAGGGTAGATGCCAAATCTGCTCACCGAGTTCCTCTATGCCGGCGATTGCCGAGCAACGCGGGCACTTGGCACAGTGGTAGCGCGCATGCTTCGCACTGAGCGAGGTTGCATGAGGTCCAAGGGGTAGACATTAACAAAGTTTCGGACGTCCAGTATCAAAGTTTCGTTAAGGGCGAGGTCGAGCATACCCACCCACCCCACCTTCCATTTACGGTAATAGACTACTTAATTTGGTAGTAATTTACCACCCTCAGCGACTGCCAGCGCAACTACGGGTTCAACAGGAAATCAACACGCATGGATCCCGACGGGCGAGGGAGCTCAAGCGGCATGATCTCGTCGTGCGGCAAAGTGTCGAAGCCGCTGCCGTCGAAGGTCACCTCGTCCTCGAAGCCAGAGTCATCGCTGCTACTCTCGGTGTGCTCTTCAATGTTGCCTTCGCCGTACTCGGAGTTTGGGCCGTCAAGACGTCGTCGTTTCGACGGGAGTTCGATGCTATAAGTAGACGTTGGATGAGTGTTCGTGTTTGTGAGTGAGTAGCACGTACTTGGCGAGTGCGAGCCGCGAAGTATGAGCTTCAGAAACCGAGAGCGTAGGCCGGTTACTCCCCTGACCTGGTGCTTTCCGCTTTCGTGGTATGGCCTTGTGTAACCGCTTCACCTCAAGTTGTTCCTGTTCAGAGATTGTAAACAGCTCTGCATACCGTGCAAGGTCTTGAGCCTCGCTAAGATCATGGCGGAGGGTGAGATGAATGCGAAGCGAGTAGCGCCAGATCGCAGCCGAATTCTCGCCGCAAAGCGGGCAGACCACTGGTACATTACTGCACGGCGCATTCTTAGATGATTTGCCCGCTGTCCCGAGCTGGATTCGGTATAGATTCTTGCACCGAGAGTGTTGGAGGTCGACACGAAAGCCGCGATTCCTGCCAGTGGTCTTCCGAAGCCGTATATCGCAAGTTCCATGAGGACTGAGACATAGCCCGCAATGTTCGGCATGCTGGAGGTCGGCATCGAGGAGTAGATGCCCTGCGAGATGTTCAATCAACTTGCGGCCCTCTTCGAAGACACGTCCAGGACACCGCGGACATGACATTGATCCAGCAACTTCGGAATCGACTCCTTCAGTTTCGCAGGCAAAGCATGCCGCATCTAAGATTAATTGTAAGTCAAATTCTATCTGAAACAATGCAATTCCTACGCACCAGATGCATTCCGATATGGGAAAGTATCGCTACGAGGGACTTGAGGCAACAAGTGGACATCTCCGGCCAATCGCAGGTGAAGATCTGCCGTTATGGCTTGCAGCTCTTCGCTCCGGAATTGCCATGTTGGGAGCCTTCCAGAATCAGCCTCGGTTGTGCTTAAGATAGGATTGATATGCTGAATGAACTTTCCAGGAACTTGGCGACGGATTATTGAACCTGGAGGACCTTCAAGAGCTCGCGACCACTCCCAGTCAACAGTCTCGAGGTCGATGTCACTTGCGGGAGTCTGAGGAATGTTAACACGTGTCAGGCGGAGGATGGAGTACGAGATCCGGACTATGGGTGCACTGAGCTCGGCAAGATGAACAGCGACGGCATCTTTGTTGTCGATGTGAATTGCAGATACTGTTGCGAGAGCAAGAAAGACTCGTTGCTCGCAGCGAACAAGTGTAGCGACCGGTTCTTCCAGCAAGAGCTGCTGCCCGAAGTCTGAGTCGGCGGCATCACCAATTGCCGAGTACTCGGTGCTTGCAAAAGATGAGATGTCTTCATACTTTGTGTAACCACGGACGCGCCGCAGGCGGTCCGACGAGATTGCAGTGTGGGTGTGGAGGAGATGCGGGTCAGAGAGATGACGTGCAATTGTAGATTTGTGCACACCCTTTGAGCGAAGCTTTGTGGAGACGTCCACATCCTGCGCAAAAGGTGCTACATATGGTACCACTTTTGTCTTCCTGCCTGGAGAACAGCGGGTCGTCACTGCCAACTCGGCTGCAATATCTTCGATGTCTGGGTCCATCGCCTCGTCGATCTGAGTCATCATAGCTGGCAGCGATGATTCCTGTGTATTGACTTCCGATAGCTCCTCCTCTTCATTCTCCTCTCCTGTGCAAACTCTACCATCTTGGAGAATGATGTGCCCATCGCCAAAGGGAGAGAACAAGGAGTATGGCTTGCCGCTGGCCCGCTTCTGGTCAAAAGATGGATGAATTTCAGCTTCAATGAGATCGTTCATCGCCTCCCTCTCGCCAAGCTTCCAGCAGGTTGCAGGTACAACATCCCGCACTGAGACATCCGCTATCCATGAACGGGGTGTCAATTGATCAAACTTGGAGACATCGTGTTCATTGGCATCTGACAATGAACCCAAGCGAAGGCGGCGTGATCCCGGATCCCACTCGGGATGAAGCCCAAGAATTTCGGTAACTTGCGAAGCACCTGAAGTCCGGTTTCCCAGTTGATACGAGTCGAAGTTAACATCGGTGCCGGCCATAGTACGGACAATTCCAAAGAATGTTTCGAGTGTATCTGTCCCACAAAGAACAAGATGCACTTTCCCGTCTGGATTGTCACGCTTCGTCTTCGCCACAGTGAAGAAAACATTTTGTATCTCGTGTTGAAGATCCGAGTATAGCTGGACAGGGATGAAGCTGCCTTTGTCGACACCATAGAGTTCAAATAGAACCAGCGATGCAGCACTGAGATCGGTGAGCTGCTGGCTCAAACTCATCGTAGCATCCGTGTATGGACGAAGGAGGCGCATTCCAAGCTTGCCATACAACCGGAGTATTCGACGATTTGCGGCAAAGATCGGAGAATCTTCGATGCTTGGAGGTGGCAAGTTATACAGGGCCCTTAGGAGGCGGTACATAAGGCCGACATCCTGACGGTCAGCTGCATTCAACAGTGACTCGGCGGCGGATTTTGACAGCATAAGCTCTGGTGTACACATGAGGTGGTTGAGAATGATTGGCTTTGTGATATGGATTCCTCGGATTGTAACGCCGGCCTCGCGCAGCAGAGTATTCCGGAGACGCTTCTGAGCATGCTTGAAGTCGAAGCTTGATGTTATGCTATCCCTTCCGCACCAGAGAGGGAAAAAGTCCATGCGCGCAAGGTGACGATAGAGCTCCAAGTCGTCCTCCGGCGAGAGCTCATGAGTCATTGTCAGCTTGAATAGAGCCTGCCGACGTCGTGAATCTCCATCAGAGGCGAGGCTATATATTGAGAATCTCAAAGCCTTTGCACCTTCCGATGCAGCCTTATAAACTACATCCAGCAAGTCCGCATGCCTACTGACAGACTCGCCACATTTGCATGTCGGCGAAATCATGATAACCTTCGCAGAATACAGTGAAGGGTCATCAGATATCACGCTGAGTGCACCCATGGTTGCCTGGTCAATTGTGAAATCAACATAGGATCGAACTCATAGGCGGCAATTATACATACTTCAGAGCCAATATGCACTTTATCTTGGAGGAGTGCCTCTTCGAGTACTTTAGCTTCGTTCATCGAGTTGAACTCGAGAGTTGGAAGCTCCCGCTCATGTTCGCGACAGATGCCCTTGAAACAGTTATCGAGCGGATCCCAATGAAGTCGCTTGAGAATTGCCAGCTCATCGAACATGAGGATAGCACCGAGAGTCTTGATTGTCAATGAATTCTGTGCGACATCTATCTGGCGTGCTTTGAAGAATGTGCCAAAGTTTTCGCTAACCTCCTCAACGGTTGGGAATCCCGCAGAGACACGGATTGCTGGAGCATCAATTTTTCTTTGCGTTTGACGGACAGAAGGCAAACCACGAGTGCGATGGGCGAACTCAGCTACACGATATCCACCTATCCTGTACAGAACGTATGACTGTTTGAATTCCGCTTCGGAGTAGCTTTTGGGCTTGTAGAGCTCGCGTGCCGCTTTCTCCATGTTCTCCACGAGTTTATTTGGTGAACAGTGCTGGCGTAGAGCGACCGACGTAACAATATGCATTCGGGAAACATTGCCCTCGGCTACGAGCATCACATATCGCTTGAGGTCGTCGATTCGTTGCATCCGCACCGCCAGTTTGCGTCCCTGGTTGAAGCCTTCCAGCGTCAACTCCCTAACCCTCTTGCTCAAGCGACGCAGCTTGTCAAGATGCTGAGCACAGTTCAAATACCCATGTGGTGTATTGTCCTTGCAGTGGTACAGACGTCCGAGCATGAGTTGATACTGATCTGAATTTCGCACATTATGACAGGACTGGCACAGACTATCGTGCGAGACAATTCCAGAGCATGACAAGGAGGTGATCGTGATGAGAGATCCAGCTATGGTCATAGACCAAGGTGGTGCAATCATGGCGTGGAGAGACAAGGGGTAGGCGAGTGCAGAAGGCATGCCCTCTGGGACTGGGAATTCGAAACCTCGACACGCCGTACGTGCATGCTCAATGACGCGGGCTGATCTTGACGAAACAGCCTGTATTCCAGAGGGTGGTAATGGTGGGGACCTCGTCAGGTCGACGACGGTGGTCGCAGGTGATATCGGAGACTCTGCAGTTGTACGATCCCATGCGCCACTACGGGTGAAGGTCAGAAGTCATCACATTGTAGGCGCACGATGAACGCACCATAGCCTCATAGCCGCCATGATCCGTTCGAGCCGCGGCTCGAGGATATCCCCTCTGAGACCGTGCTTGCAAATCCACACCCGCAACCATACAATCAAGCGGCGTACGCCTAACGAGCCCCGTCGAATTAACGGCACCAACGCCTCGGGAGAGGTAGCGTACCCGATTAGACGGTGAAGCACCTGCCCAACGACCATCTCCGGCTCATCGCCCTCCAGCAGGCACGGGCTGTCCTCAAGGCCGGAGAACACATCCTCCATTGTTGCGATCGGAATGTCTTCAGGAAGCGTCGCCTCAAGTTCCTCCATCTTCCGGAGGAGGCTGATTGCGACAGGGCATTCCGGTGCCGAAAGCGACGATGCTGGCTGCACAGTAGGTATGCCGTTCGTGGGTTGGTTATTGGCTGTGGTACTGACGTCCGCGTTCATGGTTTGCTGGTAAGATCTGACAGACGGAGGGTGAGCATGATCTGCAGCATGCGCGGTAGTTTCCTGGGCGATCATGATATGGGTGTCAGGTGCGAGGGGATGTGCAAGGGGAGGGGGGTTCGAGATTTGAGAAGAACGCGCCCTGGGTGCCGTCAACCACGCTGTTAATGTCGTGGGTCTTGTCTTGTTTCGAGTCTCCTTCTCCAGCTGCGCGGCACGGCGCTTATGCTCGCTGCTGTTGATATGCCGGATCCAATTTACTTCGCCGCCACTCTTGCCAATGCTACGATTGCAAGGCTTGCAGTGGCGTGTTTTGCCATCATCCTCGATGTTCTGAGAGCCCGAAGACCCTGCCTATGTTGCGATGCACTGGTAAGCATGAATAGTCAATGCTGACAGTGTCAATAGCTCACCTGGCCGTCGGGCATTTGTCCGCCGTTGCCGTACCCTGTGGCATCGTCTACCCGTTAGGACCGCGTTCATGAGAGTCGATAACAGAGGAGAATGCCGGCGCACCTCGAAAACGTGAGTATTGCACGCTTGGGAATAGAAGTCAGAGCGAGCGCTCTCGCGACGCGTTCGCTGGCCACCGCGCAGGCCAAAAATATTATTACGGGGTCTAATTACCATATTTGGTAGGTGTACAAAGTTTCGATAGCGGCGGGCCCGGGACCACCCACCCACCCAGTGGCGTACCGGCAGCTGCCGGTGTCTACCCCTTGATGAGGTCGGGAGTTCAATCCTCCCAGTGTCCAGAAGAGTTCAGCCATACTTCGTCGAATAACGTCGTGCCGGAATACCTTTTGTCGTGAACGCAAAAACATGACACTCCCCTAGAACCAATCACGGGTATGCTCAATGATCGGAGTTCTTTGAAGGAAAAAAGGGTTGCAAGTGCATTGATACACTGAACGTTTTATGCTATCGATACAAAGTGATTCGAAAGCAGGGTTTGGAAAGCACTACGAAAGCGATAACGTCGACCGGATCAACCGGTGTAGAGGATGCGCGGCTTGGACCCGCTCGGCCCGTCGAACAGCGTTCGCGAGTGCGACGCCAGGCTGTGCGACATGTCGTGTTCGCCCGCGTTGACGTAAATCCCAAGTCCCGCCGCCGGCGAAACCGAAGCCGAAGTGGACGTCGAGCCGAGAGACCGCGCGTGTGCGTGATGAGCGTGCGTGGGCGAAGGCCGCAGGGGGCTGTTGGCGATGTGGCTGTCGAGGATGAGCCCGAGCCCGACGCCGACCCTGCAAGACGGGGTGGCGGGGGACAAGGAAGAGGAAGAGTGCTGCGAGAGGGGAGAGGGTGCGGCAGGGGTATGCTGGTGGTGGTGTTGCCGGCGCGAGGCGAGGCGGTGAAGAGATAAGGGTGAGGCGCCGAGGTGGGCGGGTATGTCGAAGATGTCGAAGGAGGTCTGGATGGCGGGCGACGGCGAGGCGGGCTCCGGTTCTTCGCAGATGGTGTGCAGGCCACTCGTGCCTGTGGGCTGGCGCATCGTGTGCATGCTGCGCGCCGCGCGGGCGATGGACTGGGCGTGGCGCTGGTTAGGGGGAAGGCGCTGCGTGGTGTCGGCGTCCTTGGAGTGATGAACGATTTTGGACTTGGGTGGGGCGCGTTTGGCGGTGGAGATCGACCTCGAGCTCGAGTTCGAGAGCGTGTCCTCCTCTGAACCGGCGATAGGGGTAGGAGGCGAACTGGGCCCGGCGAAGGAGACGGCGAAGGAGCGCTGGTGGTTGCGGGGTCTGGTGGAAGGGCCAGAAGGTCGGCCGTGTCCAAGACCAGCGAGGAGAGTCTTGCGAACGCGCGAGTTCTGATGCATGTTGACGAGGGTGGATGAAGCTACCGGAGCTTTGCGAGGAGTTGTTGCTGCTTTGAGAAGGCCGTCAAGGATGCGAGGAGAGAAGAGGCGGTTGCGGTTGCGGGTTCTAGCTAGAAGCAAACCGAGGACTTTTTTATACGTACGACGGAGGTGATCGAGGAGAAACGTCGAGGAGGGTGCGGAGGCCGGGTGCAACGAGCGGATGTAGCGGATATGCCTCGCTTTGTGGGCGGGAGCGGGTAGGATCGAGCTCCTGTACTGTTAGACAGGAGCTCGATCCTACTCTTATCTAGCGTCCTTCGTCGAGGGCCTCGACGAAGGACGCTAGATAAGAGTAGGATCGCCATGGACGTCGGCCGGTGTGCAGTTTATGCAGCGTTCATATGAAGACTGGAGCGCGTGCGAGGCAGGCACAGCATCAGTTGGCTCGCGGGGATGGACGTGGGGCCAGCAAGGTACTCGGAAGAAAAGGCAGCGTGGGCGACGAGTCGCGTGTGCTGTCCCTTCCGTCGATCCGGCGTCACGGGGCGCGGCGGAGTTGCCTGATCTGGCACATGCCGCCGATTCTTCCTTTTCGGGGATGACGCGAGAAGACGTTGGCCACCGCCCGCCTGCGGGGCCTGTCGTTGACGACGAGGTCCAGGAAATGCTGATAAACTCCGTCAAGAAGGAATGCGATGGCCGTGAGCGTCGCTCCCACTCCTTCCTCTTGACTTTTATATTTGAGTCCTCTGCCTTCGGTTGCCAACGTGTGGTCGCTCCGTGATCATCGCACGTATCAGCCTCCTGCATCGAGCCGCCCATCCAAGGCACTGCGCTGCCGGATTCGAACTCGCCATACATATAGTTCTCTTTCCACAACGACTTTGGTGTTCGACTTCCTCGCTCTCCCGCTGCCCGCCGATGACGGCGCTCGAGCAGCACCGCTGGGCGGAGCGGATCGTCGACAGCTCGACCCTCGCCGCCTTCACCTTCCTCGTCTGGCAGACGCTCACCAGCCTGGACGAGGAGGTCGAGTGGATCTGGAGGTACGCCTTGCGTGTGGGCGCTGCGCCATTTCTCTCTATGTTATTCCCTCGCGTGCCGCGGGTACTCAACCGGCCCCCTTTTGCAGCAAACCGCGGTGGTCGTGGACGAAATGGATTTTCTTATCCGCACGGTACATGGCTATCCTCGTTCTTTTTATCGAGTGAGTCCTACGTGCGAGGTGATACATCCCATAGACGCGCCTCGTTGACCCCGCGGCATCGTTGCAGAGTCATCGGCGACCGCGTCAGAGCAGCCTTACCTTCGTGTCCGGCATGGTGCGTGCTCTGCCGTTGTATATAACGTGAAAGCGCTTGACCCAGAAACTATAGGTTCGCCTGGCAGGGAGTCGCACTGCAGTTTTCTTTAGGAGCCGTCGACCTGTTGCTCATGATTCGAGGTACGCCGTCCGACTGTCGTGCTCACAGGGTGATTCCATAAAATTATTCCTGCAGTGTATGCCTTGTATAACCGTTCGCTCTTGATTGTGCGAGTCTTGACCTTTCTCTGGATATCCGCACAAGGGGCGATGGTGAGTTCCGTAGCCGGACACGACTCCGATTTCTCCTCATGTCCGTCCCCCAGTCCTGGGCCCTTGCCACCAGCATACCCGACTACGAGTATACCCGCCGCTGCGTCATCACCAAGACTCCACTCGCCATCCTCTGGTTCGCGTCAGTGCCTTCACCTCACTTTGCCCCGTTGTCCTCGCTCACAGTCTCCCTTCAGCATCGGCACTCTCATCTTCCAGTCCGCCCTGTTCCTCCTCACGGCGTACAAGTTCGTCGTCGCCGCCCGCGCGGGATGGGGTCGCACCGCGCTCATGGCGCTCCTCATGCGCGACGGCACCTGGGCCTACGCCCTCGTCTTCAGTACGTGATCTTCTCATCCTCCCCATCCTTACCGTCCACTTAGACCTTGATACAATCACAGTGGTGATCACGCTCCACCACATCCTCGTCGTCGTCCTCCGCGACAACGTCAATTCCATCGTCTACCCGTACGTGCCTGCCCTCTTTCTATATCCCAACCTGACTCTCACACTCGCGCTCCAGATGGATGATCTCCATCTCCTCCTTCTCCGGCTGCCGCATCGTGCTCAACATGCACACCCTCGACGACTCCTCCGCCGACTCCTCCGACCCGCTCTCCCGCTACCGCATTCGCGCCCGCTCGCACCACCGCCCGCGCCGCGTCGCCACCCACACCAACCAACTCACCACGCTGGACGCCGCCGCCACCTCCGCCTACTTCACCACCATGGGCCAAGGCATCATGCTGACCACCTTCACCCGGCCCGACTTCGCCTCCATCGAGGAAGACGACCTCGACGAAGACTCCGACGGCCCGAGCTCCTCTCTCCCGCTCCCAAAGCCGAGCGGCACGACCCTCGTCAGCCGGCGCACTCCCTTCCCCCAGCGGACCGACGATAGGGACGACGCGGGCAGCATGGTGTTTAGCCCCCGCCACGACTCCTACGAAGACATGCGCGAAGAGTACGACATGTCGACGACGGCCGCCGGATCTGCGTCTCAGCCCGGGAGCGTCCTCTCGCACGATGGACCCCGGCCATTCCCATGAAATCGCGGCGCGTGCGTTGGGCGGGCACGAAGACGCGTGAAAGCGGGAAACGAAAGCAATACATCGCATACGCCCAATGTCGATATTCCAGCGAAACGCTCGTCGCGCAGATCTGTCGTCGTCGAGGCTCCGCGCCTCGTAAACTTCACGCGCACACCGATCCTCCGATCGCGCACTCATCACACCCCCTGCTGTACGAACTTGCCGGATTCGAGCGTCATCGCGAGGGCCCTGCGTACGCCAAAGCGGTCGCACCCGGGACTGCCTCGCGAGCCGAAAATCGGATCCCATACCCGCTGGTCTCACGATCTTCCGGCATCGCTTTGCCACCTCCTGCTTCTGTCCTGCGATATCGGCGCGACACGAGCTTACCATCACGTAGCTCGGGCTCCCGTCTACTGCACTACAAGTTCGCGAACCGCCAGTTCGATGCTTCGATATCGGTACCATCAGAGCAACGCTCGGGAATCACATCTCTTTCATCCGTCGGCTAGCCAAACCTTTCGCGCTCTCGTGTTGACCAGATCACGTATACGGTGATCCTCTACATGAACCGAGGTGGAACAGGTTCGAGCTATTCGGGCGCTTAAATGCCAGTAACTTGGTCCATGCTGGAAGCAGCCGGGGGCGTTGCGGCGGCATCCGGCGCAATCTCTGTGGTTGGTGCCGTGGAGGTTAAAGCAATGATATCTGGGAAAATCAGCATGGGCATCAAAGCCCGCCTGCGGACTCGCGCAATGCGCAGAGGGCTTGCGCTCGAACCCGACCTTAGCGGAAGCTTGCAGGGCCCTCGTGACGCAAGTCACGGGTCTTCCAGACCTGGCGAGCACAAGGACGATGGCACTGCGATGACAAATCCCGGGGTCGATCGAGACGCATGGGAGTTCAGCTGATGGGTACGCCGAGCAAATGCAGCCCTCTATTCAATACATCCACGGGAACTAATCGTTATTGTAGTGTGATCAACCCGTTCTGGGCTCCTCGGTGATCTCCGCGTCGCGAACCTGCCTCGAGGTCGCATCCGTGCCTATTTCCGTCTGGCTCGTCTGCATCTACGCTCTGAATTGTCCCTGGTTTGTAATATATCATTAACCTGCCCTCGAGCCGAGTCGTGAACTCAATCTTGGTCGATGTCGATGCGCTTTCGGATCCTCGCCCGTTACGCCCGAGTCGGTCGCCGGGGTGGGTATAATCGTAAATGTGTACGCCTTGTCGGGCGCTGTGCAGTCGGGGCAAACTGAAGATTGTACATGTTCAGGACGATCCGGCAGGCAGCGAACGAGGACATTGAGAAAGCCCAGCTGTGTCGATGAAGGATGTTTGTCAGCGGGCACATGTCATCTACGATATGAGCCAAGTATCAAACCTACGGGAATGCGACGGCGTTCAGGGCGTCCGCAAAGTAAGTATAAGAATGCGATGGGGTTGAGCACGATGGCCACTGCCATCTGAATGTCAGACTACGCGTTGAAGAAGATCGTTCAGGATTGGTGCGCTGATCAAACATGACCAGGACTGCCCAGACGCCGTCGCGCATCACCAGTCTGATCCTATCCGCTGCACACAACAATAACGAACATTACACCGTCAGCAGCAGCGACGCCGCCTCCAATGCAAAGGTCCTACAGAGTAAACAAGGGTGTGTGAGGTGTTGATAGAGAAATGCAGTCCCGCGTCCGTTTGAGGTGAGGATATTGAAATCCGTCTGGGCGACTTTTCTAGCAAGTAGTATTTATGAAGCAGCAATAACGGCGTATCATATCATTGTAATGTTTGCGACGATGAGCTACACGGATCTCTAATCTACCCCCCACTGACCCGAGATGATAAGTGAGCAAATCGAAACGCATGGCTACACATGTATTATATGGCAATGTCGGGTTCGAACATGCAATGACGTGTCAAAACGAGCTGCTTCAGTGCTAAAATTTGAGCATATCATATGAGGGGATGTTCTGCCATGATGAAGAGACCACGCAGTCCAATGGATCCAGATAAAGGTAAAGTAGCTCCGACTCGGTTGCACCCGAGAAGACCATAAACCCAAAGAGCAGAATTATAGCCATTATTCGAAGGTGTACGAATGCGTGCCACCGAAAACTAGGGGCCGCATGTCTCGATTCAAGGGCCGTACGGCACCTGATTATGTTGGACACCAAAGGGTCCTGGAACGCGCGCAGGCTCTGGACCATACATCCCTGGCATACGAGCCGGGACCGGTAACGGAGCCATCGCTGGCCGAGGCGCAACTTGGCCCCGAAGGAAAGGTCCGTCGTACATCCGCACCCCGTGAGCGCCCGCAGGCACAGCGTGAGGTCCAGCACCGCCGACGGGTAATCCCGCGCGCATGGCTGCCCGAAATGTCTCTTGTCCAGCATCCACATGTGCTCCACCATGAACCGCGGGAGCTCGTTGGGCGTGTGGGGCGGGCCGGACTGCCTGAGCAGCGTGTAATTGCAGGAGCAGCGCCTGTTCATGCAGTCTCCTCGCGTGTTCCTCTTCGGCCCTCAAGGCCTGTTCTCGCCCGGCTCGCAGTTGCGCTCGCATCTGCTGCACTTGCTGCACTTGCTGCACGCGCGCCTGCATTGCGATTTGATGTACCTCTCTCTGCCTTTGCACTGCCTCTGCATGCCCTGCATGGGGTCGGGCTGCCAGGAATTGGTCATACGCCAAATGTGCTTGCATTTGATGGTGCGGCGGCATCCCAGCCATAATCCCAACCATCCCGTGAGGATATGCGGGGCGACCGGGTACAGGGGCGGAGGTACCGGCAGCTGGAGCAGGAGGCATGTCCACCTTGATAGCAGCGGTATCTGTCTCCGGATTGGCGCGTTTATAATCCTCAAGCGCCTTCTTCGCCGCTTGCGTAACCTTGTATGTGATTGTTGGCTCCCGCTATATGGATTCCAACAAAAGATAAACACACACCTCCTGGTTATGCCTGAGTTCGACGTTTTGGTTGGGGTCCCACAAAGTGCATTGGCCCTTGGTATTGCCTCGCTGATGCGAAGAATAAGCGTAAGTACACTA